CAACTCACGCAAGTCGGAGGCCTGCGCAAGAAGACTATTATGTTCCTCGAGTATCTTATTTCGCTGCAAAACCAAAAAAATAAGTAAATCACCAATGTGATTGTAGCACGACGTGGTTCACTAACCTCTAAACTGGTTATACGCCGTAGCGGCATTCCTAAAAGGGCTTCGGCCTGGGCTGCAGATAGTCCGAAATCTGCAACACAGTAACAGTAATAAGGATTTGCATACTTAACTAACATGCTAACCTTTCTGCAATGCCTGCATTGCACTCGCAGAATCCTTGGCACTCTTTAACACTTTCACAACATCGTCCAGCTTGTCCAATCCTTTCAAAAAACCCTGCAAAAAAATTACGTGAGCGCCTGAAACCATGTCGCAAGCTATACCTCCAACAAGTGATCCCTTGCTTCAGCACGTGTAAGTTCGCACTGAGCTCGCCTCTGGACTACTGAACACCTAAAATCCAGAAATATCTGCCACAAAAAGCGACTCAGACTTCCGAAATACAACCGGGAAAACTTACCTCCAGCAGTCTCTTGATACTGAACACCTCCGGCTCCTTGTTAAGAATGCTGACACAACAAAGACATGTGGGATCAGTACGTTGCACAATGCACACTAGGAACATACATACCCAACTAGGTTGTAGCTAAAACGAGACTGCAGGGCTGTATGCTTGTACAGGTTATTCAGAACAACAGCTGCCACAGCGCCTCTTTTGAGCTGCATGCATATATAGAGAACAGCCAGCTCAAAGAATGTCAAGCCATTTTATCACAATTACCTCGACGACAATCCGCATTCCTGCTCGGTCACTTTCATCTCTGATGTCGCTTACACCTTCTAGCATCTGCACAGGGGAATATATAATACCGTGTGAAACGCCTGACACGCACCTTACTGTTAACGAGTTCGGCAATCTTAGCAACCAAAGTAGACTTGTTTGTACCATACGGAATCTGTAAAACAAAGGCCAAATCTAGAATCATCATCCGATTCAGGTATAGCAAATCGAACCTCAGTAATAACGATAGCTGAGCGAGAAATTTTTCCTTCCAGCTCCTCGAAATCTGCTTTGCCTCTAACTGTAATCGTTCCGCGGCCTGTTCTAAAAGCGTCCGCTATCCTGCGAGTTACTATAGCTTGTAAAGCCGAAGGAAAGAGGCCAGCTTTACCCCGATATCCCCAAAATTTGTCCTCCGGTCGGGAAATCTGGGCCAGGCAGATGTTCCATCAGTTCTTCGACCTGTAAAAATCATGATGTTGTTAATCCGTTCTCACAAACCGAATCGAAACTCTACATACAGTTGCATTAGGATTCTTTATCAAAGCGCAAAGTGCGTCCACAACTTCGGAGAGGTTGTGCGGAGGTATATTGGTAGCCATGCCAACCTGCAAGTCAAGGTAATTATTTGTCACCCTTGGAAGAACCATACTCACGGCTATTCCGGAAGCACCATTGATAAGAACGTTGGGAAGTCTGGCAGGCATGACTACCGGCTCCTTTTGTGATCCGTCGAAGTTTGGAATAAAATCGACCTGGCGTGGAGTAAGTCAGGTCACGGTAGGCCACAACATGACTCGCACTTACGGTATCCAGATCAAGGTCGGCAAGAAGCATTGCTTCTGAAAGCGGCTGAAAAGAGAAAAGAAAACTTACGTCGTACTGGCTACAGGCAAATCAAAACTTACATGAAGCCTACACTCGGTGTATCTCATTGCAGCCGCAGGGTCACCGTCCAGCGAGCCAAAGTTCCCGTGACCACTGATAAGAGGTGACCGCAGCGAAAAACTCTGCGACACGAAAAACGTTTTTCCACGTCAAACTATAAAGGAAGATGAGAAAAGTGTATAGCTTGCCTGGGCAAGGCGAACTAAGGCATCATACACGGCTGTGTCCCCATGCGGATGAAACTTTCCAAGCACCTAGTTGGAACAAACAAACAGCTTTTTAAGAACGTAGAGAAGAAACGAAGAGAGCCTTACCTCGCCAACAACACGAGCACACTTCCTATGAGGTTTCTTGGACGCTAAACCCAGCTCGTTCATAGCGTAACTATAACAAGTACACGATCAAGATCTGGGAGAAAAAAGAAAGAACAGCTCATGAAGGACTTACAGTATTCGGCGATGCACAGGCTTGAGACCATCGCGCACATCCGGAAGAGCTCTTCCAACAATAACGGACATCGCATAGGAGAGATAAGACTCGGACGCCTCCTTGTGAAGCTCCACCAAGAGTGTTCTATCGTTGTGCACAGCGACCGCAGCTCCACCATCGCCGGTAGCCGCTGCCTTTCTTTCCATCTGTGCCGACACAGCTCGTAAAGCCCCGGGCGCCCGGCGATCCGAAGCGATAAATCCAGGGCGGAAGCAGTGGGCAATTGGCCAAAGAAGCGACCATTGAGCGCCCCCAGCCTTCCTCCTGGGAATCGCATTGCTGGCGAGGAGACGAAGCGATTGCGCGCCGTGATCGCTCGGCGCTGGACGAGCGCCCCGATGCCGCTATCCATAATGAGGCGCCCGTCTGGAACGCCTCGCATTTCTCTCTTAAAATCTATCCGCTAGAACCCTAAGCCCTGAACCCTCTTGTACGGTAAAACACGTGTGCGTACGGCTGTGAATATTCTCCCAAGACGAATATGCTTCGAAATAGCGATGCATCGGTATTCTCTTCCAGCGTCCAGCGTTCTTGGAGATGAGCCCTCTAAAATAGGGTCTAGGGTTAGGGATTTCCTGGCCATGGATGCCGGCTGGTCCGCGGTGTGCGATTGGGCGGCGCGAGCAGCGATTCCTCCTCGGCCGCAGGTATTCACGCTCAATTCCATCGTAGGGACGCTCCTGGGAGGACTTTTGCTGTCGATCAAGAGCAATGGCGCCTCTTCCTCGACGCTCTCGAGTGATAGGACGCAGAGGCGGGGTAAATGCCGCCAAGTTCGCATTCCCAGCGTTGGGGAAAGCTTTTCCAGAGCTTCTTCAGTGATGTGGATGAGAATGTGGGGTGCCGAGGACAAGAAATGCAGCAGTGTTCCTCCGGTTGTTTTGATCCTTGCGGCAGCGATCTGGCCGCCTCTGATCGTTCCGTAAGTTTACCTCTTCTATTCTTTAATTCTTTCGTTGCTGGTTTTCTCTCACAGGCCACCTTGCGAAGCTGCGCTTACTCTCAAGGCTCCAGTGACAGAGATAACGATGGAGAGTGATACTGCCTCCCAGGATTGGACGAGCGATCTTACAAAGACGGTGGTGGAACCTCATAGCGGTGTTCAGTTCCCGCTCCATCTACTTGGTCTCGAAGGAAACGGCTTACAACTCTCTCAGGTTAGCATTTTGTAGGTAAGTCTGTGATTTCTTACGTCGATTGCCGTGACTTCAGTCGTCTCGAGAGAATTCCCGGCATCTTACGTTTGATCATGCAGGTGCTTGGCGGGGTTGGAGTGCGGTGCAGACAACTGATGAAGATAAAGTCGATAAATCTCTACGCGTTTGGCATGTGTAAGCTGTCTGCTTTGTTTGAAAGGTCTCGTTTTGAAATTTTTTCTCGAGTAAGCAGATGTGCATCCTGAATCACTGCGTGCGCAGCTTGGAACAAAGTATGCTGGAGTATCTCCTAGTGATCTCAAGTTTCGATCCGAGTTCTACGATGATCTTCTCAGGTGAGGGATTCACTTCACCTTTTGAAGCCTCTTTTATTGACAGATGTTTTTAGGCATGAAGTGAGCTTAACAGTGCGAATGGTGGTTCTCTACAAAGGCCTGACTGTGGATTTAGTGAGAAGGTGCGTTCGTTTTTCTTCGGGTTCCACATAACTCGCGATTTTCGTTTCTAGTGCTTTCCAAGTCTCCTTGAGAAATCGCTTAAGAAAGGTAATTTCATGTTTGCTTTCCCGTCTCATGACAAAGCTCAATAATACGTGAATCAGATCAAAGGAGCTGAAGATGACGAGGGGCTCCAGATCTTCTGTTCTTACCTCTCCGGGGATCTCAAAATCCACAAGGTAGACAGTTTCGAGACGGATGGCTCTTCTTACATTGTGTGGGTTTCACAGGGGACTGTGATTGATATTCACTGGCAACCAGGGGGAAGATTACAAGCTGTAGTTGATGGTCGTCGTGTAGGAACTATCTTCAGCGAGAACTTATGCAGTAAGACCCTTTCCATTTTGTTAAACTTGTCCATACACGTTCTTGACAGGAGCATTCTTTGATCTCTACATTGGAGATCCACCAGTTTCAAGTAGTGCAAAGCACAGCATTGGTGAAAGTTTTGCAAGAATTCTGAACAATTAGCATTTCAAATGGGCATGATCAAATTGTCAAAGCTATCATGCAAATAATTAGAAGCTAACTTAATTTTTAGAAGGTTAATAGTTTGGGCGTCTTCTATAAGTCATTATTAAGCTCATAGACCCGTCCCCAACACTAACCAAACCTCCGGCCTCATGGTGAGCAAGACATTCATTCCAGATATCAGATAAAGCTTGCCTAAAATCACTAGCAATTGCATCATGGAAAAATCCAACCTCTAAAATTACTGTAAATACACCGAATTGAGCCATATAACGGCCCGAGTTATACCCACCTCTAGCAAATTGGGTCCAGACTTGAGCACCACATCTAGTATAATGCTCTTGAGGTGTTATAACATGGAACTCATCAAAGCAGTCAATTAAAACATAAGTAGAATAGCTGTCTGGTGCTGAAGAGAGCTCAATATTTGTAACAACTAGGATCAAAGTAAGAATGCATATGTACCTCATATTGATATATACTATAACAATTCTCACACAAATATTTATAACAAAACAATAATATCACTTGTCATATTCAATAAAGACAATAGTGATTGTATAAATCCACTAGCCGCTTGTTTCTCTGCCTGGCATCTTCATATCTTTTTTGCTAAAAATTATTGCAGATAATTATTCTGAATCAACATTTTTTTCAAATATTAACAAAACAGAAATGGAATAGGGCATGGAATTCAAGAACGGAGAGAGTAATTCATGGAGTCTGGTCGCTGCTCTTAAATCTTGTAGCAGCCTCGCAGCTCGAGATGGAGCAAAAGCCCGGATGCTGGAAAGAGGTATGGCAATACACTCGCAGCTCAACAACGACCATTTCCAGTCCATTTTCGTGCAGAATGCCCTCCTTGATATGTACGTGAAGTGTGGCTCCCTGTTTGATGCCAACCGGGTGTTTTCCATGGCAAGAACACGAGACCTCGTGTCTTGGAACATTGTAATGCTTGCGTATGCTCGAAACGGAGAGGGCAATTCCTCCTTGGAGATGTTTGTGGCGATGCTCTCTGAAGGGTTTGTTCCAGATGCTCGAACTTACGTCGCAGCACTGAAAGCTTGTGCCAGTCTTGCGCTGGAGGAGGAAATTCACGATGAATCATCCAGGTTTTCCGCGAATATCAAAGTGGTGTCTCTGGAGAAAGGTATGGCTGTCCATTCTCACGCACTCAAGAGCCGGTTTTTATGTGAGAACTACGTTGTGAGCAGCTTGATCGACATGTACGCGAAGTGTGGCGACATGAGAGGTGCCGAGAACATCTTTGCAAGCGACCAGATTTGCTCCAAGCTCAACGTGGTGGCGTGGAACTCCATGATACAGGGCTATGTGGAGAATGGACAGTATGATCGAGCTCTGGAGCTGTTTGAAGCCATGAAAATCGGCTCCAAGAACAAGGAATGCTGCTCGCCAGACGCTCGATCCTTTGTCTCGGCACTCAAGGCCTGCAGTAGACGCGCTACAGAGGAGGAGTTTCTCAAGCTGGATGGATTCTCACTCAAAGTCGTGTCGCTCGAGAAAGGCATGGCTATCCATTCGCAGGCTCTACAAGCGAAGCTCAACTTGGATCCCTTCCTCCAGGCCTGTTTGATCGACATGTACGCGAGCTGTGGCCTCGTGACTGATGCTCGGCGATGCTTCGATGGGGTATCGCAGCACAGCTTAGTTTCTTGGACGGCTTTGGTGAATGGCTATGCCGAGAACGGGCAGTGTGACTTAGCCTTGGAGTTTTTCTCCTCCATGCTCTTCGAAGGCTTTCGAGCGAACTCTTACACTTACGTCGCGGCACTGAAGGCTTGCAGCGGTCTTGCGGCGAGAGAAGAAGCAACCAAAACTGAGGACGGTGCTCGACTCGTGAAGCTTGGCTCTCTGGAGAAGACGATGGCCATTCACTCTCACGCAAAGTGCTCTGGTTCTTCATGGGGTGTTTACTTGGCGAGCAGCTTGATCGATGCGTATACAAAGTGTGGCTGTATTGAGATGGCTCGCTGGATCTTCGACAGCACAAAGCTCCATAGCATTTTCCAGTGGAACTCGTTGATCAGTGGCTATGCAGAAACTCCTGGCGGCGGTAGACTGGCGCTCCAACTGTTTGAGCTCCTGATGGCCCAGTCCGAAGCGTCTTGCATCCCGGATTCGTGGACGTTCTCTGCAGCAGTCAAGGCGTGCGCGGCTCTCGCAATGGACGAAGACGCAAAGGTCTTAAAAGGTGGTGATGGTCCAGAGATCAAAGTAAGGATGAAGTCACTGGAAATGGCGATGGCTCTTCACTCTCGAGCTGCTGAGAAGCGTCATGACTGCGAGAATGCCTACTTTGCGAGCAGCCTGGTGGAGATTTACGCAAGATGTGGAAGCATGGCCGACTCACAACGAGCTTTTGATCGATGCGGAGTTCGCAGTCCAGTGCTCTGGATGGGATTAATCTCCGGCTACTGCGAAAATGAGCAGGGAGGCAAGGCCTTGGAGCTGATTGCTCAAATGAGATCCGGGGGTTGCTTGGCACGGAGCTCGTGGACGTTTCTCACGGGTCTAAAGGCTTCCAAGAACACTGGAGAGCTAAGGACAGGGAAAGCACTCCACGCGGAAGTTTGCCAGTGTGGCCTCGAGGACGATCCAGCCATCGCGACTCAGCTCGTGGATTTTTACGTCAAGTGTGGAACCATGGTAGAAGCCGAGCAGATCTTTTGCTCCATCAAGGAAACCAAAGTTTCAACTTGGACCGCGCTGATAGCAGGGTATAGCCTCCAAGGGACCTCCAAAACGGTGTTTGATCTCTTTGACAAGATGCTGGATGAGGGGTTTAAGCCGGATTCCATAACATTCCTGTCGATTCTTACTGCTTGTAGTCATGCCGGTCTCGTGGATAAGGGACGGGAGATTTTTAGCTGGATGAGCTCCTCGAAGTTTGGAATAGTTCCCAGCGTCGAGCACTATCACTGCATGGCGGACATGCTTTGTAGAGCCAACAAAGTTGGCCAGGCTGTGGAGGTGCTACAAGCAATGCCATGCAAGGCCGACGCTGTGACTTGGATCTTAGTGATGGATGCATGTAAGAAGTGGAAGAATGTGGATATAGCACAAAGAGCATTTATAGAGTTGCTCAACTTTGAGGATAATGCAGCAAATTATATCATCTTGTCAAATACATTGAATGTGTGAAATTTAGCAACAAGCTATAAATGATGTGCCAGTGTTACTTTCTACCTTTTATTGACCGAAATCTTCCATTTTATAATAAGTATATACTATTAATTGTAATCATGTTTATTACATATAAATTATCTTCTATAAATGTACTATGTTGTGCCTCAATAAAATAAAATTTAGAGATTTAGGGTTTAGAAATAGCCTGTAGGAAATGTGAGGCAGATGTAGTAAGCTTAGATTTTTTTATTGATTCTAGTGATATATTTATAAATTTATAGTTTAAAGGTTAAGCTTTTTAAGGGTTAATCTTTGCATATTTTCCTTTTTATTTTTCAAAATTTTAAATATACAATCACAAGTTAATAAATGTTAAATAAAAAACTGTTCCGATAACAGTAACTGTAAAACACTGTTATCCAACTTGTTATTGAACTGTAAAAATACCTAGAAATGTAATCCTTGAAGGACGTGATTTAAGCTTATTTATATGAAAACTTAATTTATACAGGACTTAAAACTTAATTTATACAAGTCTAAATTTGATCACTTTAAATAATGATCACTTTAATAATGATGATAAATAAATAATAAATAATGATCACTTTAAAGACTTTTCTTGTACTTCTGAACTGTATAATTGTACTATTTAATTTGATTTTTCAATAAGTGTATTTGTAAACTCAAAAACTAATGTAGGTCACTACTAAGTTGAATAATTTTCACTTTAATAGCCCAAGATTCTTATACACTTACCCTTTTATTATTTAAAATTTAATAAAGTATTTCTTAAATTGTTCTCTTTAGTTGTTGACCTTAAGTTTGACAATCAAAAAGTTAAATTTTTTCCTTGTTTCATTCATGCACATAGAGGTTGCCTTTGAACATACGTTCAACTCTTCATGCATATAAAGGTTGCCTTTGAACATACATTTAAGAGTTGGTGTAAGAAGCTATTTCTTCTTTTCTTACATAAAATTAAGATTTACACTTCCACACAAAAGGTGTTCTCAAGCTGTAACTTAGAAGTAGCCTCTATTAGAAAAGTTAGAACTTAGAGTGAAGTGCTTTTATGTGTTTCGCATTGAGGAATTTTGATTATTTAAAATCTATGTTGTTTTACTTTAGGCAACTAGGGATCAACAAAATAGAGTAGTGATCATTGTGAGATGCGATTGAGTTGTATTATGAAATCATAGACTAGTTTGTTAACAAGTTAGAGAGGGTGGTTTTGCTAACTACCTAGCATTGGATGTAGGGATTATCTATATATATATATATATATATATATATATATATATAGATTCTATCTATATAAATGAATGTATTTGTTCCCTCTCACTCTCCCTCTAGCCTTGGTTAGCATACATGCTTATCATGGGAGGGTGGTTCGGTCCTGTAAATGCTATATTGGAAGAGTATGATAAACATCCTCCATTTAGCCAAAATCACATTGCTAACAAAGTTGTTACTTGTGGGGATGTGTCAGCTTCCAACCAGTGCAGTGGTAGGTAACAAAAGTCTTACATACCTATTGGTGGTATGATGATATCCCAGAAAATCCAAATAACTATAGGGTTGATTGTTGAATAGTAATGTCAACATTATTGTAATACTTAATTCATTTCTATTGGCTAATCATCAAATGGATCTTACCAATTCTAGGTTCAATCCTAAATTTTAAGCTCATGCCACCATTCTTTATTCCACTCATACATGAGGTTTATAGAGCCTTTTATTGCCCAAGTGGCTAGTTTGTCTTGATGTTTTCATAAGGGCAATATTTCTTTTCCATAGTGGCAAAAAACCACTTTTCAACACCAAAATCAGGTATGCAACACACCATATAATGTCTGTAGCTCTTGGTTAATGAATTAGATATTGAGGTCAATATATCTAAATTAATTTATAGTGGAAGTCATTTCTCTATTAATTACTTGCATTGGATCGTCTTCTAGATCTCATTGTTAATCTCATAGACCCATCCTCAAGAGTAACAATACCTCCTGGATCAAAGTGAGCAAGACAAATATCCCAAATGTCTAATAAAGCTTGGTTAAAATCAGTACTAAGAGAAGTATGGTAAAACCCAATCTCTAAAATTATAGTAAATATACCAAATTGAGACATGTAACGACCAGAGCGAAACCCACTTCCAACAAATTGGGTCCAGACTTCATTACTACATCTATTATAATCCTGCTGTGATGTTACAGCATGGAAGTCATCAAAGCAGTGAATTAAAACTCGATTAGAATAATTATCTGTTGACAAAGAGAGCTCAAATTTTTTAACAACTATGATCAATGCAAGAATGCATGCATATCTCATAATGATAAATGCTAAAGCTGTTAAAAACAATTAGTGATTGATAAGCCAAAAATCCAAATATTATTGACTTTATATTTGTACCTTCTTGCCTCAATTACCAAAGTTGATGAATTTGTTTTAAGTGAATTTGATTAGTTTATAATTGCATAAAATTAATATATAATTCATAATCTTTTGTTATAGTTATTTAATTAGGTCCCACCGAGATTCGAACTCGGGCTCTTGGATTCAAAGTCCAATGTCGTAACCACTAGACTATGGGACCAATTTTCAAGGGTGTGAAATGCATCAGGGTTCTTCCTTATTTGTGTTCGTGTAGGTTATTTCCGCCATGGCGAAAGAGAGCGAAGAGCAGGTATGCTTAGAGGAAATAGAGAGCATTCGTCAATCCGGGCCTGCATTTCCAGGACTCGAGCACAATGGCGGGGCGGCTGAGGACGAGATCGAGAAAGAAGCCATCCTATCGAGAGCAAGAGGCAGCTGACAGCGACGAAATTGACGATGACGATGCCGCCGGGAATGCAGCCAATGCTGCAGACGCCGGAGGAGCCAAGCAAGTAAGATGCGCCAAACTTTCGAGACTTAATTGCTTGTGTTATTCTTCCAGAGTGACGATCATTGTAGCGTTTGTTCTCTTGGAGGAAAGCTCCTTTGCTGCGATACTTGCACAGCGGTCTATCACCTCGAATGCTTGGATCCACCGATGAAGTCTGTTCCAAAGGGAGATTGGAGCTGCCTCAAATGCGTAAGCCAACTTTGGTGTTGGTTTTCTTTTCTTGACTGTGTTTTCTCGTCTAGAGAGAGCCTCTTGCGGACTTGGAAAAAATCTTGGATTGCCAAATACGGCCACCAGAGCCATCAGAGGATGCTGGAGTCGCCGAAGAATCCACCAAGCATTACTTGGTCAAGTGGAAATCCAAGTCTTACATGCATTGCTCCTGGTATGTATGTCGTTTTTTCTTTCTTTCTTTGTGTCATTTGTTTTCTCCTCTTTATCTTCAAGGGTGACACAGGCCGCTCTAGACAAAGCAATAAAGTCTTATCCAGGAATACGGCTCAGGTTGATGAATTTTAATCGGCAATCAGAATTGAAACTAGAAGATGAGGAAGAAAAGGTTCCTGTCAAACCGGAATGGACTACGGTGGATAGAATCATCGACTATAGGTATAAAAAGGTTTTTTTTCTCTACTGATCTGGAATGTGGATGATTTAGGAAGCGTTCTGGTAAAGATGAATTTCTGGTGAAATGGAAAGAGCTTGGGTACGAAGAATGTACTTGGGAGACCGAGGATGACATTGTCGCGTTTCAGGCTGAAATAAAAAGATACAAAGCGGCCTCGACTAATGAAGAATACCAGGATGTTGATCATGATAAAAGGCGTCAGAAAGCTTTTACTCCTTATGACAAAACACCAGAATTCGTGGTCGGAGGTACGTAAGTTGCGAGGTTTTCTCTTGATTTGAACTTTGGCGTTTGTCTCCAGGTGTCTTACATCCTTATCAGTTGGAAGGGCTCAACTTCTTGCGATATGCCTGGCAGCAGGGAAAGCCTGTTATTTTGGCGGATGAAATGGGCTTAGGTACTACTTTTTTTCTCAGTTTTTTTTTTTTTTATGAAAGATGTAATGCTTTTTTATTCAGGCAAAACGATACAGACGATTTCTTTTCTAACATCATTGTTGCACGAGGGTGTTTCATTACCACATTTGATTGTGGCACCACTCTCAACGCTGCGAAACTGGGAGCGTGAGTTTTCAATTTGGGCACCACAAATGAGTATTGTAAGTTTTCAAGAAAACTCTCGGTATTCTTGCTTAACCTTCTTAACCAGGTCACGTATATAGGATCTGCCCAAGCACGAGAAATCATTAGACAGAAGGAATTTTTTCTTCCGAAGGAGAGAAAACCTGAAAAAGGAAAGAAGAATGCTAGCAGGCAACGGCGGGTAAAGTTTAACGTGCTTCTGACATCTTACGAAATGGTGAACACTGACAGTGCGGTCTTGAAACCTATAAAGTGGGAGTGTCTTGTAAGTTTCTTTTTGTCTTCGGTCAAAACTTGACGTGCATATTGCAGATTGTTGATGAAGGACATCGACTTAAAAACAAGGACTCCAAACTTTTTCAGACGTTACACAACTATTCTACTTACAGCCGTGTGTTACTGACTGGAACTCCCTTACAGGTATATATAGATGTCTCAACTTTTATATCTACATCAACACTTTCTTGTTGATTTGCAGAACAATTTAGACGAACTTTTTACATTGATGTATTTTCTGGATTCTAGCAAGGTTTGTGAGAACTGTCATTCATGTGCGTATTATATCTATCCATTGCAGTTTTCTAGCCTAGAAGAATTTCAACTCGAATTTAAAGATATCAACCATGAAGAGCAAGTCCAGCGGCTGCATACCATGTTATCATCACATTTACTAAGAAGTGTGTTTAATTCGGAAGTGGTCATACTCTTACTGTAATTCTTGCTGCAGGGGTTAAAAAGGATGTGCTGAAGGAGCTTCCTCCAAAAAAAGAGCTAATTGTTCGTGTGGAGCTCAGCGCCATACAAAAAGACTACTATCGGGCGGTGCTTACTCGCAACTATGAAGTTTTATCACGGCATAGTGGTGTACAAGTAAGGTTGGAAGAACATATATTGTATTCTTCTTACAAGTGCAATGGTGCAGGTGTCACTAAACAACTTGGTCATGGAGCTTCGGAAGATTTGTGCGCATCCATTTCTCTTAGATGGAGTCGAAGAAGAAACGGAAGATGAAGACGCAGTTCAAAAGTAAGCTTCACTCTGTTGAGGTCTACGATTTTCCTGATGTTTCTTTCTTTCATTTTAGAACGCTAGTTGAGGCGTCTGGCAAACTGCTGCTTCTAGATAAAATGACTACAAAGCTAAAAGCCGAAGGACACAGAGTATTGATTTATTCTCAGTTTCAGAGAGTTCTTGATATATTGGAGGATTGGCTTGCTTACAAGGTTACTTTACTTCCTCTTCCTCTTGTTCTTCTTCTTTTTTTCTCTGTTTTTAAAATTGTTTATTGTTTTGTAGAACTGGAATTATGAAAGGATCGATGGGAAAGTCTCTGGTGCCGATCGGCAAAGTCGAATTGATAGATTCAATGCGCCAGGCTCCAAAATATTTTGCTTTCTTCTTTCCACGCGAGCTGGAGGATTGGGCATTAACCTGGCTACTGCCGACACCGTGGTGATATATGACAGGTGCAATAGGATTTGAAGCAGATAAAAAGGACTAAATGTTTTTGGCAGTGACTGGAATCCTCATGCTGACATGCAGGCTATGGCTCGGGCACATCGTATGGGACAGACCAGCAAGGTTGGTGTTACCACTCATTGTGGCTCTCAATGTTTCCTTCGAAGCTTGCAGGTGATGATTTATAGGCTTATTACGAGAGGGACCATTGAGGAAAGGATGATGCAATTGTCAAAGAAGAAGATGGTGCTTGAGCATCTTGTGGTTGGACGCATGAAGACTCAAATTCTTAATCAGGTGAGCCACGAGAAAAAATATATATGTATATATATCATGACACTCGAAAGCTTTTTAGGAGGAGTTAGATGACATTTTAAGATATGGTGCGAAGGAGCTGTTTGCGGACGAAACAGCAGAGGAGGCAAAACTGCGGCAAATTCACTACGATGATTCTGCTATTGACAGGTTGAGATTGTCATTGTTATTGTTTCTTATTATAAATATTTGTAGCAGATTGTTGGACCGGTCACTTTTAGAGGAAACCGAAGAGCTTGACGAGGATAACAGCTTTTTCAAAGCTTTCAAGGTTTGGCTCCGTTACTCTTGCTAACAGATTATCTGATACGCATCTTTCTGTAGGTGGCAAACTTTGAATACGTAAATCAAGGGGATGCGCAGGCAGCGGAAGCCATTGAGCAAGAAAAGGAGGCAGAAGCGGATTTAGAATCTCAAACCATGGATCCTTCCGCAAGGACTACATACTGGGAAAATCTTTTGAAGAACAAATACGAAGCTCGAGCTCGGGAGGAACTGGGAAAGGGGAAACGAAGCCGCAAGCAGGTCTTTGCCGATTCTTTTTTTGTCCTAGATGTTTTTCTCGTCGAAAGTATTATGAACTATCTTACTGCAGGTTAACCATTTTCCTGCGGAGGACGACTTGGCTGGAATGTCCGATACTAGCTCCGAAGAAGAAGACGATAATAAGCCAGAAGCTGAGGTTAGCAAAGATGCCGCTAAAAGAACCCCTGGCTCAAGGAAAAAACCACGCGGTATGCACTTAGACAGAAAAGATTTTGATTTCATAAGCTGTTTGTGTCCGTCAGTGGAAGCTACAGGGCCGCCTCCTCTTATGGAGGGAGAAGGAAAATCGATTCTCATCCTCGGTTTTAACCGGAAGCAGCGAGCTATGTTTGTGCAAGTGTTGATGAGGTTGTCACACGTTTCTTAGACGGCTCGTTTCTTACTTACAATGCATTCCAGGTTCGGATTCGGCGATTTTAGCTGGTCAGAGTTTGCCTCCTGTTTCAAGCATAAAACTGTTGATGAGATCAAAGAGTACGTTGCGTTTCTTATATTGCAATCCTCACCTCTTTTGCTGTGTGTAGATATGCTGCACTATTCTTGATGCATGTAACGGAAGAGCAGACAGACATTCCAACTTTCTCAGGTAAAAGTTTGTGCGGCCATTTCCTTTTGCTTTTCTGAGTTTTACGGCTCTCAGACGGCATTCCGAAAGAAGGCTTGCGCATACAGGACGTGTTTGTGAGGCTCGCGATTCTTCATCTCATCTGGGAAAAGGTACCCATGGAAAATGCTGCCTATCTTGTCGACTTACAAGGTCCTTAACAGGTGAAAAATCTGAACGAGAATCCTTCCACGTCGCTATTCCCCAGCGTCGCTTACAATAAATACGCGGCCCTGAAAGAGACCAAAGTTTGGAAAGAAGAGCAAGACCGCAAGCTACTGAAAGGCATTGTCAAGTATGTATCACCTTGTCGCTTTCACATATGAGCTCAACTCAAGACTGGACTGTCCTCTAGGCATGGATATGGAAGGTGGCAGGCAATTTGCGAAGATGAAGAGTATGGACTGCAACCAGTGCTGTTCCAGGAACTCTTTTCGTCCATTCCGAACTCAAACTCCAGCGCGCCAGCAACGACGGACTTAAACCAGGACGCAGGCGCGGAGGCAATACCTCTTCATCCAGAAAACAAGAATCTCACAGGCGACAAGCAAGAGGATGCGGCCAAGCCCAGCGATCCACACTCTGACGAGCACAGGGACGCCATGGACGCTCAGTTGCAGAGGAAGACGATGGAGTTTTTCCGGAAGAGGATCTTGGTACTGGAGAAGGTGCTGAATGCTGAATACCACGACGAGCTCCTGGTAAATGTGTGAAGTTTTGTAGCGAGTATTCTCTAGAGATATGGAAGGTGAAGTGCTTGCTGTTCTTCCATCTTGTCAACTCACCAGTTTCTGTGTGATTTGCCAGGACCAAGAGCAAGGAGCGGCGGAGGGAGACCAGGAGGGCCTGGAAGACGAGACCAAGCTCTACATCTCTCAGGTCTACTCCGAGGTAAACTTCTCATCGTTTCTCGATTCTTTTGCCTCGAAACTCAACTTGTTCCATCGATCGGTGCGCTCGCAGATGACGCTCCTGGTAGCGGACAGTGAAATCGATGCAGTCCAAGCGTACGCCGGGAACAAATCCGCTGGATCTCGCTTGCGGCGAAGCATTAGGCAGCTCGAGGGCCTTTGCATGGAGCTCGAGACTGCGCTCTACCAGAGATGCGCCACTGGAAGCGATGAGAATGATCCATCGCCCAGCTAGAAAGCTTTTTCAAAGTAAACAGCATATTCTACTACTGGCCAGGGATATTCTTGGGGCATTTGCAGCGTCACGGTAGGTCGATTGGCAGTATCGCGTGGAGCGCCGCAGCGTTGTCGCCCGGTCCGATCGGTTGGAATCGCGAAATGGATGCCAAGAGCAGCAATCCCGGCGACGAGGAGGAGCAGCGCCAGCGCCAGCGGCCATCGCCGGGAGAGGATGAAGACGCGGCAGCTGTGAGCCACGCGGCCGAGGAGCAGCGAATGCCATCGCCGGAAGAGGAGGTCTCTTTGATTGTTTGATTCTAATCGTCCTTGTCCGGGAATTGAGAGATCTCTTTGGATTTGTTGCTATAGGAAGCCGCAGTGAAGAGGAAATATGGCGGATTGAGACCAAAGAAACCACCCCTCATTTCCAAGGTGAGTTCCATGGTTTGTTTCTCCACCTAGAGGATTTCTTGCTAGAAAACTAGAAGATCTTTAGCTAGAAAGCTTGAAGCAAGGAAGAAAACGAAGAAGAGAATTTCCTTCTCCTTCTCTTCTAAAATGCCGCCCATTTCTCTACAGGATCACGAGCGAGCGTTCTTCGATTCCGCGGACTGGGCTCTTGGAAAGGTGCGGTGCAGTCATGCTTTTCTTTTTCTTTTTTCTCTTTCTTAATCGCGAGTTTAACAGCAAGGTGGACCGGTCGGTCAGAAGCCAAAGAGTTTGATCGAATCCCTTCGTCCAAAACTGCAGGTAAATTTCTTGCATTCGTCCCGGGAATGTTGCTCGTGCTTACAGTGCCTCTGTTTTTTTTTTTTTTTTCCTCAGCCTACTCCCCACCAGCCTCTCCCTTCCAGAAAAGCTGCCTATGGTGCTTCGGATGGAGAAGGTAAATCCGATCTTTTCTTTTCTTTTCCCAGGAAATTGCCAACTAGCAGTCATGTTTCTAGACTTCTGACTTGTCGATCTTCCAGGTGGTGAGAATGGAGCAGCGGATCCAGCCGAGAACAACATTTGAGAAGGTTTTCTTAGCTGCTAACTGTTACATTTTCCATGTTCTAATGATTTTGAGTGACTTTTCTTTCTAAGAAGAGAATCGTCTACACAAGCTCGGTGTGTCTAGCATCAGTTTGTTTCTATCCTTTCATCGCTGGATTCTTTGATATAACAAGACCACTGTTGCTATACAGGACCTGTAAAGATTCTAATGAGCATTCCATAACAAGGCGGTCCAGTTCCTTACATGATTGCGACAAACAGGAGAATCTTGCTGGTACTGGCCTTGGAAGCTCGACGACAGTCCTCGGCAGTGGTCAAAGGCAGTGTTGTTGCTGCTCGAGAAGAGGCCCAGAGAGGAAGCAGGTGCCTCGCCACTTGTCTGTGCATTGGACCTACACACCCGGCTCCAGAGATTGTGACAAGTGAAATGGACGTGGAAAAGCGTACAAAGTTTCGTTACCTCGGCGGCGATACTTCCACTCGTTCTCGTCGCGTACAGAGCTCGGCTGGCATGAAAACTTGAAGAACACAGGGAAACGAACAGGAAAAAACTTACCGGGTGCTCGAATTCCTGGCTGGTTCTCATGTCGACAACGCTGGACGAGAGCTTTGGTGCTTCGCTGAGGAGCACTGTTTCCGAAGAGCTGGTTTCCGGGGAAAGATCACGAGTTTCTTTGGGAAAGCTTTCAGTACCATCGCCACTAGTCTGACAGGAAACCAACATCGACAGATACGACTACAGGAAGGGAAAGAGGAACGCACCTGAGAGATTGCCTGCTTTAGAACGAGAGGGAGGCCAGTGCCAAGATCTCTGAAGTTCTTCGGAGGCCATACCTTTCAGAAAAGAGGTACGTTTTATTTCGAAGATCTGTGACTAACTTTCGGCGTACCACAGATGAACAGGACGGGCACGCATGCGGCGAAGAACCATGCAAGTCGCCACTCGTCAAGAGCGTTTTCAGGCAAGCTCCGTGCAGCAGATCTGCGAAAGAAGAAGAGCATCAGAGCGATACGATCGTAGAAAAAAGGAGAAGTTTTACGCAAGCAACCGAGACGAATCACGTCTCCCTCGGCACCGAGTAGCGATTGCTGGCAGAGACTACACTGAGGAGGCCAATCGTAATCTCCATCCACAACCCATTCCGCGTAAGTTCGGACCTTCGACGAGAAAAAAAAAATTGTTTTGTTACTCGTTCTTGCGAAGAAAAAAAGCTAGAAACTTACAACGCATAGCTGATGTTGCTGGAAGCAAATGCATTGAGAGCACACTGGAACTTTGTGGACGAAACAATAGAGCCTGGTCGACTGAAACGAACCAAAGCGATCAAATCGATCATAAATCTTAGCTACAAAGAATCAAAAGAGAGAAGGATCAAAAGCTTACCGCTCGGCATTTGCAAACAACCATCCGGAATTTTCTGGAGCTGCTGGAAACTCTTCAGATCGGATCTGACGAAAACGCGAGCTTCGCCACGCGAGAAATTTACATCCGCGCCCTATTTCATTCCTACGACTACGTGGAGGCATTGCAGCCGCGAGATGAGCTCGAATGGATGGACTGGATGTGACATTACTGGACTGAAAAACAATGTTAGAGCAGAGAGAAAGCTCAAGTTTATGGTATGTGTATTACCTCAAGTTTTACAGCTCAAGGCTAAGCAGCAAGATGTGATCATCGGGATTTCGCGCTTGTACAAGCTAGAAAGTTTGTAGTTTGGGAAAAAAAAGTGAAAAACTAGAACCAATATTTACCTGAAATCCTTGGCGATGATAGACCAGCCTTGCAGCTTTGTTACCAGAATCGACATGAACATACACTCTTTTCAATCCTGAAAGATGAACGAGAAGAAGAATTATGAGTAAGCAAGAGGAAAGAAAGGATCCAACCCCAAAACTTGGCTACTTGCACAGAGGATTCAAGCAAACTGGAGGCAACTCCTCTTCTCCGATGGCTTCTCGACACGCATACGTTTGCAATGTAGCCATAAGGCTGGGTTTGAATGCCAAGAGTCCTCGAGTCATCCTGGGAACAAACAAGGAATCACACACATAGGAGAAAGAACAAACGCAAAGAAAGCCCACTCCTGGCAAAGCTTGACGCAAGCTTAAGTCCGTTGTTCCAATGACCCGATTGAGCAGGGATGATCCATCGTTAAGAACCTGGCATGAGAGGATGCTTACATACAAGCTAAGAGAAAAGAGCTCTAGAGTTTACCGCTAACAAGCAGGTGCATCGTAAGCAATTACCATATCTTCCAGCGCAGCGTCGCTTCAAAGTTATGAACTCCTGCCACATTTCAGGGAGCCAAAAGCTTCAAGAAACAATGGCTATAAACTATATCACCTGTTCGGAGAATTTCTTTTTGTAGCTTTGGACGAAGCTGCCACAGCGGAAAAAAAAAAAAGCAAAGAGAACATTTGGTGTTTTTTCTTTCTTTTGAAATGTAGTGTACCGATCAGAGCCTTGATCTTCAAAGTAGCATTCAGAACGCAGCCAGGAAGCTGTCTGGAAAAGTTTAAAACAAAGAAGGAAAAAACTTAGATATAGTTTGCCCCGAGAAACACTTACCCAGAAATCTTCATCGGACTGTGCTTCACGGACAAGATAGAAATTTGGCTGCTGATTGAAAGAATCTCTACACCCAGTGAGAAGTCTGGCATTGGCAGGAGTATCAATGGAGGATCTGGAAACACTATCCCTCCTTTGGCAGCATAGCCTGTAAATCAACTTTGGGCTCTTATAGTCTGTGAGGAACAAAATGCCATTCTCTACCTCGTAGAAGCTCCACCAAGTGCCGGAGAATTTGGAAAATGCGGCAAAGGCAATGTCCCCGCCATGCCCAAAGCACCTAGAATTCTCGAGAATATCCTCTGTTTTGTCGATTGGCCACTCTCTCTATATACTCTTGCTTGTTCCTTGGTGCTCCATTCTCGGTCTTATATATCCGTTCTCTTGGCTATACCCAACACTCCCCCTCAGCCAAGACAGCCATAGCCCAGAACAAAAGAGTGTAAAACATGTTTTGGCAGCCCATTGTTCATCCATCCGTTTTTCCCCTCCGCCAAGTGTTTTCTTCATTCCAGGCATGCTTCGAGGTGTGCACAGTGAAGATCTGCAATCATCTAATCATCTCCAGTGTTTCTCTCTGGAAACGTTTGAGAACGCGACATCTCGGAGTGGAGCTCTTCCTGGACAAGAAGGAAAAAAAAACATGCTCTTCTTCCTGGACAAGACTTCAGAAATCTTCATCGCAAGAAAGAAAAATTGGTTGTTACTTCAAACAATCTCTACACTGAGAAGTTTGCCACTCTAATCTATATATATCAACCTTGGGGATCTTATATATGTGAGAAGTAAAATTAAAAAAATTGAAAGCTCCATCCAAGTCATGGTTTTCATATACACTGAGATCAGTCTTTGGCTAATATCACAAACACTGAGATTATTACTGACCTCATATATAAGCAATTTTTCTTGTGTGAAAAAGTTTATCTTCATTCTAGCAATGATAATATTTTAAAAACTAAATTAAATTTAACTCTTTATATGAGGTCATATAATACTATATATTAATATTAGTATAGTGGAATTTTGATAGTTTTCATATTGATTTCAATCCAGACTACTAATTTCTATATATAAACTAAAGTTTTTGGGCTAATTGATATATACATTTCTACATTTCATTTCTATATTTTATATACTCACATTGGTGAAAGAGAGTGGTAATTTTAATTGTCCTTAGAAAAGTGTTTACATTTGGGCCTTTAGTTTAAATCTAACTTTTGCATTATCTAAATCTTATTTTTCTTGAAACCTATTTAATTTCTTCTCTTATGTTTTTTTTTCTTTTTTATTCATTTTCATGGTAAAGCAATAGCCTTCTCCTTTTTTGACTCTAGAGTAGCAATTAATGTAATTATTCAATATTATGTGGGTGTAATTGAACAATCAGACTCAATTAATAGTGGCATTTATGATGCAAAGTACAATTCCTCCTACTTTTATTACCAATTCTCACATCTAGCCAAAGTTTTTCTATAGGGATCTTAAAGATGATATGTAACATTACTTTAATCACTTTATGATGATGACCACTTACCATTCTTAGGATGATAATTAGTGTTTGCTTGAGTTTCCCACATGTCTTCAAGGGATGGCATTACAATGGTACAATGTTTTAAGTACAACCATTCATGTGGGTTAGAGCATTCTCATAGATATCTTCAATTATGCATCTAGACATATTGACAATTATGATGATACTTTTCAATAATTATATTATCTTCATCAAAAGCCATATAAGTTAATAATGCAGTTTAGTGTTTGCTTCTTAAGCCTTTTGTTTCATGCAAATCTAAATATGTTATGTTTTTTAGATTAGTAGCCTTTATTTCCTAGGTGAAGACCTTGGCATTAACATCATCTTGTTAGTGTTGCTGCAATGAAATATCTAGACACTAAGATGCTTTTAGGAAATGAGGAATCATATGAGTAGTGAAGAGTTCTTGTGCAAATGTTTCTTATGTTATCAAATGATTAGTAAAACTTAGCATAAATAAAATGCAAGAAAAAAATTATTATTTTGTTATGATATTCTATGTATTTTTAATTTACATAATGTTTTATTTTGTAAATCTAAAAGTAATTTTAATTTTACAAAAAAATTTGAAATAAATATTTTAGACAAGGCACATCACTCACTTTTGCTTTTATTTATCAAGCCTTGTTGCTAAAGAAGGACTCATTAAAATTTATTTTTTATAATGAAACCTTATATTTAATGTTATTTAAATTAATTAGTCATATATATAAGATTTATTTATTGACTATAGTGTAAAAATTTAAAGGTATTTAAATTTGTAAAGATATTTTCTTGTATCAATATTTTAATATTTTTTTGAAAATGTTTTAAATAGTGTAATAAATATTTAAAAAGATAAGACCGTCATCTAATTTTATTTTTTCTTAAATATATTTAAAAGATTTTTAAAACCCAACTGAGTGTTAAAATAATAGTATAAAAAATTTTATTTATAAGGACTTTGTTCTAGCAATATTATATAGATAAAAAACTCACTATCGTGAGCAAAAAATATCAGAGCAAATAAATCTTTAGATTTCAACTCTTCAAATAATTTTTCAAATCTTTTCCCATATATCATTTTCATTGTCTCTCCACTTTGAAAAGGGGCACTATTTTCATTCTCCCAGTACCCTCAAAAACAACTTAATTTACACAGAAAAATTTCAATCACTTTTTAAGTAGTTTAGAAATTCTTTAAGTAATTTAAAACTCTCTCAATTAGATTCCACTTACTCTCAAATATTATTAAATAAATATTAAAATTTTGAGTGACCTTTCATTAAAATACTCAATGTATAAAGAAAAAATTTGAAAATAAATGGCTACTTTCAAAACTTTTATTAGGTTGAAGGGTAATAAATAACTGAATTTAATGATAACTTTTATGTGTTTAATAGTAGTATCAATGTGTTGTTCTACATTATAATTAGTAGATTTTGGATAGAATAAATTTAATATATATTTTATCAAATAATACGATTTTATCATAATACTTTTAAAAAATTATTTATATTTTTATCATAAATTAATCCACTATAAAATGTAATAAACTGACATATATATTATTTTGATATTTTCTATTTTTCTTTAAAATTTTGATTTTTTTTAAACCTTGCAATATGATATGAATATTTAATCTCAGCCTTTCGAAAAAAAATGAATGAAGTCCCCCTTCAAAGTTTAGACATACTTGCAATAATTACATATAATGTAAACCTAAAGGAAATATTTCAAAATAAAAAAATAAAAGATACTATAAAGCTAACATTTACAGTTTATAGTATAATCCTTGAAATGACTTTAATGATTAATCATAATATCTTTAAAAAGTAATTTAACCTACTCAACAATCTTCAAATGTAATTTACAGATTATAGCAATGCCTTCTAAAAAAAAAATTCTGCAGTTTTAGCACGATCCCTGGAGACCATTGAGTCCAAAGTAGAAAATCTAATCATGCTAGTGGCAGTACAACTCAAGGAGACAATGCTACAGGACCATGGCAAGTGAGGAGACAATTTGAGGCTTGGCATCAGCATTGGATTCCTTGCTATGGCATGGCACACAAGGGAGGAATCAAATGAAAATGAAAGCCACTAGACATTGTGGCGAAAGAGGTAAGGCAAAGAGATATAGAGCAGCACCCTAAGGGACAGTAAGTAATTAAGATTAAGGGACATTAAGATTGCACCAAAGTAAAAAGTGTCTAACACTGGTATTCCGAATGGGCTCGGAATTGAAGGAGAAACGCGGGTATCGGACCACAGTGTTGGTGAAAGAGAAAGATTGAACGGTAAAGAGAATGGAAGTGTGGATGCTCTAAAGATTTCTAGGAATCAAGACCGGTACAAGACCGGAGCTGGAGAAAGCTCCAGAGGCGAGTAGAATCGATCGACATCGGTGATTGCTCTATGGCGAAGACGATCTTTTGAGTTCATGGCAGTTTCCCTGATACCAAATTGGACAGAACAACGTAGCCAGCGGAGATGCTTGGATCTAAAACACTCACATTCTCCGCCGCCACTCTTCCCAGCTCAACATCTCCTTGAACACTACACGAGCTCAAGAAGCTCACGTAAGCTCTGGCGTCGGGGATTCTCCGGACGAGCTCCTGGGCAGCACTGAGCTCTCCCGCTCGTCCCAGAAGATCAACCAAGCAGCTGTAGTGCTCCAGAGTCACCTCCAGGCAGTGATCCCGAGCTATAGACGCGAAGAACTGGATCCCGGTCTCGAGCATCCCGGCCTTGGCACAGGCCGAGAGAACGCTCAGTATCGTCACGCCGTCGGCTCGCAATCCAGCCTGCTGCATTCGCGCAAAGAGCTTGAGAGCTCTCTCGCCATCGCCGTGGTGAGCATAGGCCGAGATCACGGACGTCCACACCAGCAAGTTCTCTTGCAGCAAGAAGCTCCGTCCACGATCGAAAACTTTGCTCGCGGACTCGAGGCTTCCACACTTGCTATACATGTGGATGAGCGCCGAGACCACCACGGGATCCATCTCCATCGCCGGGCGCTCGGCGAGCAGAGCGTGGAAGCGCTTGCCTTCGACGAGAGCGGCGGCGGTGGTGCAAGTGGAGAGAATGGTGGCGAAGGTTACTCGGTCGGGCTCTTCGCCTTGGCGCAGCATTCGCCGGAAGAACAGCTTGGCGATGGCGCCATGGTGGCTGTGAGCGTACGCAGCGATGATCGCAGTCCACGAGACTTTGTTGCGCTCGATCATAGCGTCGAAGATCTCTCGAGCGTTGCCGGGGCTGGAGCACTTTCCAAACGCGCTGATGAGAGCGTTTCCAACAACGAGCTCGGTCTCCAGGCCGGCCTCGGCAATGCAAGCGCGGACGAGCTCCAGCGATCGCAAATCCTGTCCGGAGCTCTCCACCAGAACGCTCAAGATCACAATGAAGGTGATCCTCTCCGGAGCCACTCCGCTGAGAAGCATCTCGAGAAACGTCCTGTGAGCTCGCTGGAGCTCGCGGTTCTCAGCGTGGATCGATATCAAACAGTTCCACGCCACCACCCTGTGATCGATCATCGTCTCCTCAAACACCCTTCTCGCGTCTGCCAAATTTCCACACTTCCCATAGCCGGTGACGAGCGAGGTGGCAGAGTTTTCATCCATGCCGAGCTCCATCAAGATCGCCTCGAAAGTCTTCACTTCCGGAAGCTCCAGAGATCCGGAGCTCAGCACCGCGAGGAATCCAACGCTGCTAGACGCCATGCCTTCGAGCATCATCTCCCGGACGAGCTCCAAAGCCTCTCGTCCCCGACCATGATCGCAAAGCGCTGATACGATTGAGTTCCAAGACACCGAGTCCTTCTCCGGGATCTCTCGAAAGAGCTTTCTCGCGAGCGACAACGCTCCACACTTCCCATACATATCTACAAGCGCGTTGGCCACCACCGCCGAGTTTTCTCGATCGATCCCACAGGACTCCACGAACAAAGCGCGGAAAATCTCGCCTTGGCGAAGATCCGACACTGCCGCGCAGAGGTTGATCATGGCGACGATCACCACCTTGCTGGGAAGAACACCGCAGTGCTGCATCCCTCGCAGCAGTGCCATCGCGGGGCGGAGCTGGAAATCATCGGCGTAGCCGGCGATCATCGTCCCCCACAGCGGCAAATCCCTCTCATCCTCCTCCACACCATCAAAGATCTCTCTCGCCGCCGCCAGCCTCCCAGATCTCCGGAAGAACGTCACTGCTGCAGTAGCTGGAAGAGCTCTCTTCATACAAATCCCCAGCTCCTTCGCGTGAGAGAGAACGATCTCTCCCTCCCCGATCGTGCTGGCGCAAGCACCGAGACACGCGACGATCGCCCCCTCGCTCGGAATCACTCCCTCGAGCCTCGTCTCGCGGAGGAGATCGAGAAAAACGCCCTCGCCGCCAATGTGCGCGGATGCTGCCAGCATTGTGTTCCAGGAGATCGAGCTCCGCGAGCTCATCTCGTGGCGAAAGATCCACAGCGCCTCCTCGAGGCTGTGGTTCCTGGCGTACATGTTGAGCAGTGCCGTCCCCAGCGCGAAATCCAGCTCGATCCCGCTGTCCAGGATCCGCGAGTGGATCCATCGCCCATCACGGAGATCGATTTCCGCGACGCTGCCCAGCACGCTCAGCCAGGTGACTCGATCGGGGTGGAGTCCCTCGAGATCCATGGAGCGCACCATCGCCAAAGCGTGAGCACAATGCCGGTTCTGGGCAAATGCTGCCACCATAGCGTTCCCGAGATGAAATTCTTCTCCGCGATTGAATCAAACACCTCTTTCGCGTGATCCACGCTACCGCATCGTCCATACATCGTGACGATCGCGGTGCTCGCGAAAACGCTGCTGGCAGAGATTCCAGACTCGATCATCCATTTGTGGACAGATGCCCCCTCGCGGCAATTGCCGCAAGCACCGAGCACGGTGACGAAGGTGATCGTGTTGGCGATCGAGTGTTCCAGCAGCATTCTCCGGAAGAACACGAGCGCCTCTCGATTCTCGCGGTGGTGGACGCACGCGGCCATCATCGCTGTCCAGGCGATCACGGACTTGATCTCCATGGAGTGGAAGATCTCCTTGGCCGCGGCGAGGCTGCCGATCTTGCCGTGGATGTTGAGCAGCGAGGTGGCGATGGCGATGTCGGTGGCGAGCTGGGCGTCGGCGGCGATGGAGTGGAGGAGGCGGAGCAGCGGCGGGGACGCGAGATTGAGGCAGGCAGTGAGCGCCGTCATGATCGTCACGCGGTTGGGCGCTACACCCTGGAGCTGCATTTGCCGGAACACGAGAATGGCATCGCGGAAGAGCTCTTGGCGAACAAGACCGGCCACCATCGCCGTCCACGGCACCACCGTCTCCGCCGCCCCAGCGCCGCCCATCATTCCCTCCAGATCCCCCAGCCGCCCGCTGGCTCGCGTGTAAACACCCAGCATCTCCTCTTTGAGGCATCGCTCCGGCGCAAAGCCCCGATTCTCTGTCGCGAAAAACCTCGCAAAGAATGCCCTTCTTCGCATCCAAGAACCCTAAACCTCCATCCGCCACATGTCAAGCCTCGCTGCTATACACGTCACTGCCAGCAATGCCATCGTATATCCACATGGCATATTAAACCCTAAGCCTAAATAATTCTATTTAAGGGAGGAGCCCTAGAAACATCTTTTGAAAAAGGAGATTATGGGGGAGAAGGACGATTACTACAAACACGTTGCATTCAATCACGATAGCACTCGCTTTGTTTGCGCTTGCAACGATGGTGTCGAGGTTTACGACTGTGATCCTCTCAAACTCGCTTTTGGGAGGAACCCAAAGCTCGCAAAGGGTCTCGCCATCGCTGAGATGGAGGACAATCTGAGGCTCTTCCTTTTGGGTGGCGGCAAGTTCCCACTGGATGACAACAAAAGGGTGGTGATCTGGGACGAGGTCCAGGGCAGGATCTCCTCAAACTCGTACAATTGCGCGTCTCAAGTCCTGGCGATCAAGGTCTCGGGCGATGCTGTGGCGATTGTGATGCAAAACAAGGTGGAGCTACATGTTTACGTCAAGGCAAACGAGACCTCAAGGATATACCGCAGCGTCACCACTTGCAACCTTCGAGGAGTGTGTGCCCTAAGTCCCGGATACGTTCTCGCGATTCCGGGGCTCTCGGAGGGCGAGGTTCGTATTCACGCTGCTCACAGGCATCCCTTCTCGATCAACGCTCATGCAAACACACTTTCGTGCTTGGCACTCAGCCAGAATGGTCGATTCCTCGCCACTGCGAGCATCAAGGGGACGGTCGTGAAGATCTACTCGATCTCCACTGGCTGGGGGGAGAAGCTTCAAGAGGTAAGAAACATGTCCCCTGAAAGAGTTGACGGGCAACTTATAAGTTTTCTTTTTGTGGTTTCTCCAGCTTCGAAGAGGCAAAGACAAAGCCGAGATTTGGAGCATGGCATTTTCTCCGGACAATCACTGGCTGGCGCTCACCAGTGACAAATGCACAATTCACGTATTCAAGGTAAACGTCCCGGATTCTTCCACGACTTCAAACTCTTCGGCCGCCTCAAATCACGAAGTGACAGCCACGAATCCAACCTCGTCACTCTCCTTCATGAGAGGTAAGATCATCTTGGAAACTTCACTGTCGTACAAGTATTGATCACGTCCATGCAGGTGTTCTCCCGAGCTACTTTAGCTCCCAGTGGTCGTTTGCCCAATTTCAGCTCAAGACAAAGTCCCACGCCGTGGTAACTTTCAGCAGCAAAGAACCCTATACCATTCTTGTCGCCTGCCGGAATTCCACTTTCTACAAGCTAAAGTTTGATCCTGCCTTCGGCGGCACAATGAAACAGGAGAAATACTGCATTTTCCCTGAGGTATAGCGAAGAACACAACAAGGAGAAGAGAACAAGCAAATCATTGAGTCTAACTGTGAAATGTAAATTCTATCTATACATTGACCGTTTCGTTCTTTATGTGATGATACGAGGGCGAAAGAAATCTTTTTTAACTTAATCTTGGGTTAATAAACAAGTATGAGAATGTTGGTATTGGATGGATTGGATCGGATCTGGAGAGCCAAAACAAGTGATCTAGTCCAAAGATTATTATAACTATTACCAGCAACGTAAGCACAAGAAGAGGAAAAGAGCACGAACACTACCTGGGCGATGGGCGGTGATAAAAAGAAGAGCTAGGAAGCTAGCAAAGCTTGCAACCTTTAACCGCAATCATTCAAAAAGGAAAAGAAGAAAAAATCTCTGGAAGATCATCCATCCCTGATCGATCACCCAGCAGTGATGAAACGAGGCTGTGCTCGCTGCTGCGCTCGCTTCTCCCTCAACTTGGCCATCCTTTTGAGCCAAAACTCCATCTCGTCGGGAGCTTCCAGCTTGGCCTTGAGGTTGCTTATGTGCTTGGGCGTGACGAAGTGCTGCTTCTGGATGTTGTGTAGCGTCTCCCCCTTCTTGTCCGCTCGCAAATACCTCGCGCAAACTCCACACAAGACCCGCCAGCTTCCATCCACGAACTCGAGCTTGAGCGGCGACTCCGGGTGCTCCTTCTGGAGCCTCTCGAAGAACGAGGCCAGCTTCTCGGGCGGGGCGGCCGGGTTGGCGGCCGCGGCGAAGCCCAAGTCGCCGTGGTGGTGGATCTTCTTGTAGGACGATCCCAGCAGCTTCTCCTTGTCGGCCTCGCACAGCCAGCCACTGCTGCTCTTGACCTCGCCATCGATCACTTCCAGGCTCTGGAGCGGCAGTGGCTGCTGGCTCGGGTTGAGAATGATCGCCCCAGAGGATGGCGGCGAGGTGGAGCGGATGAGATCCGAGTAGCCACCGCCATCGTCGCTGCAAAACTCGTCCAGTTTCCTCCGCTTGCTGGCGGCAGCGGAGGAGTTAGAGTTTACGTTGATCATGCCGGCGGCGGCGGCGGCCGCGGCCGCGGCGCTTGTTAAGTAAGGATGATCCGCTTCTTTCCGCTGGAAGGGAGCTCCGATCTCCGGAGGAACCATCTGGGAGGCGCAGCTGATCGTGCCGTTTTGATCGCGCATGAGGATGATCCGCTCGTGAAAGCTCCGGTGGCAGCCGCAGGCCTCGCATTTCCGCTCGCCCTTGAAGCTCGAGGAGAATTCCATGCAGCCGTCGAGCACCGGGGTGGCGGAGGTGTGGTTTTGGTTGCGCTTGCACGCGCCGTAGGCGACGAGCACGTCCATGACTTTGGAGTGGAACTGGATGGATTTGGCGAGCTGCTGGTGGAGGTTTTGCTGCTGCTGCTGCTGCTGGTGATCCAGGCGAACAAGGTTGGAGGTCTCGAGCAGCTTTGGCGACTCCTTGTTATCTTCGTGCTGTGGCAAAAGCGAAATTTTCTCTTAAGGGTTGTGATTCAATTGGCAAAGAAGAAGAAGAGATAAAGCAAGGAAACAAGCAAACGATCCAAGAAACTTGGAGAACATACCACATTTTGCGTATCATCCATCATGCGCGCTGGATCTGTGAGCAAAGTTCTCGCATTAATAAAAGAGAGGAAAGATTGAGAGAGAGAGAGAGAGAGAGAGAGAGCGAGAGAGAGCGAGCGAGAGCGAGGAAGCAAGGAACTTTGGATGGAAGAACACACACTTGGAGGAGAGGAAGGACACACACTTTAAACTTTGATGGAAGAAAGAACACGCTAAACTCTCAAAGGAGCAAACCGCACATAGGTATTTTTCAAAACGAATGGAGAGAGAATTCAAGGATCTGCATTCTCTGCGCGTCGATCTAGCGGGCGGGAGAAGCCGATCAAACCAAGCAGGAAAGGATGGAGGAGATCGATCTCCAGCAACAGGAGTCGCCCTAATCTCTCCAGACAACGAGAAAAAGAAAAACAATCACACGGGCGCCCGAGGTTTTAAGGCCGCGATTCACGCACCTGGGCAAACGAGATAATGGATGGATCGATCACTGGCGATGTCAATCAGGGCCCCTGGTTCTTGCGAGGCGCCGAGAGGGCGCGATGGCGATGCGCAGCGCAAACCCACATGAAATTTCTTGAGGAACTCCAACTCCAAAGAAAAAAAAAGAGGAGAGGAAGAAGAAGGTAAAACACACTATGTAGCCAAGCAGCAAAAAATGCACAGGGAAATCCAGAGATTGGAGCCCTTGATCACGAAAAAATTGTTACGCCATCTTTTCTTCTTGTTGTTGCTGCTGCTGCTACTGCCATAGCCAAGAAGAGCTTGGTGCTCACAAGCTTTTGGGTTGCCTTATTTTTAAGCATAAGAAATGAAAAAAAAAAAAAAAAACTTTGGCAGGAAAAAAAAAAAAATCACACAGAATGCCATGCCACTACTTTAGCTTAGCCTAGCAGCTAGGTAGGACCTAAAAGAAAAAAAAAAGCTGGAAGAAGAAAAAAAGGGAAGGAAGGATTGGATTCAAAGCAAAGATGCAATGGACAAACAACAACTTAGCCAGAAAAAAAAAAAAAAGGGTACCCAAAGCCAAAAAGATGATGAAAAAAACACACCTTTGCTTCCTGTAGGTTTCCCTTGGATCTGTGTGTGCAGTTCTGTGTGGTTTTTTTTTTGTTGGGAGCAGGAAAAAGCCATGCCTGTCAACAAACACATCCCAAAGGAGAAGCAACACAAAATGCCAGAGATTAAAAAAACTGCCCTTTTTTTCCTCAAAACAGTTGTAATTGTTTACTCAATTGCTTATATATTGCTGGTTTGGTGGGGAGAATTTTTTTGTATACCTTACTGGCCCCAAGCTTGGTGCTTGTAACAAAATCCAAATAAGATACACGGAAATAGAAAAAAAAACGGTGAGTGCGTCTCCCAAAGAAAAATATTGTAACTTTTTATTTTCTTAGTATTTTCTAAATAAAAAATCAAAGGTTACAGGTGCAAAGTTGTTGCGAGGTAGGTGTACGAGTAGAGTTGCGTGTACAAGGTATGGTGTGGTTTTACCGAGCTTCGCCACCTTTCTTTCGAGCTAAAGTTGGCAAAGAAAAAACACAGTTCAATAGTAAAATTTCTAAAGTTTAAAGGGTTCTGATCGCGGAAAGTTGTAGCTTGAATTGAATGCCGCCACCTTTCTACCATTTTCTTACCATTAGTGGAAAGATGCCTTAAAACGTAGGCACTATGTGTTGGAATAAAAACAATGCAAATAAATACTATTTTGTAGATCTCGAAATACCCTGTTGCACATGCCCTGATCTGAAATATAACTAACAACATGAGTGGATTCCGGAGTTTATGAAAAAAAAAGGAAAAAAATATCTAAGACACTAGCATATTAAGTGCAGCATCTAATCATACTTTTGGATGCATCGACTACGACTTGGTAGCCTCCAAGATTTAAAAAGTCGAGAAAAATGCACGCAGCTTTGGATTAGTTTGTTGTTCTCAAGTGGCCACGTGAAAGACTAGTATAATTTAATGACAACGAAACAATGGTGCCTAATACTATTCTTTTCGATCATTTGAGCAATAAGTATTTTCCATCAGTTTATTACTCTCTCATCTTTTGATTGAGTGTAGTAGGTGCAAAAAAACAAAAAAAAGGGAGGAAAAAAACCTCATTCACGGTCTTCTAGAAGGGATTTTAGATTAAAAATGCTAAATGTCTTTTCGAGCGCGAATAAAAGACGAAAAAAAAGAGCTGATAACTTACTATTTTTACTTAGAATCTACACCCGCTTTTACTTTATGTCACTGTTGCTCGCTCGCTCGCTCCCGTTTTCCTGGTCTTTTTATTTTTTTTCATTTTTATCTTGTCAAACTATTTTTTTTCTCTCTCTCCTGCCTTTGTTTTCTTGTCAGCATGTCCTTGCTCTTATCGTTCATTGTCGTCAATTTTATGCCAGCCCGGACCACGCAATGCAAAGAGCACCTACATAAAACAACGACGAAGAAGGAAACCAATGGATGGTTAGTCAAGCAGCAGCGAGAACAAAAGAAACCAAAAGAAAGGAACCACGCACATTTTCCACTGGCGGAGATCAAGAATCACTACCGGCATCGATCTCTGATACAGTAAAAACCGTCTAAACGGAAAAAAACTTCGAATCTTACACGAGTGCTTTGCTTGTTTTCTTGTTTTTGTCAGCATGCCATTGCTTTAAAACGAATCCAAACCGCAATGCAAAGAGCGCCTACATAGAACAATGAAAAGGAAACGGTGCATGATTAAGCGGAAACATTGCTGATGGAGTAAAGAACTCTTTACCCTCATTCTTGAGGTTGCCGCGCAGAATTTCACCTATCGAAAGAGCTGCTTCATACGAGAAAATCTATAAAAAAAAGATAAAAAATAAAAAATCTGGTTCGGAAAAAGAAAAGAAAAGAAATTCGGACTGTAAAGCGTGTACCTCTTCGGCAAACATGAAGCATGTGGAGTTTTCAGTACAGAGAAAGGACTTGACTCCATGAACTCTTCTACCAATGCGCGACCGTCCACCTGACCCATTCGTCAAACGCGTAACCAGAGAGATGTTCGGGAAGATCTTCCTGGAATTGGAGCGAGCAAATCATCTTGTCAGCAAAAAAAACAAAACAGTTTCGCAAACCTTTCTCCACAAAAACCGAAAGTTGTCCGTGCACAATCTCCACGACTTGTGCTCCATACTGCTGCTTTCACCATCATCAGAGCCAGAATTACTTGAATCCTCTGTATCTTTTCGGCTCTTCCGACTTTTCCTCTTCTTCCTCTTCCTCGGGGTTACTGGAGCCGCGTCGAAACGTATCCTGTTCTCTTTGAATAGAAGAGGATAGGAGATCTGACCGCTCTTCTCCGTGAGATACCAATAAAGCATCAGTGCTTCCAGCCCCAGGAACTTCAAGCAACTCCACTTATCCAGCTTCAAGTTCTGCCTCCTCACCGCCCACACCACCGCTGGATCACACTCGGCCTCACCAAGTAGTCGCTTCAAAACCTTTGTTTCTTCCTCGTAGTCTTCATCCCCAACGATCTTCACTATCTGTCTCCTGTGGTTGGCACAAGCGTTGCAAACGATAGCATCGTAGAGCGTCGGGCACCTTTCCTCGGATAGAATCACCTCTTGCAGCCAAGTCTTTTGCTTTTCCCGGCCGCCACCTTTCCTCTCGTTCTTTCTCGGCCCCTTGCTGCTCATCTGGAAGACGAGCTCGTTCACGAAAGTCAAGAGGCTCTCCTCCGAGAGGAGATGGAGCACGCAGTTGGAGAGCTTGGACAGCGATTCCTCCGCGAGGTAGTCTTCCACGAGATTCCAAGTCTCTGGGCAATCGTCCACCATCATCTTCTCCTCAAGCGCGTTGATGAAGAAGTCGATGTCGAGGCTCAAAAACTCTCCATTCTTCATGGAGTCCCAGAGCTCGTCAGACCTCCAAAAGGATGGTACCTTGTCGAGGAAGTTGTCCACTGTTCGCAACACATCAAGCTCGAGGAAGTAATGTGGCTTTGACGCGACCGTGGCCGGAGCTTGGCCGTGCTTGCCATTCCAATCGAGCTCATGCCAGCAGGATTCACGATGGACGAAAGTAAATCGAGCCAGCGCTCGAGCACCCCACTGGTGATCGCTGTTGCCACCGCTCGAGAACTTCCCAAACCACTGAAGTATTCTCTGTGAATCTCCTGCGCAAGCAACCCATGAATCACATCCATGAAGCGAGATTCGATGGTTTACCTTCGAAGAATCGCCTTAGAAGTCGATCGTCGCGAGCGAGAACCCTCGCTGCCCACGCGGGCCTGTTCTCGCACAGCATCCGGATGACGCGCTGCCGGATACTGCGCCCTTCCTCGCCATCTTTCGAGACGAGCCCTAGAAACGCAGCTCTTTGCGCCGCCGGGGGCAAATCAAGAGATCCCAGCGCCGCGCACAGCCACATCCGGCCTTCGCCCCCTAGAACAATCTTCCTCACCAGATCCTCCACGCATTGCAGCCATTTCCAGCGCCGCTCCACCGCCTCCTCGAAATCCTTGCCGGCCGCCCTGTCTGGCGCTGGTGGCGGCAAACAAAGAATCCCCATAGCTTCTCTAAAGCCCTAATGTTATGCCAACTGGTCAAATCCCCCAAGAACCCTAAAAACAGGGCCATGGCGGACGAGCGCTCTAGGCGCGGTAAGCTATGCGGCATTTCTGTTTCGCCAGGGTCTCACGGGAGAATCGCTAGCTCCAGATGCAACGATCATCAGAGAGTCCAGGTACACGGCCGTTTTGCTGGAAACCTCTCCGTCCGTGCACGACATTCCAGGCCTGACGACTGCATCGGGTGAGAATCGCTGCGAAATATCGTGTGCCAAGGCCATGGATCGCTAAATCTCTCGCTTTTAGGACGCGCGCTGTCGCAGCCGTCTGTGGAAAATCTGGAGCGAGCGCTGGAGCTCCTGGACGCAAGGGTCCAGCTTCACGACAACGAGCTCGAGGACTATCTCTTGCCCTCCCCAGCGAGAATCGTAAGCTTAATAACTACGCTTGAATGATCGCAATTGAGAGACTGGTGTGATCAAACACCAGGTTGTCTCTGAGCAGCCCGAGCAGCCGATCGGCGTAGATAACCCGGAAGATTTCCAGCTAGAAGAATAACTTCGGTAGGTATGTGATCGTTCCTCGATGAAATCGAACTTCCAGGAACTCGAGCACATAAAACTCTGGACGAAAGATATCTGCGTGAAGAGACAAACAACAACACCACAAGTTTACAACGTCCCGGCTGTTAGGACAATCATTGTTCTTGCATGACTTGGTATAGAACAAATAATCACACATATTTGGATTTCAACATCCTTTTCTTGCCGACTTCCCCTTTCGGCTGCTCAAAGTTTTCACAGTGGATTCTATCAGGGGATTGAGCGAGCAATGGAACTCAGGCATAGATCACCTCAACATGGCAGTCGCTCGGAGCACAGTCGGGAGGTATTTCAAGCTGGAGGAGCGAAACTCTTGCTTCACTCGAGAGGTGAGAGCCGGCACAGCAACTTTCCTCACGATGGCATATATCCTCGCGGTGAACGCCAGCATACTCACCCACTCTGGCGGTCCCTGCGGCATCTCCGACTGGTCTGCTCCAACGCCACCATCCCGGCACAGCGCTGCTCGGGGCTCACTCCCGGCGGTATACCGCTCACTCTTGTCAAGCCAGGTGCCGAGTGCAAGGATCCAGGGGCCCAGAACAAAGGATACTCCGACTGCCTGGACCAGACGAAGCGTGATCTCATCGTTGCCACGGCAGCTTCCTCGCTCATCGGCAGTGTCATCATGGGAGTGTTCGCAAATCTCCCGCTCGGGCTGGCGCCTGGGATGGGAGCAAACGCCTACTTTGCGTACACCGTCGTCGGCTTCCACGGCTCCGGAAGTGTCTCCTACGGTGGAGCTCTAGCGGCTGTGTTCGTCGAGGGACTGATCTTTCTCGGGCTGGCAGCACTCGGCCTCAGGACTCGGCTGGCCAAGGCTATCCCCCGCCCCGTCCGCATCTCCAGCGCGGCTGGTATCGGTGTCTTCCTCACCTTAATCGGCTTGCAGTCGAGCGAAGGCGTCGGGCTCATCGGCTTCAGTCCGTCATCTCTGGTGACGCTGGGTGGATGCCCGGCAGCGGACCGAGTAGCGGTAGCACCGGTTGTCACCAACACCACAACCGGTGTCTCCCGTCTCATGCCCGGCGGTACCATCTCCTCTAACGTCCTGTGCACGCGTAACCGGATGGAAGATCCCACTCTCTGGCTTGGGGTCGTCGGCTTCGTCATCATCGCGTATGCTATCGTCAGGGGTGTCAAAGGTGCCATGATCTACGGCATTGTCTTCGTCACCGGCATCTCCTGGTTCCGGGGAACGAAGGTGACGTACTTCCCAAATACCGACGCTGGTAACGCGGCCTACTCGTACTTCCGCAAGGTGGTCGACGTTCACACCATCAAAGGCACCGCTGGAGCTCTCTCCTTTGCTGAAATCGGCAAGAGCCAGTTCTGGGTGGCGCTCATCACCTTCCTCTACGTCGACATACTGGATACCACCGGAACTCTCTACTCCATGGCCAAGTTTGCCGGCTTCGTCGACGAGAATGGCGATTTCGAGGGGCAGTACCAGGCCTTCATGAGCGATGCTGCAGCAATCGTGGTCGGCTCGGCACTTGGAACTTCTCCTGTCACCGCTTTCATCGAGTCGTCCACGGGGATCCGAGAAGGTGGGAGAACCGGGATTACTGCTCTTGCTGTGGCGATGTACTTCTTCCTGGCGCTGTTTTTCACACCGCTGCTGGCTTCTATTCCACCTTGGGCAGTTGGACCGGCGCTTGTTCTCGTCGGAGTTTTGATGATGAAGTCCGTCAAGGAGATTGACTGGGATGACATGAGAGAAGCCATCCCGGCGTTCATTACCATCGTCCTCATGCCTCTTACGTACTCCATTGCTTATGGCTTGACCGGCGGCATTGGTACGTTCATGGTGCTGAATGGACTCGACTGGCTCTTTTGCAAGACCAAAAGGCCACGATACCGCCCGCAACAAGTTGATACAGTGGAAAATGGCAGAGCTATAGAGCAGGTCTGTCGTAGCGGCATGTCTCTCGTCCTGGCCGCGCAAAGGAACAACAATGTCAATAGCTAGATCAAAGTTTTAAAACAATGACAAAGCAAATGTCTGTGAATATCAAATCCAAGTCCTGCTTTGACTGACGATGGTGCTGGCCGAGACGATCAATCGATCGGGGTAACAGAACGCACAGCTCTTTGAGAACATATGGTGCATCGCTTCAAGAACGTCGTCGATCCTAGCGATTCAAGCGCTGGCATTTCCAGATCCATCGCTGGGAGTGTGTGAAAGAGATGCTATTGTACATACATCACTATGTTCCCTGTTAAGTAATTTCTCTGCTCTAAAGGAAGACAGGAAAAAAAGGAGAAGAAAAACACTCCCCTCACCTGTCACTCCAGAATGAAATTTTCAAGACTTTGGCAGATCCTTTCCACTCTGCTGCAACAGCATATCATAGTTGACGGATACTAGTTGCGAGAGATTCTGCGAAAGCCAAAAAGAAAAATCCCAGTGAGGACTAGAGAGCGCCAAGAACTTTCATCACCTTGAACGAAAATTGCTGAAGGAGTATTGGTTTGAAGGTGGGGAGTAAGATCATTGCACTCGTCTCTCTGGATCAAAAGTTTAGACAACAAAGAAAAACTTGCGACTCGGCTCATCCCTTCCTCGTGTTTACTGCTCACTGAGCTGCTACTGCCATCACAACTACTTTCGTAATCGCTAGATTCCGCGAACTCTTGCTTTGCGTAGACCGTAAAAGACCTGTAATATAGCTCGTATCGTGGGCTCCTTGGGGCTGGGAATGATACCATTAGCTTAGCTTTATAAAAATCCGAAAGAGGCATTATAGTGATTAGTATCAATGAAAAAGTTTCTCAAAAGACAACAAAGAAAACAGACCAAAAGGCAACTAACCTCCTCGGCGAACGTCTTTTAGATCCAAGAACCACCACACATTATTTTCAAATCTCTCTGGCTTCTGCTGACCTCATGGAAGGAACTCCAAACCTGGAGAGGCCTAGACCTGGAATCAGTAATTGTCGATCCCAACTACGAAACTAGCATGCCAAAACCATGAAAGAACCAAACAAGAAGGAAAATAGAAAAACTCACCATGATTATTGCTTTATATCGATCCCACATTTTTAGAGAGACAAGATCATACCTTCAGGACGTGCAATCCCGGAGCAAGAATAGCTTCACTAAGTTTCATCCCAGAAGTGTGATCCTTCCTTGATAAAAATCGAACTTCCAGGAACATAAAACTCGATCGGTAAGTGCCAATGCTTTCATGCTTCAATCCGTTTAAGCTCGTGCTCTTTTGATCTTCCTTCCAGGGACTTGATCGAGCAAATAAAGCTCTGCTATCTCTTGCCATGAATTCGAGAAGCGCCCAGCAAGCTCGTCCAAACCACATGGTCGGGCTCAAACGGCATCGTTCTACTCAGCTCTCTAGCATCTGCAAGCTTTCCGGATCTCCCAAGCGTGTCCACCATGCAGCAGTAGTGATCCACCGTGACTTCCACATCGCGATAGTCACCTTGCATTGAGACGAAGTATTCACGAGCAGCGTCCACTTGTCCTTGGTAGCTGCAGGCCGAAAGAATCCCCACGAAGGTCAGCTCATCTGGTCTTTCCCCAAGGAGCTCCATGGCAGTGAAGAGACCGAGAGCCTGGTCGGCCCGCCCATGCTGTGCGTAGCCAGTAATCATCGAGTTCCAGGAATCGGTGCTGGGGCTCTCGATCTTCTCGAAGATCCTCCGAGCTTTCTGAAGCTGGCCGGCGTGAGCGTAGGCTCCGATCATCGTGTTCAGTGCCAGGAGATCGTGCTGCGCCATCCTTGAGAAGAACTGTGATGCCTGATCTGGGTGGCCAACTCGAGCAGCGAGAGTGACAGCAAGAGTCCAAGTTACAACGTCCCGGCTCGACGCTCTCGAGAACAAAGCCAGTGCTTGATCCAAGTCCCGGAAAGTCACACACGAATCGAGCATCAAGTTCCAGGACACCGCGTCTCGATCCGGCATTGCTTCGAATAGCTTCTTGGCGTCCTCCAGGCGATCGCTGTGAGAGAACGAGCACAGGATCAAGTTCCACGACTTGAGATCACGCTGTGGCATCAAACAAAAAGTCTTAAACGCTTCTATCAGTTCGTGCTTTTGCGAGAGCCCCGTGAGCATCGCGTTCCAAGAAGCTAGGGACCTCTTGGGCATCGCTAAAAAGAATATGCGTGCTTTATGAATATGCCCGCATTGGGCATATGCGGTTAGCATCGCTGTCGATGCCAGAGAATCTGGGCTAGAGAGCTTATTATAAACTCTCTCTGCGTCATACAGCCGGTAGCTGTGTGAGAAAGCTTGTATCATGGCCGTTGAGATGAGATTGGTTTGAAAGCCAGAAGATATAAACAGTTCCTTTGCACGCTCCAGATGCCCAGTCTGGGCATATGCTTGGATTAGCGTTGTCCACGTCACATCCTCGGGATTAGGCATCTGGGCTAAGATCCTCTCGCCACGGGCTAATTGCCCATGTCGCGCAAGAACCCTAATGATGGCATTGTATGCCATGGCATCACGCTCGGGGATTCTAATGAAACTCTCCCACGAATCGGCAGCAACGGCGGCGGCGGCGATGATCATGGCTGTCCAGGAGAGGAGGTTCCGCTGAGGCATTTGATCGAAGAGCGATTTGGCGCTGGCGGATGAGGATTCGCTGCTGAGCATCGTGTTCCAGGTAACGAGATCGTGGCAGGGGACTCGCTGGAATAGGAACCGAGCGCTGTGGAGCTCTCCATTCTGGCTCAAAGCCGCAAGCAGGATGTTCCAGGAGAAGACATTGCGGGACGCGATGTTGCGATCAAAGATCTCAATCGCATCGCCCGTGCAGCCACATTTCCCAAACATGTCGATGAGAAGATTTCCCAGATGGGTGTCCTGATCCAGGCATCGATATGGATTGAGCTGGATTGCTGCCAGAATCTGCCGCGCCTGTGCCAAATCCCTGGCCTTCGCGCATTGCCTCACTAGAAGAGAGAAATCCATTCAAGTTCCAAGTATTTGGATGGGCCGTCATCTGACCAGAGAAGCTCGCAGTGATGCTATCTCGTCGCTATCTATTGTCTCTGTGGTTGGCACTCCATCACAGTTGGATTGGAAATGGATCGATTGACAGGGGAAAGAAGAATCCTTTTCGTTCACTCAAGTGTATTTGGATCTATCTTTCAAGCAGTCTGTCATAAACCCCAGTTAGGGTTTTTGCCTTCCCTGATGAAAGTGGAGGAGGTGAGGGCGCTGGGGAGCGCGCTCCTCGTCTCCAGGGCCACTGTCAACAATTGCTCCACGCTCCTGTCGATCGTCTCCGCATTTTGCAAGCGCGGCGCTGGATCGTCCTCGTCTGTGGAATGTGTGCTCGAGGCTGTGCGGTGTCTCCAGGCGTTCTCTCTGCCCATTCTCTCGTCCCAGGGCGTTCTAGGGAAGCCGCAGAGCGACGGTGATGGCTCGGAGGCGATCTACAGAGCTTGGCTCAAGGACAAGTTTGAGGAGCTCATAGAGCTTCTCATTGCGATCGTGGTTGGGACCGAAGAACATCGACTCGAGGTTTTTTACTCCTTTGTATTTTTATTTTACTCGCTTACGTTGTAGAGTTCTCGTTTGCGAGTTGCTAGTAAAGGTGAAGAAGATGTCTCGGACGCAAAGCTTGGAAGAGATCCCTACCTTGCGAACGAAAAGACATCTAATTGCCGCGCTCTGGGTAATGCTCTTCTTTTTTCTCGTGATTGCTTTACAATTCTTTTCTGTGTTTGCAGAGAGTTCGTTGTGGGAAATAGAAACACTTCGAAGGCATTACTGCCCTGCTGTGTCAAGGTAACGAAGTGTCCTTTAACGAAAGAACTGCCAAACTCTAGCGTTTTTCCAGATTTGTGAGCACGCTGGAAGCTGATCTTACCGTCAAGAGTAAGACCACGGAAGTTCAAATCAGCGATTTTTGTTCTGGATCCTACTCTACTATCTTCAACGAGGTAAGTTTTGTGTGTTCGCGCGTAGTTTTTTTTCGTGGCTAAGTGAAGGTTTTTCAGACAAAGAGAAGATTAAAGCAAGTTCCTCTAGCTTATTACAAGGTTGTCCCAAACGCATTGTTTTCCAACAATGAAGAGTTTGCGGGCTGGAGCTGCCAATAGAAAAGAAGCGCAAAGTAATGTAAGATCTCGTCCGTTAATGCAGCCGGCCCAACGGACGGCTCAGATTGCTTCCTGTCCCGCCCGTGGCCAAGTTTAAACTCTCATATGTAAACCTATCGTCGTAGCAGCGATGGTGCTGACGAGGAAGCGCCGCGCCGAGCTCGCGTTTCAGGAGAAACTGTGAGTGAATCTCTCTCGATTTCTGGAAATCGATCGTTCTTGGATTGTTCCAGCTACAATGCGGACATCTGGGAGTGCATCGCGAGCTTCCTCGATGCGCCCGATCTAGCGCGCCTCGCCCTTACGGCGCGGTTCTTCGTGCCGATAGCCATGGATGAGCGACTGTGGAAAGCGCTGTCGCTCAAGCGGCTCGAGATCGGCATCGGCAGCGAGGCGTCGAAATTTCGGCCGCATTTCAGCTGGAGAGAGCTCTATCGATCGTCATTTGGTATGTACTCGTTGTCTCACAGATTCTTGTCCATGTTAACGCGATCGGTCTCTTGCAGTCACTGGAAGCCATAGCTACAGCATCCATGAACGCGAGAAACATCTAGGTACTCGTTACGTATACAGTCTTTCATTCCATGGTTACGTTTTCCTGTTCTAGATTGGATGCGAATAGGTGCTTTTACGCTCGTTTCCGGCAAGGCGCTCGCTGCTGGCAGGCTCTGGCAACGAATCTCAAAGTCAAAGAGGATAAAACTCGATGAGAGCTCGGCATTGTGCCTTGTGCCAAACGTGCTCCCTGGCATCTGGATCGCAGGTTTGCTTCAGTTCAAGGTTCCCTTCATCTATTCTTACGACGCTTTCATTTTGCCGTTTTTTATTTTTATTTTTCTAGATCTTCATATGACGCGCTGCCCCGTTTGTAACTTGCCTGCATGCCCTGGTTTGGGAGAATACTTATATTTTCATTATCTTCGTAGATGAGCTAAGCCTTGTTTGCAGGGACAATGCAGACACTGGACTTTCGTAACTGGGAGTTGTTCCTGCACGAAGAGTACCAGAACAGAACATGGTCCTTCAAAGAAATCGGAATCAGGAACATCCGTGAAAACTGTGACGTCGCAGCTGGAGCAGTGTTCGATTACAAGCGCTTGATCGACAAAGACACTGCCAATTCAGGTATCCTTTCTTTTCTTTTTTTCTTTGTCAGATGTTTACTGCGGGCCACAGGCATTCTCAATTTCAAATCATGGACCGCGGAGAACGGGAACTATCAACCGGCCAGCCGCGTCTCTCCCTTCGGTGCGGCTGGATGTACCAATCTTCAAAAGAATGGTGGTGCGTATAGCAAAAGACTTTTATGATGTTGTAGAGAATTAAAACCACACTTGTGCAGGTTTGCAAGTCAAGTTCTATGCCATGCATGCTGGGGTCGGCGGGCCAGTGGTGGCCATTCGCGTTTCCCAGCAACTATTTTGACTGATCGAATAATGTGAAAGAAGGCCAAGTAACCTCCCTACCTTTCAACAAAGGTGACATCTGCTTCTTAACTTTTAGCAAGTGCCGTAAGTGAGAGCAACATCCGATCGAGGTTGAAACGCTAGAGTTCTTTGAAGCCGGTTTTACTTTGCGCTTTTGTTTACAGGTTGAAAAACACTTTTGTATGTTCCGTAGCAAAAGCCAAATCGAGGTTGAAATGCGTGGAGGCGTTTCTAATTGTTCTTTTGAAATCTTTGCATCGCAGGTTGCAAGTCTCCTGTTCTCACGTCAGTCCTAAGACTCCTAAAAGCAGCTGGTCCCTTCGCTCTCTACTCGGAAGGAAAAACGAGTTGCTGATCCAATCGATGACTGCTCGGCTTTCATCAGGATGATGGAGATCACCAGGGGATAAACTTCAAACCGTATTTCATTACCGACAGGCTTGTCAGTTTGAGCAGCTTCGTTTTGGGATTGTTACAGCTAACAGGTCCTCGCCGGGCGCCTCCTCCGATTTAGTTGAGTTTTTTTTCTTCGTTTTCCAGTACCTCTCTAATCGTGGTTCTTATAGAATTGGAGCGCTGGATGTACGTGTGTTGTAAGCCACCAGTAAGGTATGATAGCAGCAGCATATTCTAGTCTCTACTCTAACAATGTCAACTGAGTCTGCATGTACCTCGAGCGGCATTTTTGTTGATTTTTTTCTTGGCCTGCCTGATCGATTCTTTTGTATAAGATCCCCTCCAGTACGAGTCATCACATTAGATGCATTGCACGTGCCCGTGAATTTTTCTCAGAGTTTAGTTTGCAGTACCAACCACCGTCTTTCTCTTAATCCGCGTCTGCGTGTTCGTTTTCTCCTCGTGCTGCTCGTCCTGAATCTACAAATCTTTTTGTTTCAGGTTGAGAAGCCAGATTTCCCGAAAAGAATGTCTACTGTACACCTGTTTTTGCTGCTGCTGCTACTTTTTGTGCAGAGCCCGGTTCCCCTCCAGGCAGAGCACAAGATCTTCGACAGAGGAGCAGGGACTTCTTTCTCTTCTGCAACTGTAACAAACAGGTCCAGATGCAAGTGTGCATCACAATTGGATCCTGCCATCACGTGTGCAGACAATTCTCAGGAGAGCAGTAGCACCACTTCAGTAGAGCAGCAGCAGGAACCTCCAGAGCTGGCATCATTTCTTCAGTATGCCTCACCGACGCAGCAAGAATGTCAAGTTTTAGCTCTGGAGGAGCAGCGGAATGACAACGCCGCAGTCGTTTCCAGAAGTCTGGAGTTTAATCAGCAGGCCCTCTTCTCTCCGTCGATAAAGTTTCTGACGATACTGAACACTGACAACAGCTCCTTGGATCAACATTCTTCAGGCTACCAGCACAGACCAGCAGTTTTATATCCAAGCTCTTGACGAGAAAAGCGTCGTAGCTCCCGGCGAGAGTCTAACAGTGGCAGTTGTGTTCTTGCCCCGGAAGACTGGAATAGCCAGCGGGAAGATCCTCTTCCAGACCAGTGCTGGAGGCCTCGAAACGCTGGTGATTGGCGAAGCTGTCGGAAATTCTCATCAGCTTGGAAGATATTGAAGCAGTCCAAGGCAAGCTCATCCAGAGAACATTAAGTTTCTACAACCCGGACGAAGAGACCATCGAAATTACGGAACTGCATGTCTGGCCTGGAGAAGATTCTCACAAGAAAGCCCTCTGCTCGTCGGCAACTGATGAGTTGTCACCAACGGATAAAGTCTCCAGCTGCTTCGCAAATGGTTTCCCCTCGGCAATTCTCTCGAAAACAAGGACGAAAAGTATGCTTCGCACGGAATGCTAGTTTCACTGGAGAGGCTGGAGGATCCGTGGATAACACGGTATTCTCCTGGAAATACGTTGCTCCATGACTACGCTCTCAATCCTAATGTGGAACTGTCAGGGACTTGCGAAAAAGAATCGTCAGTAGCTGCAGCATAAGTGACCAAGGCTGCAAAGCAGGACAATGAAGCAGGAAGCTGGGTACAAACCAACGATTTGATGGCACTTAGAATGGTGGAAGCACTCCTCAAGGTAACTCTGAAGCTAGCAGCTTAAAACTCAAATAAGCCAGCGGCCAACTTTGTGCAGGATTTGGCACATACGTTGTTGAGACAGCGAGATATCCGAAAAGGCGGGTTGGCTGCAAATCAAAACGAGCCAACATTAATTCCTGGACAGGCACTGTCATTCGAAATGGTGCAAATAGGAGTCAAGGAAAAGATGTGGATCAACATAGTCAATCTGACGCAAGAGCCCATACTCGTCAATCTCATACTTAACACGGAGGCCAAGTGTAAGTATAGAGCAAACTGGTTTTGGCAAGGCCACAAGCCACAGGTGCACAGAGATAGCTCGGTGTTTGCTTTCGACGCAGCCGCTGTGCAGTTTTATACAATTTTTTCTTATAACAATTTAAATTTATTTCACCATCTTAAGAACTTACAAACATGTTTTCTTTTTTTTTTCATTTAAGTTTTCTAAAATTTAGTAATATTCTTTCTCGAATTTTATGAAAGACATTCACTGTATTTACCTTTTGAATTGCAATACAAATTGATAGTTTTGCTTGGTTATGAACTTCATATGATTAAGAACTTTTAAAATCAGTCTATAACATCCACATTTGTCATGGAAAAAATTATTTTCCATTTAAAAATACTTATATAAGTTCTGAAATATATATATATATATATATATATATATATATAGACACACACACACACATAAATACATACATACATATATATACATATATATACATATAAACACACTTACAATCTTCCCTCTTAGAAGATGAAAAGCTTTAATTAGATATAGTAAGTCTGGTTTGGCTGGTGGACATTTAGAGCTTTACAGGCATTAGCTAAGGTTTAAGATAAATGACAAGCACTTTGTCATCAAAAGCACAAAATGATCATTATAATTCATCTTTGGCAGATAATAATACTTACATATTATTTAATATTTTAATGATAACTTTTACATCATTTAAGTTTAAATATCTATATTAAGTTAAGGTTTAATATATATGACAATCAAAAGTGCAAAATGATCATTATAATTCACCTTTGGATTTGGCAGATAGTAATACTTATATATTATTTTCTATTTAATTTCAGAGGAACAAGACAATGACAAGTTTCACATCATTTAAGCTTTATAATTTAAGTTGAATTATTGCTAACTCTCTCTAGTTATATTTCTGTCAATGCATTCTTGCATTCAAAACTCAGATAAATAGGATCAGCATTGGGGGGTTATTGTGTTTGTAATTATTATACATCTAGAGTTACATACACTTGAGCATGGATTAAGGATGAAGGATGAAGGATGAAGTTATTAGTTATTTTTATATTATGTGTCTTCTTAAAGATTGATTCTACCTACAAAAGATCTTTATCATCTATTTATCTCTCACATAAGAATTTGATTTTTAAGTATTATCCTCATAACAAGATCATAGGTAATAATAAAAGTCATAGTTTAGATGATTATGAATGGAAGTTTGATATGATTCAAGCATTAACAAAGTATAATACATATGGGAATATCCTCTTAGCATATGCATATAAAGATTTCAAAACCAGAATTTTTGATAAAAATTATCTCTATAATGAATTTGGACATTTCTTGCATGAATTTTTTTTTCTTGGTGTAACATTTAAGGGTAATGGAATATTTGAAACAAATGGTTGGTATGGATGGCAAAATTGGGTATTTACTGGAAATTATATTAGAAATAATACATACCATGTTGAATTCTTTCCTGTATAACTTTATATAAAATGTTTTAAAAAAATAGTTTACCATTTAAAGCACTATAAACACTAAAACATATTTTCTAAAATTGAGTAGTATTCTTTCTTAAACTTTATGGAAGATATTTTACTTGCATTTGCCTTTTGAGCTGCTGATAGTTTTGCTTGATTATTAACTTAATTTGATTATAATAGTCTATAAAGAAAATCAGAAGTTCGGATAGTACTTTGACATTCAGAGTTATTAAGTTAAAATTTAATATAAACCAATAAAGGGGTCGTTGGGCATTGGATCCAAGGCTTGAGCTAACCTCAGTAAACATGGTTGCGGGAAAAATCAAGCTGATATGAGAAGTGTCTATTCTAGGGCTTTGTTCAACTTGAGCATGGGTCTATATTTATATGATTGGTGAGAGTGAGCGGGAATGTGGGTAGTCAGATATCTTGTGGGCTTGGGAGCATTGATGGAGTGCACGAAATGCTATGTGAGGTAAGATCTCCCTATTCTTGATGCGATGAAAGAGCTCGTCCAGTTTGGGTCCAACGTCTTGTTCTCTGGCTGAGCAAATTCAACCCTTCCATTGCTATTGCGGTAAATGCTGTGATCCAGTAATCTTATCATCTCCATACAAAACAAGAGCAATTCCATATCAAACAGTCGCAAAGTTTTCTACCTCCTGAGTGGGAGAAGAAAAAAATTTCAACTTTGGGAGATTCTCTTTTCCTGCAGCTGGGCTGTCGCAGCTGTCCCAATGCTTTTCTTCTCATGTTTGTCTGTCCAGGGTATGATTGATTTGTGGTGGTGGTGTGTCTCGCGCTACATGGGAATCTTTGGAATGGGGAGCTGGATTATCATGCTCACACCAGGTACTGCTCGGTTTCCCACGTCATTCACTGCTGGAGATGGAGCTGTGTCTTCTTCTTCTCACCTTGGCAGTGACAGTGGCTGGCGGAACTCGGTTATCACCACCGCCACTGAGGTTCTGCTCTTTGAAACAAAGGCTAGACATCAGGCCTTGGGAAGCTGGGAAAGAAAATTGCAAACAAGATTTCACATTCGGACTCTAAAGTCTTCTATGAGTGCTGAGCTTTTTTTATTTTAAGTGTTTAAAGAATGTACACTATCATTGTTAAACTCTGTCCCAAAAAACTTCTGTTCTATAGTTTGAAAGCCTCTTTCCACTACAATAGTTAGTGTCTGGAGTGAGCTATGAACCCAAAGAAATGACATAGGGTAGTGCCATGCCCGAATGCTGTCCAAGCCAGGTTCGTTCTTCTCTGTCCGGAAATAATTTGCCTCTCTGATAATATGGGTTTGATTAATAATTTTATTAAGTGTTAGTATAGTTTACTGTCAAAACATTTCAAGTTTTAAATCTGATAATGCATACACCATTTATATACACACCATTTGCATCATGACAGAATTTTTTGCACAGCCCAGCATTTGCTGGGCGTGCTAATGATCATTATAATTCTTCACCTTTGGGTTTAGCGGACAATACATATTATTTTCTGTTTTAATTTGGAGGAACAGGACAATAACAAGATTTACATAGTGTAAGTTTAAAATATATAAACTTAGGAGGCATTAAATTAAGGTTTACTATAAAAGACAAGCATTTCGTTGTTATAGGATCATTATAATTCATCTTTGGAATTGGCAAACAATAATACTTACATATTATTTTCTATTTTGGCGAAAGAAGAAAATGACAACTTTGACATTTTTCAATATTAATAGTTTATAATTTAGGTTGAATTATTGCTAACTCTCTCTAGCTTATCAATGCATTCTTGCATAGGATAAATAGGATGAGCATTAGAGGGTGATAGTGTTTGTGATTAAACATCTAGAGTGATACACTTGAAACAGATTACGAATGAAGCTATTAGTTATTTTTATATTATGTATCTTTTTAAGAATTAATTTTACCTACCAAAGATCTTTATCATCTATTTATCTCCCAGATAAGAATTTGTTTTTTAAATATGATCTTCCTAAAAAGATAATAAGTAATAATAAAAATCATAGTTTAGATGATTATGACTGGAAGTCTGATATGATTCAAGCATTAACAAAGTATAATACATATGGGAATATCGTATTATCACAGGCATATAACAATTTCAAAATCAGAAGTTTTGATAAAAATAAACTTTATAATGAGTTTGGATTTTTCTTACATAATATTTTTTTTGTTGGTGTAACATTTAAGGGTAGTGGTATATTTGAAACAAGTGGTTGGTATGGATGGCAAAATTGGGCATTTATGGGAAATTATATTAGAAATAATACATATCATGTTGAATTCTTTTCTTTATAACTTAATATTGATTTTAAAAATATATTTAAAATATTTTACTTTAAAACATTCAACAACTTAGAATTTTAAAATATGTTTTCTTTTATGTTTTATAAGTGCTCAAGATATGAGAATAAGTATATTGATTGAGACAAATTATATACAAGAATAGATAAACCAGATTCAATCTCAATTGCACAATCCATATATATGAAAATCCTAATTCATATGCTACACTATTATAATTAGTGTATTTACCTTTTGATGTTAATATATATATATATATATATATATATATATATATATATATATATATATATATATATATATATATATATATATATATATATATATATATATATATATATATATATATATATATATATATATATATATAAAATACAACTTTACATTTTAAGTTTTCTATAAATCCCACACTAAACACTAAACACAGCAGGTAAATCTAAAGTTTATTTAGAAAACAAATACAGGTTTAACAGTTGCCTCGGAAGTGCTTGGCTCGAAGTTATTACCCGTTCTCCAAAATCTCTCGCAAGTGAAGAAGCTACATAGCAAAGTTTCACAATGGTCTCTCCACAGGCATGTGATGATCTCGAGTTTCTTCTTGTCATTGCTCTCTTCAAATTTCTCTGTGGTGAGAAATCACTGCCGGAAGCACGCTGGTGCTCCAAGTTTACTGTCCGCGATCGCGAGAACTCGGTAGTGCTTACCCATGCCCTGGATTTTGTAGCCGTCGTCTCCCTCGGACAGCCATGGAGGAGGTCCTTCTCCAACCAGTCTCCAGTATCCCAACTGGAGTTTCTCGCCCTGCTCATCGCTAGCATCTTTGACGAGAGCTTCCAGCCGGACGTTTATCCCGAGCATTGCAAGGAACTCCTGCTGGAAAATTGGGCCATAAGTTGATACCGTGGCTGCAAAAAGAGTTGAAGGCATTAGAAAGTCTAGAAAAGCTTGCAAGGACTTACGGCTTGCTGTTTCAGCGACCATCCTTTTGATGGCTGCAAAGTCGACATGAGCACTGAGGTCTGCTGTTCCTGGCTTATCCAAAACATTGACGAACTCGTGATTCCTTATGGCCTGCGTTTTACTCGAGGTAAGCAACTGGAGAGCTCTACAAAATAAAGGGAACAAACAAACCTGGAAACTGTCCGTAACAGGCTCGTCTTTGCCATAGTCGATGATAATCCCACCACCCGAGTCTTCGGCTACGCGCTTCGCAATTTCCTGGCTTACTTGCAGCGCTTTCGGACACACTTCTATGTGATGTATACTTTCTTCCTCCACGGCAGTAATCCAGTTAAGCCGCTTTTTAAGATACAGTAGAGTGGCTGCAGTAGGCTGCGAAGACAAAACAAACCGGAATGCTCCACTGGAAACAAAACATTTGTCAAAATAGAACATTCAAGTGAAGGAAAACGATTCGCTTGCCTGGAATCCACATCAATGAGCTTCTCACACCAGCCAACAGGCGTTTTCTGTGAAAGTCGATGCTCAGAAAAACTATATCGGTGCAGTTCCGTGCCTGACTCACCTGGAACTGGTGTATTGGTAGAGCATCAAAAAATTCCTGCGCAATTATAATGGTCGGAACTGCATCCACCGATGAAGAATATTTGAAACAACGAACAAAAGGCAACTAACCTCCTCGAGGAACGTCCTTTAGATCTAAATACCACGCCACATTGGTTTCAAATCTCTGGCTTCGGCTGTTCTCAACAGCCGGTCGATCGCCACCCTCGTGTTTCTTTTCCTCGCTGGGGCATTGCAATGCTCTCCGCTGCTGCTTACGAAGGGCTGGGCTACATTCGACAAAGTGGATTGATAACGCCTTGGAGAAGTCTTTAAATGTAAGAGTACTCTGCGGGCAAGCACACGAAAAGAAAAAAAATTAGAAACAAAATGTGGACCTTAAAGAAGTAAGCTAGTACCCGTAACAAGTCCTGCATGAGCGTACCTCGACCCGGTCCTAGTTCTACAAGTTGGAGTTTCCTGGGCTTTCCCATTTGCTCCCAAAGACTCACGCTCCAGATTCCAATCATCTAGACGAGAAAAACTTGGCTTTGATCACCGTGCAAGGCAAAGAAAATCTTTCCAATACCTCGCCAAACATCTGGCTCACGTCTGGTGATGTGATAAAACTTCCAGCCGCTCCAAAGACTTCCTGGTGTAAGTAGTAGCCGGCGGAAGGATTTGTAAGAACCTCCTCCATATACTCGGCCACAGTGATCGGTCCTCCACGAAACTAGCAAGCCAAAATCATGAAAGAAGAAAACAAAAAGGAAAAAATATGAAAGAGAATAGAAGAACTTACCGTAATTATCGATTTCAGCTGCTTCTCCATGTCAGTCTCGGCGATTTGCGGCGATTGATAATCTGGAATCCACATCGATCCCACATTTTTGGAGAAACAAGATCATACCTTCAGGGACGTGCAATCCACTGCGATCGATTGAGAGCGACGGTGTTGCCGTGCTCTCCGCCGTGGCGCTTGATTCATTAGCGCTCGATTCCTTGACTACGGAGAAGAAGCGAGCGGCAGAGAGGGCGAGGCGACGGCGAATATTACAGCGCATCGCCAGCGCCATAGCCATAAACCCTAAAACCCAGAGCCGTCGGATCGGCACTAACGGTCACAGCAACGAGCGGCTACGATGTGAGAGCGCGAATGCATCGTCGGATCTTTAGGGCAAAAGAGCCAAGAATCCTGGCTCCCATTTCGCAGCGATCGATCGTCTCCGACAATGCCCCAGGTATGCTTCGCTCGCGATACGCGAGCGCATCGAGAATTCCCTGGCGCCATTGCGCAGTGATGATCGCGTCACGGAGCGGGCTCGTCCCGAAATGAGGTATCTTTTGATTTTCTAGAATCGAAATTTTGCTTAGATCGCTCATGCGCTTCCAGAAAGCAAACGCTCGATCTGGCACAACAAGCTCAAGTCGCGGCTTGTTTGTACCTCGGATTCGATCCACACGAGATAAAATACAACCAGCATGTTTGGCAAAAGGTAAGCTTTGTTCTTTCTTTTGTGTCATTCTCAATCACTTTCTTTTTGTGATTAGAATCTTGAAGCTCAGTACTCCAGACCACTGGAGCTCCATTTACATCACCACCACCACCACTACATGGACAAGCCAGGCTCCAGAAACTTAGCAGACATAGACAAGAGCTCGAAAAAAAGTGGGGCACTTCTGGATGCTCCAAAGGCAGAGTTCTTTGTAGAGGAGAATAGCTGCCATCAGGAGATGATCTTAAGAAGGGATATGGAATCTCTTGCTTACGCGGATACGAACTATAACACCGGCACCTTGGGGTACGTGCCGCCTAGCAGAGGGAACCCGGTTCTACTACAGGAGTGGGACGTAAATTCTGGCACAGAGACCGACTATGGAAGTCACTACTACATCTCGTCGTCCAAGACCGAGCGAGTAGCGACGAGTGTCAAGCGGAAGAAACACTCTAGCGAACAGCAAAATCCGAAGATAGGTTCACGTCCGGATTGGAGCTGTGAATCCAGAGTAGACTCAAACACCTGCTCGCGCTCAGACTATGACGAACCCAGCATTCCGGAGCACAACTTTAGAAACAGCCCTTCACCGGTATGTTTTCTAGTTTTACTTTATTGTTGATTCTGATTTAATCTTTGAGTTGGACAGACTTGCAGAATAAACCACGAGCAACTTGGTGCTGGTCAGTTCGTGATGAGACGGTCGATTCCAAGAGCAGAACTAGCAATCAGTCGGATGAATGTTCGGGAGAACAGTCTCTTTGTCGAGGACAACGCAAGGCTTGAACACCTCCCTCAGGTTTCTAAAGTTTTCCTGTTGTCATTTTACGCTAGTTCTGAGTTTTGTTGTCCATTCTTAGGCTTTAGAGGCACAACCGCGGGTTCATAGCGTTAATCTTAATGAAGAGGAAACAAAAAAGGAAACTTTGAGACTTCAACAGTTGCTGGCACATGAAAAGATGAAAGGGGACGCGTACCGGAATCAGCTGCTAAGTGTTCAAAAAAAGTACAGAGCACTTTCCGAGGGAATGCAGGAAGAAAAACATGAAACACCGCGTTCAACAATCAAAGAAGAGAAGAATCATGTTCATGATCGACCTGAGGTACTAAGTATGACAAGAAAATCAAAATTTAATCTATGTTATTTTACAGACGCCCTCAGGCGACGATACTCCTAGGAGCTGTGATTCCCGAAAAAGCTCCGGCAAGGTACGAGTGAAAGCTCTCTGCTATTTTCTAACAAAGTGTGTGGATTTCAGGCCTTCGAAAATGTATCAAAAGGCTCTGAGAGTCTTGAAAGTAAGACGGTCATGGAAGGCCGTTCGAATGATGCTGAAAATGATCTCAATGATCTCTTACGAAATTTCAGCAAGCGTCTGGACAAGAAGTTGAAAGAGGAGATGTTCGTAAAAGTTACCAAAGCAATTGAGTCTGTTCTCGACAACGGTTGCTCAACAGAACAGAGCGGAAACAAAACGGGACTCGTCAATAAACCGGAGGTTAGAAAGCCGACTCCGGAAACAAAAAATGACTTGGCCTTCCAATCTTGTGGCTACGAGAGGCCAGCTAGTTGCGACGATCAACCAGAACAAAAATCGAAAAGAAACAATTCGTCCTGTGCTCCCAATGGTTATTCCAACGTTTATTTATCTCCTGTTTATGAAGAACAAAGACATTACAGCGATCATGACCGATATAGAACAAGTTCAAGCCATAAGGATGCAGACAAGGATTATTCACTCGAGAAACCGGATCATCGCAACTTGGAGAAATCCTTTGTGGCAGCAGAACAAGGTGACATTTGCTCTTTTTTAGCCATCTCGTTTTTCTACACTGTTTTAAATCAGGCGAACTGCGCGACCTCGAAACAGCTGTGCAGAATCTCAGCGTGGTTTGTCAAGAGCATAAAGAAAAGCTTGAAAATCTCAGTTTTGGCGACTGTGACAAAGAACAGCATGACGTGAAACATCTGCGAGAGCACTACGTGACGATTTTGAAGCAAATAGGAACTCATGTCAATGACTTAAACTGTGACATTGAAGAGGTCTGAAGTTATTCCTGCGTGTTTCCGGTTTCTTATTCTGTTTTTTCAGTTTTCACAGGAAAAACAGGATGCGACTAACGAGTTCAAGGTTTCAGAGCTTTCTGAAGAAGTCAAGGCAAAAGAAAAAGCTCTCCACCACGCCGAGGAAGTAAACCAGCAGCTAGCGAGTGAAATGTCCAAAACCGAGACGGCACTTTCGCTACTTCGACTTCACTGCACTGATCTGAAGACATCGCTGGAGGCCGAGGTGGAAGAAAGCAAAGGCGACGTGAGTTTCATGCTTTTCGATAAGCTAGTTCTCACACCTCTTTTTTGCCTGACAGATACAATTGTTAGAGAAAACGATAATGCAATTGAAAGAAGACTTGACAAAGAGCGTATGCAAAGGGGCGACTCTGGCAGAAGACTTGAAAAAGAGCGAGTCAAAAGTAGCGGTGCTGGAAGACGCTGTGAGCGGCAAAGACTCGGAAGTCCAAGAGGTAAAGAAGAAGATGTGTGGGATACAGAAGGAAGCGGATGAAGCTCTGCTTGAAAAGTACGAGCTTGTCAAGCGGGTGCACGAATTCAAGCGAGACGCGAATGATCAAAAGCAACGGATAGATGAGCTAGTCGGGATCAACGACGAGCTTTTAGTCTTTGCTCAAGGGAAAGAAGCAGAGGTGACTTTGTATGATCCAAGCTCTAAAGTGAGTTTTCGTTTTACAGGTCGCGTCAAACACTGCGCAAATCAAAGCTCTCCAAGAAGAAAACGCGAGGCTGGCAGCAGCAGTCACGCAGGCCACCAAGAAACTTAAAGAGAAGGACGATCTAAACTTAGAATCCGATTCCCTGCGTACAAAGCTAGCAGACACCGAGTACGAGCTCTCACAGCGCGAGGAAGCGCTGACGAGATTGAGCTCGCAGCTCTCGTCCACCATTGAAATCCAGGACAAGAACGCTGAGGAAGCCGAGCAGCTACGAGCAAAGCTCAGAACCTCCGAGCTCGAGGCCGCCAAGAAAGACGACGAGATCCACCAGTTGAGGGTGGTCGTCCACGATCTCCGGATCAAGCTGACGAAGATGGAGGCGCAGGAAATCGAGGACGATCTGAGACTGCTCGAGGGGCTCGACATCAAAGCTGGACGAGGAACCAAGAGTTGCGACGATGTTTTCAGCATGCTCCAGAGCTCCGGGGACATGAGGTGGAAGGTCCAGCAGCTGGAAGAAGAGATCCTCGAGAAAGAAGGCCAGATCGCCATCCTGAGGAGCTCTTTTCCGGAAGAATACGACTCCATTTTCTAGAAAGACGAAAAGAAACGCGAAGTGTACATCAGCTTTCCTGTACAGTGAAGTTAACATACTAGAGAACATGAAAGTGATAAATTCTACCTCGTCTTAGTCGAACGAGTCGAGCCAAGCGTCGAAATCTTCTTCCAAAGCTGGTGGTGTCACCCCACGCTTTTCCGTCTCCAAAGGTGACACGCTGGTGGAGGGATGGGGCTTCGCATCCTCTGGCGGAGACCACAACAAAGTCTCGAGATCTTTCTGCGACATGAAAGTGGAGCTTTGCTCATCCCCAACCAGCTGAAAATCTAGGCCGCCACCACTGACGTTGCCAAGCTTGACACCATCTTCTTTATCTTCTATGGCGACGTTGTCCAGCAAGTCGAGCAGCGCATCCAGTTCGGCCTCTCTTTCATCTCGTTGCGGGACAAAAGATTGCTCTGTGACCGTGTCTTTGAACGACAAGGCTTTGCCGTTCTCGGGATCTTGCAATGCGGTGTCGAGCCATTTCTTGACGTCCTCGACCTCAGTTCTCGTACCTTCTACGTTCTCCCGTTGAAAATCCATTGTCCGAGAATCGACTTTGTCAATCCGCGAAGAAGTAGCTCCCTGTTCTTGAACGTCACCACCGTCTCTAGGACTCGTGTCCTCTTCATCCGAGACGAGCTACAAGAATGGCGGTCAGATCAAACACTAAGAAAAAGAAAAGAAGCAAATACCAGCTCGGAAGGTAGCGTCTCATCGTCGAGAAAGAGCCTTTTTTTCAAGCTCACTTTGGCAAGGCGCTGGCCAAGCAGCTCTAAATCCAAAGAAAGAAACGGAGCCTGGACGAGCAATGGTCTCTTCAATCAAACTAGAAAGGAAAAGAATACCGTGCTGGTTTCCGGATCGTCGAACGCGTAGAGGTCCGCGAATGCGTCCTCGAAAGGATCCAATCCACGAGAAAACACTGGAAAGAAACACAACCCAGTCTTGCAGCGAGCTACAAAGAAATATTTTCTTTGCTACCTCCTGAGAAGTCTCCAGTGCCGATCACTGGATCCTGTGCTAGAAGCTCCGCGTAATCCAGCCCCTGGCTCCTAGATTTCGTCCCTTGCTCGTCGTCATCGACGATTCCTTCCAGCGGAAGAACATCCTCGTACCCAACCCAGGCGCTCGGACTCACCAGAGGCTGCGATTCGCCGGGAACGCCCCTCGAGAATCGGCGTCGCCCCCGCCGAGAGCTCGCATGCTTGGCTCTCGCCATTGTCTTGTCCATAGCTAGAACCCTAAAAATAATATCTTTGCATATTCCTTCTTGGAAGATCAAGTTTGTTCTCTTCGTCGCATGGCCGCCACTGCCGCCGCTGCGTCGAGCGCCACATTCGCGCTGGGACGATCTTCTCCCGGTGTCTCGCAGCTTCGTCCAGCTCGGGGAAGTTCTCCCTTGCTCATCGCCGGCAAGAGGTTGTGTTCTTCGGTGTAATATTTCCCTCTCTCACGCTCAATCGCAGGAAATCGGCAAGAATTTCGGCAACATTGCTGACAGAGAAGCCAAATTCGCCAGCGCCAGCATCGCAGGAGCCAGAATCTTTGCCCGGGAATGAAGAACAACAGGAAGAAGCTCGATTGGCGAGCAGCTCGAGCCCATCTAGCTCCGACAAGCCCGAGTCGTGGATCATTCGGGTGGAGCAAGGTTTCAATCTGTTCGCTACGGTACGAAAACTCCTCCGATGTCCCGATTTTTTTCTTCTAGTGATCGATCGTTCCTTTTCTTCAGGATTTTGTAATAGCAATCTTAGATCGACTGTATGCTGACCGGGACTACGCAAGATTTTACGTTCTCGAAACAATCGCAAGAGTTCCTTACTTCGGTATTTTTTTTTTCGTGGCTTTTTTCCCTCTCTTTCTGATGATAAGTTTCCTAGCTTTTGTGTCTGTTCTTCACATGTATGAGAGTTTCGGGTGGTGGAGACGAGCAGACTATCTCAAAGTACATTTCGCTGAGAGCTGGAATGAGCTTCATCACTTACTCGTCATGGAGGTAAGATCTTTTCTCGCGTTTTAGTTTTGCTTAAAATCACGATTCTTTCTTTGAGATTCATCCAGGCTTTGGGTGGAGATGAGCGATGGTTTGATCGCTTCCTCGCTCAACACATCGCCGTAGCTTACTACTTCCTCACTTCGCTTATGTACACCATCAGTCCACGCATGGCATGTAAGAATCTAGACAGGAATTTTTAGCTAGAACTGACTTGCATCCTGGCAGATCACTTCTCCGAATGCGTGGAGAAACACGCGTTCTCAACTTACGACAAGTTCATCAAGGCCCATGGAGGTACTGTCAAGAAAAGCGAGCTTCACAGTTTTCCAAAACAATCCCAATGCTATCTTTCGTTTGCGCAGAGGAGCTAAAGAAGCTTCCCGCTCCACAGGTTGCCGTGGATTACTACACGAAAGGCGACCTTTACATGTTTGGTAAGTAGACAAAGTCTCAAAACTGTCCAGATCTCTAAAAATCGCGTCCTGTTCCCAGACGAGTTCCAAACAGACAGGCTTCCCGAAACACGACGGCCAAGAGTCGGTACTTATCAAGTCTACCACTTTGGTTTTTCTATCGCTAATCACCGCGGAAAATCCTTATCCAGATAATCTCTATGACGTCTTTGTCAACATCCGAGAAGACGAATGGGAGCACTGCAAGACGATGAAGGCCTGCCAAGTTCGCGGCAACCTCCATTCCCCTCACTCCACAAAGCTCAAAGATCTTCCAGACGAAGCACAAGATGAAAAGGAAGATGGAGAAGACGAAGAAGAAGTGGCCGAATGCGCGGGCATAGTGGAGTGCGCGATTACAGCAACATCACACGCGGAGCGAGCACGCAAGAAGAGCACGGGTTTATACGATCACTAAAGGTAAGAGCTTTGTTTGCTTCACTGATTTGATTTCTATTGATCGTCTTCTTTCTGTTTCGCAGCGATCACCGGAAGTATATAGATCGAAAGATTGATAACTTCAATCCGCCAGCAGGCTTCTGTAAAAGATAACGCACCTTCTTCTTTTCTTGGTGTTCTTCAGGTTGGTTCGTCCATTTGGCTTTTGTAAAACATATGGTATGCTTCGATCACTTCGAAGCTCCAGAAGGACTCGGCGTTGGGCGAGGAGGAGAGATCCACGAGCTTGTGAACCTGGAAGACAAAGTTTAGATCGATATCGATCGAGAGAGAGATGATGAAAACGATTCGAGAAAACTCAAGGAGATAGATCACATTACACGAGAGAGAGAGAGAGAGAAAGCTTACCGTGATCTTCTTCTCTGCTGGATTGTAAGCTCCGGCTATGAGCATGTACATGCCTGGTAAAAAGAAATCCAAAACTCCAAGAACACGTAGAACAAGCTCACCAGGTTTTGACGAGCGCTTATCCTCGGCGTCCGGGAAATGTAGCTCCACAATCGCGCTGCCATCGTCGAGAGCCAAGGAATTTCCTCTCCAATCTACAATCACGCCCTGGAAGTCGATTCTAGCATCGCGATTCATCCACGGGGATCTACCTGGATCCAGACACGCTGAAATCGAAGAGCTCCAATGGTGGTGATGGGAGATCTTGCCGCGCTAGCGCCCGTGCTTGCCCTTGCGAGATCGCTGACCAAGAGCTTTGGCGCCGCGAGGCTATAATCCATTTGCCAATAAACCCTAGAACTTCTAGAGCTTCTTGGGCGGGAGTGGCACTTCCTCGATTCGATCGATTACCGCGGGGCTGGAATCCGCGATCTCTAGCTTCGCCAGGCATCGCGTTGCTCGATCCGCCCGGCGAGCATCGCCGTGAGCTCTACTCGCGGCCAGCAGCGTCGACCACGCCACTCCGCGCGGCTCGAATGGCATGGAATCGATGAGCTCCTCGGCCTCGCCAGTGCGCCCGGATCGCCCCAGCGCATCGATCATACAGCAGTAGTGCTCCTCCTGGCGGCGCAATCGCCGATCCTCGCCCATGGCCGCGAAGTAGATCCGCGCGTCTTCCACGAGACCCGCCCGAGCGCACGCCATGAGCACGCCCACCATCGTCGTCTCGTCCGCGCGAAATCCCTCCAGCTCCATCGCCCGGAAGAGCTCCAGCGCCCACAGCCCCTCGCCGCTGTGCGCGCTGCCCTTGATCATCGCGTTCCACGACACGATGTCGCGATGATGCATCGCCTCGAACAGTGCCCTGGCCGGAATCAAACGGCCCCTGCTCGCGTACGCCGAGATCATCGTGTTGATCGTCGCGACGTTGCGATCCCTCGAGCGATTGAAGAACGCTTCTCCCTCGTCAAGATGCCCGTTCTGGGCAAATGCATGAAGGAGAGCGTTAGATGCGACGATGTCGTGCACAGGCATGCGATTGAACGCTTCAGATGCGTCCCTCGCGTAACCGGCCTGCCCGTACGCCGCGATCAGGGCCGTCCACGTGGCAACGTCCCGGCTTGGCATCGTCACAAACAACTCGTGAATCTCGTCAAGATGCCCAAACTGGGCATATGCCGTAAGCACGGTATTATACGATATTAGATCCCTCTTTGGCATTAGCTCGAATATCCGCTTTGCTTCCTGGATGTGCCAAGAAGTGCTACACGCAAGGATTAATCCATTCCACGTAAATACGTCCCTTTTTTTCATGGTATCAAGTGTTTTTTCGACAGATGCAAGATTCCCTGATTGGGCATATGCCGATATTATAATGTTTCCAGTGAAAATATCGGGTTCTGGAATCTCACCGTACAAGCACTCCATCGCGAAAAGATCCGAGTCCGCCGAATATGCCGCCAACATGGCGTTCCACGTGACCACATTCCTGTACGGCATTCTATCAAACACGCACCTAGCTTGGGCAAGATGCCCTGAACGAGAATATCCAGATACCATGGCCGTCCAGGCGACCACATTGCGAACCTCCATGGCGTCGAATATCCGCTGGGCTTGAAGCATATGCCCGTTGTGGGCATATGCGTCGAGCATGATGGTCGCGGAGTAAAGATTCGGCTGAAAAATCCGATCAAACGCCTCGCGGGCGAGATCAAGCTCGGCGCACTTGCCGTACATCTCCACGGTGAGATTGGCGAGGAATGTGTTGTGGGCGTGCTCGGATCTTGTGATGTCTGCGTGGATTTCTCTCGCTTGGGTCGAGTCGCGACACGATCGGAGCATCTGGGTGTAAGCGGTGACCTCTTCGATCGATCGTAGCTTCTTTTCTGCCTCCTCGAGCTCTAGCTGGTACGGACTTCCCGGGAGGAACATCGCCTTGGACTTTGCACGCCTGATTACGTGCATTCTCTGCTCGAGAAAGATGGTCTACCGTACACCAGTGTTCTCGTGTTCTGGACAACTTTGTCTAGCATGAATGTGTCAACTTGCATCCAGCTCGTGAAGTCTTGCGGGAATGCGCGAAATCCCGTCCTGGCCAAACAGATCCACGACCAAATCCGAGGAACGCATCACGAGAATGATCGTCTCGTTGCAAATCTCTTGGTGGAGATGTACGGAAAGTGCGGCCAAATGCGAGAGGCAAAAGAAGCTTTTGACAGCATTAAAGAACCAAATGTTTTCTCGTCGACTATTTTTCTTACTGCATATGCCCAAAACGGGCATATTGTTGCTGCAAAGTCCTTTTTTGATCAAATGAGCGAAAGAAATATATACTCTTGGACCACACTAATCACTTCTTTTGCATCATACAAGGATTTAGAATCGGCTCTAGACACGTTTACTAGAATGCCTGCCTGGAACAATGCCACTTGGAATTCTATCGTGTCAGCTTATACCCAAGCTGGGCATATTCTTGATTTCATGGATTTTGAAAAATTCAATACCGAGATGACTTGCAATGCTTTGATTTGGGTGTTTTTGCAGAATGGCGACCTGGATAAGGCTCGAGATCTGTTTGAGAGTGCGTCCCATCGAGATATAGTTTCATGGAACACACTTTTGCAAGGCTACGTGGATTGGGAGCTCATCGAGGAAGCAGCAAACTTGTTTGAGAGAATGCCAGCACACAATGCAGTGAGTTGCACGTCCGTGATTTCTGGATTTTCTCTTGTCGGTGATTTTGATCGGGGTCAAAGCGTCATCTCGTCAATTCTCCAATGGGACGTTGTTGCTGTCAATGCGATGCTCCAGTTTCTCGCAGAGTTTGGTCTGATCCAAGAAGCGTTTGGGGTATTAAAAAAATCGCCAGCACACTCTGTGGTGACGTGGACATCCATTGTCACGGCATATGCCCGATCTGGGTATCTTGACAAAGCGAGGTTTCTCTTTGAAAAGATGCCAGAGAGGAATTCCGTGACGTGGAATACCCTGCTGATGTCATATGCCCACGCTGGGCGTGTCGACGTGGCAGAGAAGATTCTTGGGTATTTTCCCCAGCACAGCACCGTGGCCTGGAACTCCATGCTCAAAGCTTACGGAGATGCGATGAATCTAGCAACGGCAAAAGACTTCTTTGACAAAATGCCATATCGCAGCACACAATCGTGGAATGTTATTCTTGACGCATACGCCGGGACCAAGAATCTCGAGGAATCTTTCAGTGTCTTCACAAGTATGCCTCAGCACGACGAGTTCTCTTGGTCGATTTTGATCTTGCTTGTGAGTGATTCTGGAAATGTAGACCAAGCAATCAATCTTTTCAACAAAATGCCATATCAAAACGTACTGTGCTGCAATGCCCTCTTACAAGCATATGCCCAAACCGGGAATATGCACCCGATATCTCGATTCCTTTGTCAGTCGAACCTCCTTGGAATCAGGCCGAACCAGACCACATTTGCTTCGGTCCTTACCGGGATTAGCTACGTCGGTGCCCTGGAGGATGCCCGAAGCTGTTTTGGCAGCATGGTTTGGGACCATGGCATCCCAGCTTCGGCAATGCACTTTTGCTGCGTGGTTGACGTGCTGGGACGGGCTGGTCAGATCAAAGATGCCATGGATCTGGTGGACAGCCTTCCGTACAATCCCATGGAAGTGGAATGGACGGCATTGCTTGGAGCTTCCAAGACGCAAGGGGATATTCGCACAGGTGCATTGGTGGCATCTAGAGTGACCGAGTTTGATTCCCATAACTCTGCCGCATATTCTCTGCTTAGTAATGTTTGCTCCTTTGCCAGCGAAATAGAGGTTCCTTGACATGGTAGCAATTGCCTTTTCTGGGCATCTACTGTTAGATTTGGACGGCGTGGATGCAATGGAAATGTTTTTCTTACAGTATTCGAACTGGCGACCTTGTCAGTTAATGTTTTATGTGCCAGGTATCGAACGCTAGGTCGATCGTCGTTACGCGGCTATGGCGTCCAAGAGCATTGCTTGGCGCCGCGAGTAGCGTTGCCGCGGCAGGCGATATTTCGCGCACCGATGTAGCTTGGATCGACGCAAGATTCTTCCCTCGGTGGGATTCCAGCGCTTGGAGCTGCAATGGCGGGGCGGGGGCTTCGGATGAACAGAGTCAAGCCTCTGGCCTACCGAGCGATCGTTCCAACAATGCTGGTGGTTCTCTTCATCACAACCGGGGCGCTGATCTACGGCGAGACCCCGGCATCGTATCCGGTGAGTGATCCTGTCGTTTTCTTGCAAAATCTGGGGAGCGCGCTCAAATCTGTGGTGGAATCCAGGTGAGCGCCGAGGCGAGCGATGCCTACCCCAGCCATTTGCGATTCTACATGAAGCGCACGATCTTGGCGCTCAGATCGAGGCAAGATCCACTCCGGGCGAGGGCGGAGAGTCTTGTCAAGCAAGCGAAGGATCAGCTGGCGGTGGTGAATGCCTACGCCGCGTACGCGAGGCGAGGCAAGCTTGATGTGGCGAGACAGGTGAGAATCTTCACGGATCAGGCCAGGAACTACACGGAGTTACTGGCGAGGCCAGAGAACCGGGGTTTGATAGATAGCAATGGTGGCGCAGTGGATCCGGAAGCTCTCAGGGCCTTCGAGAGGGATTTGAGGGAGAGATTGCGGGTGACGCGGCAACTCATGATGGATTCCAAGGAGCTCTTTGACAACCAGCTCAAGATCCAGAAGCTCAAGGACACCATCTTCCAGGTGAACGAGCAGCTCACGAGAGCCAAGAAGCAGGGAGCTTTCGCGAGCCTCATTGCTGCCAAGTCAGTGCCCAAGAGCTTGCATTGCCTGACGATGAGGCTCATGGAGGAGAGAGTTTCCCATCCGGAGCGCTACGTTGATGGTCCGGAGCCTGCCCCCGAGCTGGAAGATCCATCGCTGTTCCACTATGCGATCTTTTCGGACAACGTGATCGCGGCGTCGGTGGTGGTGAACTCGGCCGTGAAGCATGCCCGAGAGCCCGAGAAGCACGTATTTCACGTGGTGACGGATAAGATGAACTTGGGAGCCATGAAAGTGTGGTTTACGATGAGAAAGCCGGAGAAAGCTCACATCGAAGTGAAGGCCGTGGAGGACTACAAGTTTCTCAACTCGTCCTACGTACCGGTGCTCAAGCAGCTCGAGTCGGCCAACTTGCAGCGCTTCTACTTTGAGAACAAGATGGAGAACGCGACCAAGGACGCCACCAATATGAAGTTTCGCAACCCGAAGTACCTGTCGATGCTCAACCATCTCCGCTTCTACTTGCCGGAGATGTATCCCAAGCTGGACAGGATACTCTTCCTCGACGACGACGTGGTGGTGCAGAAGGATCTGACAGGGCTGTGGGAGATCGACATGGACGGGAAGGTGAATGGGGCGGTGGAGACGTGCTTTGGCTCCTTCCACAGATATGACAAGTACATGAACTTCTCGCACCCTCTCATCGCGTCCCGATTCAATCCCAAGGCTTGTGGCTGGGCATACGGGATGAATTTCTTCGACTTGAATGCTTGGAGGCGAGAGAAGTGCACCGAAGAGTATCACTACTGGCAATCCAAGGTAACAAAAAAAATGTCGTTGAATGTACTCAACTTGTTCTTTGCAGAATGAGAACCGCAGTCTTTGGAAGCTTGGAACCCTGCCGCCGGGTCTCATCACCTTCTACAAGACGACCAAGCCTCTGGACAAATCGTGGCACGTACTGGGCCTGGGATACAACCCGAGCATCAGCTTGGAGAAGATCAGGAGCGCAGCGGTGATTCACTTCAACGGGAATATGAAGCCGTGGCTGGATCTAGCCATGAACCAGTACCGGGAGTTTTGGACGAGGTACGTGGATTACGACATGGAATTAGTTCAGATGTGCAACTTTGGACACTGAAGAAGCAGCAGTGAGCTCTTCAGCTGTCTTATCGACCATGCGGCGTTTCTATGTAGCTAAGTATGCTAACACTTCACACCATTTTTTGAGGCGTATAAAGATGATATCTGTGAATCGTGTCGGCTTATATATGTATTTTGTGTTTCTCCAGTTTTCTTTGTCCAGGAAACAATCTCTTGACTTCTCGAGCCTTCGCGCACTAGTGAAGGTACGTCCATTGATTTAACGTTTGATCTTTACTTGAGGTGTTTCTTTTTCGCAGGAGGAAATGGAAGAATTGGAAGTCCTGTGATTCCAATTGCTTCACGTTTGCGGCAAGTGGAACAAAGTGGAAAAACTCGACCAAGCCTTGGATTAACTTGATAATTGTCGGATTCAGGAAAGCCTTTAACGTAGTTTGGGATGGCGATGAAGCTGCTCTGGGAGGTGGAGTTCTGGCATTGGTAAGGTGATATTAAGTTGAGAAGCACCGGGTCTAAGCTGGTTTTGTGGAATCCACAGGTATGGGCCTAGCGATGCTTGTCCAAGTTCGAAAGTTCTAGAGTTTTGTTTTTCGAGTCAAGATGTTGACGATGAAGAACCAAAGCAGTGAGTTTTGGTCGGTTTTGGTTGTTGCTTTCGAGTCTTGTTAGCTACCGAAATTCTCATTTCTTTGTTTTTTGTTTGCTGTGTGTGTTGTAGGACATTTTTTAATCTTCTTCGATGCTCAAGCGTGGGTTTGGTGATGAGGACAGGACTGATTGGTGCATAAAATATTCTCTTTGGTTTGTTTAACAGTGTCTTTCTTCTGACTGGGAAAGCGACGGCAAAACATCGACCATCTTCGGTGATACGTACGTACGTTGTCGTGGTCTTCGATATTTACTCATACCTCTTCTTCCACAGATTCTTTTACAAGATCATCTTTCGAACTTTCGTCTTCTCAGCCTTGGATTCCGCATCTATCGAGAGCATTCGGCATGCATGAACAGAATTCGCGACCTTCTTCCCATCTGACAAACTCTGACGATTTGAGCACGTAGCACGCAGCTTTATTCCCTGTTTGTTGAGCGGCAGCTTTCATCGTTGGAGCAAAACTCTCAAGACATTCAACCGTACGTTCTATTCGTCAATTCTTCTTTCCTTGTTGTCCTCACTTAAATTTTTGTCGAGGTGATGGATAGGCACGCCAACTCAAACGCAGCAAGGATCAATCATGTTTGGAATTTTCCAGAGGTTCGCTTGATCTCTCCTTCTTTTCTTACACACGTCCTCTTATAGTTTTCGTAAGAAGCTTCTTCTTCCATTCATTCATTCATCACTCGATCCATCTTCAGCCAGCCAGCATTATTGGATAGAACTCTCGGATGGATGAGCTAGGAGAAGAATATGTGGCTGGGAGGATGCGACAAACGACACCCGCAAGAGCTGTTAAAGGCCGCGCCAAACGAAGAAGCTGGCTGGTCTCCTTTTGATCGTTCGTCTGCCAATCCTCCAAGAGCTAAGAATTGGACACTCCAACTTATTTCGCGTTCGTTACTGCATCGCATTTGGAAGAGTTCCTTTTATCGGCAACGCTCGCGAGCGAGACGTATTCACTGGGCAGTGATGGACAGCTACAGTTACTCTGTGCGAGGAAAGATCACAGGAAAAAAGAGAGAGAGCTCTCCGGACAACAGGTAAGCTTGATTGATTTCCTTGCTTAGTTTTATAATTCTTTTCTCTTGTCGGCTTTTCTTGCGCACGAAGAACAGGTAGTCTCGAATCCAAACAAATTTTGCTGATGGAATCAGGGAGAGGATAATGCTGCTGACTTTGTAAGCCCGCTCACACTTTTCTTTCCCCTTTTGAGTTTTCTTTGCCTTTCCCGGCCAGGAGGAAGAATCACACCAAAACTGTGACACTCTGCCTGGCCCTCTTCACGCAAAGTTGACGAGCGAGCAAGCGAGCGCATCGAATCCTCCTCTGGTAACCAGCCTTTTTTATATATCTAGAGAACCATCCAATCGCTCCAATCTTCTTCTTGTCAGGTTGCTGCTGCCACTCTCTCCCAATGCGTGACGAAAGAAAGGTCTACAATCATAGAGACGAGTCGTGCGATTGCTTCCCAATAAAAGTTTGTAACCATAGCCATCAATCAGCGCCAAGTACAATACTAGAATTAATTTGATTGAGCTCACAAAGATTTTCACTCTTTTTTACATTCTTTTCAATGTTTGATCAATGTTTGGTGGACCTAACATGTATATTGTCAATAAATTCCCATCCATTTTCCGCCTTTTGGAAAAATCAAATCGATCACGCCACACCATGTGGTGCTCCTCTTGGGCTTTCGCCATCGCCGGCTCCACCAAAGGTTAGTAGCGACCGACTCTCCACGACACGTCAGCTTCCCGGCCATCCACGTCAGGGTCAAGATCTAGTCCACGTCAGTTCAGCTTTACCCAGTGTCAGTCTGCCACGTGGGCACGCCCGGACCAAAGTCTTTATAAGGGCAGCTCGTTTCCGGTAGGACGATAGGCACCATACAAGCCGGCCGCCCGTCACGCTCTGTTATCAACCCGTCAAGCCATTCTTTGTTCCAAGTAGTTCTTTTTTCTTTGGCTCTGGGCCTAGCCTGCAAAAAGAGCGCACAAAGGAAGATTCAAAGGCACCAGCTACGAGGAAGAAAGCGAAGGAAGAAGAAAAGAAAGAGAGAGCATGAGTTTCGAGATGAGATACCACAGTCCGCATTTCTCCAGTAGAGCTCAGTCAGTCCAGTCGGATCGAAGATAGCTAGCGTGTTGCATTTTCCATAGTTTGATTCGTGTTAGCAAAGAAAGAGAGAAACGAGAAAAGCTCGCACATACCTCCCATTTTTTAAATTTTTTTTTGCGTTCCTGATTTAAAGGATCGATTGCTTCGTTTCTTCCTGCTGCTTTCGCGATGGCCAAGGCGAGCTTTTGCAGCCCCTGGATCCTGCTGCTGCTGCTCGAGGTGGCGCTCTTGACGCACCAAGTTGTGGCGGGACAAGCACCGTATGCATGCGACCAGCGCAATGCGACGCTGCTCCAGTTTGGATTCTGCAACACCAGGCTGCCGACGAGCACTCGCGTCGAGGACCTCATCTCGCGCATGACGCTCCAGGAGAAGATAATTCAGCTCGTCAACAATGCCGCCGGAATTCCCAGGCTGGGACTCCCCCGGTACGAGTGGTGGCAAGAGGCGCTCCACGGAGTTGCAGTCAGCCCCGGCGTCAAGTTTGGAGGCAAATTCCCTGGAGCTACCAGCTTTCCGATGCCAATTCTCACCGCAGCCTCCTTTGATGTCAATCTCTTCCTCAAAATCGGCCAGGCAAGTTCTTCTCCTTCCTCTGTTTTCTTTTATTCCGACGCTGTAGCTGGACGTCCTGTCCACACCCATAGTGTGCTGAATTCTCCATGCTGACCGAGATATCGTTTCCTTTTTCCAGGCCGTGTCCACCGAAGCCCGAGCGATGCACAACTATCAGCGAGCCGGCCTCACGTACTGGAGCCCGAATGTAAACATCTACCGCGACCCGAGATGGGGCCGAGGCCAGGAGACGCCAGGCGAGGACCCACTCCTGTCGAGCAAGTATGCCACGTTCTACGTGCGAGGCCTCCAGGATACAAACCTCGGCGGTGACAAGCTCAAAGTCTCGGCTTGCTGCAAGCATATGACAGCTTACGACGTTGACAACTGGAAGGGCACCACCCGCTTCAAATTCAATGCCATTGTAATGCTCCTGCGTTTTGCTTGCACCTTTTCCTCTCTGATAATTCCTGGCACCTAACTTCCACACCCTGTCCATGATCTGTACTCTGTGTCATAAGTCCCCCCTCGCCTCCGAAATGCCACTGCTTTTCTTGCTCATAACTGATTCTTGACTGTAATGTCCGTTTTCTCGTTCCAGGTGACCCAGCAGGACTTATCAGACACGTACAACCCGCCCTTCCAAAGCTGCGTCGAGGATGCCAAAGTCAGTAGCGTGATGTGCTCGTACAACCGGGTGAACGGGGTGCCGACATGCGCTGACTATAATCTCCTTAGTGCCACAGTGAGAAGCAGCTGGAACCTGAACGGGTCGGTAAAAAAATTTTTTGCTTTAGTCTGGCCAGCTTGACGACAGATCTTGCTCACCTGTGAAGTGCTTCTCCTTTATCTCCCTTGCAGCTACATCGTGTCTGACTGTGACTCGCTCCAAACTTTCTTCGACAACACCAACTATGCCAAGACTGCTGAAGATGTCGTAGCGGATGCTCTGCTAGCCGGTACCTTTATGACAAAAGAACCTTCCGACAAGGGCTGTGCTAACCACCGCGTTCTTTTTCCATTCCTTTCTCCTGTCAGGATTGAATCTCGATTGTGGTCCCTTCCTGGCCATCCACACGCAGTCTGCAATCACCAATGGAAAAATTACCGAGGCCAATGTGAACCAAGCACTTCGATACCTTTACAACGTGCAGATGCGGCTGGGACTCTACGATGGAAATCCACGATCCCAACCTTACGGAAATCTTGGACCACAGAGCGTGTGCACCGGAGAGAACCAACAATTGGCTCTAGATGCAGCCAAAGAGGGGATCGTGCTCTTGAAAAACAACGGTAACGTCCTCCCTTTCTCGAAGTCCAATATCAGGACCGTAGCAGCAATTGGGCCTCATGCAAAGGCAACACGGGCCATGATCGGAAACTATCAAGGTAAGAACAATTACGTTAGTAGCTCGAAATACATATTGCTCACTTGTTTGAGGCTGAAACCACAGGAATACCTTGCAAGTATACCACGCCTCACGACGGACTCAGTGCCTATGCCAGAGTAGTATACTCTGCCGGTTGTTCAGATGTGGCGTGCTATTCGAACAGCTTGATCGGCTCCGCGGCTTCAACAGCGTCCCAAGCAGATGCGGTGGTACTGTTTGTCGGTCTGGATTTAAACCAGGAAGCCGAAGGCAAGGATAGAACAAGCCTTCTCCTCCCTGGAAAACAGCAAGAGCTCGTCACCGAAGTCACGAAAGCAGCAAAAGGACCTGTTGTTCTAGTTATCTTCTCCGGCGGCTCGGTCGACGTGAGCTTTGCAAAGTATGATAAAAAGGTGCAAGGCATGCTCTGGGCTGGATATCCTGGAGAAGCTGGTGGAGCAGCCATCGCCCAAGTCCTGTTTGGAGATCACAATCCAGGTTAGTGAAAGAAAGAAAAAGGACTTTCTATAAGTTCTTGCTAACAATCCTATACAGGTGGAAGGCTTCCTGTGACATGGTACCCGGAAAGCTTCACAGGAATCACAATGCTCGACATGAATATGCGGCCGGACGCTTCCAGAGGCTACCCAGGAAGAACATACAGGTTTTACACAGGACAGTCGGTCTATAACTTTGGCTATGGCAAGACGTACTCTAAACTCTCGCACAAATTCAAGGAAGCACCGCTCTCACTCGGGTTCCCGGAGGCAGCAGCGGTCAAGCGATCTTGCGATGGCAATCTAACATGCTTCCATCTAAATGCACACGATGAGATTACTTGTAGCACGCTTACCTCCAAGGTGAGAATTCTTGTCCACAACGAGGGAGATCGCCCGTCCAACCGTGCAGTGCTGCTCTACTCGTCGCCCCCAAACGCTGGCCGGGACGGCGCGCCGATCCGGCAGCTCGCTGGATTCGGGAAAGTGAGCGTTGCGCCAGGCGCCGTGGAGAACGTGGAGATCGAGATCGATCCCTGCAAGCACCTGTCCCACGCGGGCGCCAATGGCGTGAGGATCTTGCACGGCGGCATCCACACGCTCGCAGTCGGCAACGCGCGGCATCCTCTCCCCATCCTCCTCCAGTCCTAGAACCCTAAAATATTTGCTCCAAAACCCTACATTCTTTGGCGTTGGCCCAACGATCCATTGATCGATACATACATACGATACAAGACCAAGAAGAGATTTTTCTCCCTGTTTGGCCAGCATTGGGAGTGGAACAAAAGAAAGGCGTCAAGAACAGAGCCCTAGACCGCGACAGAGCATCCAACGGCTGGAATTTAAAAGAATCGACGGCCAGAATTCAAAGCTACAAAATCCGCCGCGAAAGCCAATCGACGGCTCTAGATTGCGCCACGTCGGCCTATCTGGCGCGAGCCTAGTCTGTATAGGGTGTCACGGATCGTGTGCTTATTACCACTTCTTGTAAGAACGATCAGAGCACTGAGCAAAAAAGTGAGAGAATGAAAATATAAACTTGGCAGACTGGCCTTTGGCATCGAGCGAGCGCGAGAATAAATCGGGATTGGGAGAACGTAGATCGGCCGAGTCGAGTCGCGAGAGCGTGAAGTGAAAGTGAGAGAGAGAGAGAGAGAGAGAGAGAGAGAGAGAGCCTGTGAAGAGAAAGTGAGAACTTGGTTATAAATGCAATGCTGAAAGGAGCGGGAGCGAGACAAGGAGGAGCTTACTTCTACAGAGCTTGATCGTTTTGGCGTGGAACTTTGTGTGCACTGTTTTGTTTCAATCCTCGTCGTATTCTTTTTGCTCGCTCTCCGTGGCCGGTGCTTGTAGAGAGGAGAATTGAGGCGTCCTCTTCTTCTCTTCCTGCTCTTCTTATCCTGGGATGGAGTGAGCCGAGGAAGCAACGGATATGATAAATGATTCAGCAATCTTATCTCGTATATCAGAGCTCGCGGAGCTCACGCTCGTCTCAGTCAGCTCGCAGAAGCGATATATCATGCCTCAGTGGAGATTCTCCTTCAACCAATGAGTGGCTACAGATTTCTTCTTGAGTGGTGCACCCAGATCTGGGCATAAAAAGATTAGTGACGCAAAACTGAAAAGAGAGAGAGAGCAAGATGGGAAAAGCTTCTACCTGCAAAGACGCGTTGCTGCCTTTAGTGCTGCTGTTGGGAGTCATCGACGTGCTGGCTGGCCAGGCACCATATGCATGTGATCAAAGCAATGCTACACTCGCAGCATTCCCCTTTTGCAACACCTCCTTGGCAATCACCGACCGAGTTGAAGACTATGTTGCTCGCTTGACGCTCGAGGAAAAGATATCTCAGCTGATCAACACTGCAACCGGGATCCCCCGTCTCGGTGTTCCAAAGTACCAGTGGTGGCAAGAGGCTCTCCATGGAGTCGCTTCCAGTCCCGGAGTACAATTCGGAGGCTCTGTTCCAGCGGCTACCAGCTTTCCTATGCCAATCACCACAGCTGCGTCCTTCAACACCAGTCTCTTCTACGGAATTGGCCAGGTGATTCTCCTCCTCCCTGCAAAACGTTGCGAACTTAGTTACATCTCCGGAGCGTTGTTCACATTGTTGTTTCGTACCTCTTGAACAGGCTGTGTCCACGGAAGCCAGAGCAATGCACAATCTCGGCCAGTCAGGCCTCACTTTCTGGAGCCCCAACATCAACATATATCGAGATCCGAGGTGGGGACGAGGCCAGGAGACGCCAGGAGAAGATCCACTGCTCTCGAGTAACTTTGCAACTTATTATGTGCGAGGACTCCAGGAGTCGCAAGCCGGGAGTGATAAACTGAAAGTGTCAGCTTGCTGCAAGCATATGACGGCTTACGACGTGGATAACTGGCTTGGAACTGATCGGTACCACTTCAATGCAATTGTAAGTGATGGTGTTGTCTGAGAGCTAAACGAGAACATTGTACCTTCAGGTGACCGAGCAGGACCTTGAAGATACTTATAATGCTCCTTTCAAGAGCTGCGTCGAGGATGGAGGAGTAAGCAGCGTTATGTGCTCTTACAATCGTCTCAACGGAGTCCCGACGTGTGCTGATCACGAGCTCTTGACAACAACAGTCAGAGAGACCTGGAAACTCAATGGGTGAGAACGATAGTGCGAATTCAGCAGCTCACCCTTACTTGATTGTTTCCGCTCTTCAGATATATAGTATCTGACTGCGATTCGTTGCAAGTATTCTTTGACAACACCAACTATGCAGCCACGGCAGAGGATGCAGCCGCAGACGCATTGTTAGCCGGTAAGAATTTTCCTCCACCAAAGCTTTTTCACGAACTAAACAGCTTTCCAGGCTTGAACCTGAATTGCGGAACCTTCCTGGCCAAGCACACACTGTCCGCAATTCAGCAAAAGAAAGTCACTGAAGCAACCATAAACCAAGCTCTCACGTACCTTGTTACGGTACAAATGAGGCTGGGCCTATATGATGGCGATCCAAAATCCCAAACATATGGCTCACTTGGAGCGAGCGATGTCTGCACAAGCGAACATCAGACACTTGCTCTTGAAGCCGCAAGACAAGGAATGGTGCTCCTGAAGAACCTGGGAGCTCTTCCTTTATCTACGAGCAAGATCAAAAGCTTAGCAGTCGTTGGCCCACACGCAAATGCAACTCGCGCTATGATTGGCAACTACGCAGGTAAGAAACTTGTTAGACATCACGAAAACTTTGAAGAGCTAACACTCTATCTCACAGGCATACCTTGCAAATACACGTCGCCTCTCCAAGCTTTCCAAAAGTACGCCCAAGTCTCCTACGCTCCCGGCTGCGCAAACGTTGCATGCAGCTCGGACAGCTTGATCAGTGGCGCCGTCTCAGCAGCGGCAGCAGCAGACGCTGTCGTAGTAGCAGTGGGACTAGATCTCACCATAGAAGCCGAGTCACTGGATAGAACAAGCTTGCTTCTGCCGGGAAAGCAGCAAGAGCTCGTCTCCCAGGTGATGCAAGCTGCAAAAGGACCAGTTGTGATCGTCATCTTGAGTGCCGGAGCAATCGACATACCTTTTGCGTTGAGTGACAGCCGGATCGCAGGAATTCTCTGGGCTGGTTATCCCGGACAAGCTGGAGGAGCTGCAATAGCCGAAGTTATCTTTGGAGATCATAATCCAAGTAAGTCACTTCCAATCCAAAACTCACCACTAACACTCGCACGAATCACTCTCAGGTGGAAAGCTACCAGCAACTTGGTATCCACAAAACTTCACCAGCATTTCCATGCTAGACATGAACATGCGACCAAATGCTTCCACAGGCTATCCAGGAAGAACGTATCGATTCTACACGGGACCAACCATCTTCAAGTTCGGCGATGGACTGAGCTACACTTCACTCTCGGCCAAATTCATCAAGGCACCCTCATTCCTCTCAATCCCCTCCACAGCGCCAATGCAACCGTGCACTGGCCTCAAGAAATCATCCTCTTGCTTCCACCTCGACGCCACGGACGAGAAATCGTGCGAGTCTCTCAAGAGCCAGGTCGCGATTTCCGTCCGGAACAAGGGCGCCATGGCGATCAGCCACACGCTGATGCTCTTCTCTACTCCTCCTAACGCAGGGAGCGATGGCGTACCTCAGAGGCAGCTCGTCGGCTTCAATAAGATCCAGATCGCGGGGGATTCGATTAGCAACCCCGTGATCTTCGATCTGGACCCCTGCCGCCACTTCGTCCACGCCGATCCCGATGGAAAGAAGCTCCTGCGCAGCGGCACACACGTCCTTACCGCCGGAAACGAGCAGCATTCACTCCGACTTCTCGTACGACCCTAAAGCCCCAAACTTGAACATCTTTAAAATATTAAACTTTCTAAATTAATCCATTTAAATTTTTGATAAAGTTAGTAAAGAAAAAAAATAAAGCTAAAATGATAAGAATTTTGATAAAATATATAAATAGTTTTTGGTTTGCTTGGATGGTAATAAATATATCTAGAATATACTTAAATATTCTAGGATATTCTAATATCTAACGGTTGTTATTCATTTAAATTAATCTTGTATTTATAATCTACAAACAAGTTTATAATTTATAAACTGTCTTAAACACTTTCTAGAATATTCTTTTCTATTCTACCATCTAATGGTTGATATGTAACAAAATTAATCTTGTATTTATACATTATAAACATATTTGTAATTATAAACGTTTAGTTGATCAATTGGATTAATAAGTAGGAATAATACTACTAATAAGCAAACCAAACGTTATTACATGCAATGCATAGCAAAAAAATTTTTTTTAAGTTTTTAATGTTTTATTTTAGTCTAAACATATGACTCTTTAAATTATCATTTTTTATATAATATGAAATAACATTTCTTTGAAAATAATAAAAAATATCTTTAGCATTGTCATCAGTTTTAATGAGTTACTATATATTTATGTAGTGAGTATATTATATTTTAACTTTTTATATTATTTCAAATTTAATTCTACTTTTATTATAATATTTTATTGTAATTATCATTCTAGGTTTATTTTTAAAACAAATTAAAATAAAAATTATAAAAATATTAATTATAAGGGATAAATCTTCCTTAAATATTTTTTTAACTTTTGCAATAAATGTAAAAAAATTCGTTTTGCATTCTATTTCCTTTGGCACTAATGTTTTTTTAAGTTGATTTTTTTAAAATAATTTTTAAAGTATAAATGATTTATAGAAAAACTTTTGCTAAAAATAAGCCAATTGATGATCTTTTTGAGGTTGAGTTTGAGAAAAACAAACTCCAACATTTACTGGGTTGGATTAAACATCTGTAAAATCTGATAATTCACACAAGGATCACATAAAAAGAAATACATACATCAACAACTTTGAAGTTATTATAATTTTAATTTGAATGAAACTTTTATTACATCATTTTAAAAAACTTCAAGCTTCTCTTGTATTACTATCATTATAATATCATGAATTCATTAATAAGTATATTACAAATTAAAACATAAATCAATTATTATATAAATTTTTATTTCTATGGATTTAAATTTATTTGGTTTTTGAACACTGATTTAAATTTATATGTCCATTATTTTTTCTTTTTACTGAACCCTTATTTTTGTGACAATCGAAGTGCCATCAAGGTGATTTGTTTTGAAATTCATCTTAGTCCAAAACAAAGGAAAACCCATTAACAAAGTTTTATAACCCTGTTGCTCCTAGATGGTTGTATCTGCATGCTTGGTGTCGCTGCTAGAACATTACACACAAAAAATTATATAACCTTTTTTTGTGCTTCAGCTCCTCTCGTCCCTGCTTGAGCAAGCCTTAGTCACAAAGGCAAGGTCAAAACCTAAGAAAAACAAAGAACAAGTTATATATGATGAATTTGACTAGGCTGTCATGGAGGAAACATCAGTGACGACGTCAATATATCAATTCCAAAGTGGAAGATTGGAAAGGAAAACCCAGATATCGTCTTCGTGGACACCAGAGAGAACACTAGGCAAGTAAATTATCTTAGTAAACTCATCTAAAACTATGACGAGTCACTGAATAGAACAAGCTTGCTTCTGCCGGGAAAGCAGCGATGTGCTCGTCATGCTTACCTTTTCCAACCTCTGTGAAAGCGAAGTTTTATATTCGCAGCCCTCGGCATATGCCTCTATTCAAATTATAGGGCTTCTTTCCTTGCGAGTCTCGCGGAACCAACTTCTAAGAAAATCGATACTTTTGTGTTGCTGTGCACGATTTCTGTATTGAAAGAATTGACACTGAGATTTCAATTTTTCTTATTCTTATTGCTTTCAAATGCATGCTCTTAACGAGAGTTTAGCGAGACATTCACGCAACATGCTTGTACTCGGACCAATTCCCTTATGGAGTACACGATGATTGATCTTGTCAAAGCTCGTTAGAATTTCTTTGCTATATAAACTCCATCACAAGAGAACCTCACAAGATCTCTCAAATCACCATCGAGCTAATCAATCCATCACAAAAGCGTCTGATCAGCTCGCCTGCCCCGGAGACAATGAAGATCCCAGCTCTCATGGTTACCATCCTCGCCTTGGCATTCACCGCAAGCGCCTCCGATCCAGATCCACTCCAAGACCTCTGCGTCGCCGATACCAACAGCACCATCCGGGTCAATGGCTTCCCCTGCAAAGCCATCCCGGTTGCCGCGGATTTCAAGTCGGCGCTCATCAAGAACCCGGGCAACACCAGCAATCCCCTGGGATCCATCGTCACCGCCGCCAACGTTCTTCGCTTCCAGGGCCTCAACACCCAGGGAGTATCATTCGCTCGCGTGGATTTCGCTCCAGGGGGCACGAATCCCCCTCACATCCATCCCCGGGGCACCGAGCTCCTCTACTTGATTTGCGGGAGGCTCCTGGTGGGATTCGTCACGACCGGGGACAATAAGCTCTTTTTGGAGACGGTGGAGGAGGGAGAGCTCTTCGTGTTTCCCAGGGGATTGATCCACTTCCAGCTCAACATTGCTGCCACCCCGGCTTTTGCCGTGGCAGGATTCAACAGCCAGAACCCCGGGACTAGTCAGGTGGCAAAGGCGGTGTTTGCGTCGGTTCCTCCGATTGATGATCGTGTCTTGGCGAGGGCGTTCCAGATCACTCCGGCAAACATTCAGAACCTGAGGAATCTTATCAGCAAGACTTAATTCACAAGACAAAAGGTTGCTATTTTCAAAATGAAGTAAATAATCACAAATCGATGTAAGAAAAATCGAGTGCCGAAGTTAACTCCTTTGAACTCTCCCAGGGCTTTGGAGCTTGTGAGGATGTTTGGGGAAGCTAGACTACCGCCCTAGCTGCTGAGGTGGGACTAGGAAGATTGGGAGCTTGAAAGAGTTTTTCACATTAGTGATTTTACTGTTATTGCTAAGTTATTTGAGTTGGAACTCGTGAAAGAAGCCAGCAAGCCTGAGTTACAATTCTCCACGTATTGCTTTGGATGCCACCTCGTTTTGCTGGCAGAAGTTTGCTTCCGTTATATCCATCACACTACTCTTTAGAAGCAAAGAAACTCTTATCACACAATCCAGTTGAGAACTTTATAGAGATTTTCAATTGCCTACTAATGAGTGTGGAATTGGGGACTTCTTGGTAGTGGAGGTTATAAGCTGATCTTCTTAGATTTCAGTGCATAATGAGGTTATATAAAGTTAAATATTTAAATATAAGTAAAAAAGTTATATATGTGAAATTTCTATAGTACTAAAGGTAAATTGAGTTGTTTAGTATCTTTAAAAGTATATAATTATTATTTTTATAAAAAACAAATAAATTTTAATATTTATTTTAAATTTAAAATTCACAAGAATTGTTATAAAACACTATCTTATGAAACGAAGGTAAAACATTTATTTCATTGTTTGGGATGTTGAGTGTAGTAGTTTTTTTTAATTAAGTGGATATTATTATAATTTTGGTAGCTTTATTGATTTTTTGCATTCATAATCATATACATAAGTTTTTTACATTGCATGGTTTGTTATATTTAGGTGTATTGCAAATTGCAATGTAAATATTTTTTTCTTAAGTTTTTTTTTTTTTGAGTTTTGTGGTTGTTAGAATGATTGTATTTGCTTAAATTATTTATGCCCAAAAATATAAAAAAAATGGCTTAATTGCTCATATAGTAAAAAACTAAACTCAGTAGTTTGTTATGTACAATGCTGTTAAAATATGGCTTGCAATTAAATCTTTTACGACTTTGGATGAATGAACTATAAATTAAATTTTTAATAGCTCATATTATAGCTATTTAAAATATTTTATTAATAAATTAAATTTTTGAAAAATAATCTTATTAAAATTTAATAATAATTTAATTTAAAATAATTGAATAAAATATTTAATAAAATCAATAAAAAATCACATAAAGTGATGCGTGAATATATATATATATATATATATATATATAAAATGTTATAAGTTTTTTCATTTCTATTACTTATAGGTCCTCATTTTTGTGCATTTTAAAAATGGCATCTACATTTACAATCGGTTGTCCAGCAAACTTGTTTGCTTAGCCAACTTGTTTGCTTAGCCTTGGTCATGTAAAATAAACTAAATCAATCATTTTAATCTTGTCTTCTAAAATTTATGTCTATACTTTAAGGGATTTTCCTTTGTGGTAAGCAAAATTTTGTTTCCACTCCTGTTGATCATGGTGAGATCCACTATTAATTTCAACAAATCAAGAAAACCATCTATGAGCATACACAAATCTCTTCAAGAACATGATCCACCTGGAATTTACACATTGCTCATTAAATATCTCTTCAAGAATGGCATAGTTTAAACTCTTTTTTATCCTCTTAATGCGGTGTGTTCCTTTATCAAGTTCTCGGCTTCCTTCCAATCGTCCACCACGCCCAATGCCACCAGCAGTGTGCACATAACAGCCACACTATGACCTATTCACGAACAAGTAGTATCCAAATCCTTTTCGATTGTAATCACCGAAAAAGAAGAAATTATATTGCTTAGCCTTTAATAGCAAACCAGAGTGCAATTACAGAGTAGGAAAAATCATAAAGTTTACGAGAACTTTGCTCTTCGAAGAAATACAAGTGAGATTCGAGGTTCTTCCTTCTGCGAATTTCACTTTGGCGCTACAAGGTTAGCTCGTCAAAGTTCTCCATGGATCACTCTACGCTTACAAGACATCGATCGGCGAATCTTACCTTTGGAGAGGATGCCACCTTTACCCGAGAACTTTCACAGACGCTGGATGATCCTTGGGGCCACAGCCATCCACGAGCGACAGTGGTGTATTATACACGCCCCACCATTTGCGCACGAGCTCTTTCACGTCCTCTCGATCCATGTTTGCGCCTTCTCCGGTGTAAGCCCAAGGCTTGGATCCCTGTAAATCGAGTTTCTCCAAAGGATTTCGAGCTAGAAGAAGAACTTAGAAACTTACAGCAGCGCAATAGTGGATGACTTTGGTCTTGTCCAGGTTGACGTTCTCGGGGTGCCTCCACAGCATCGCCATCTCCAAGTTATAGGCGTTTGGAACCGGCCGGAAGGCGTCCTGGAAGAACAAGTTGAGGAAATCCTGCCATGGAGCAAAGATTAAGATGCAGTTGTAATTTCCCGAGAGCAGAGCTTTCACCTGTTCTGCGAATGGTGTGGGATGATTCTCGGCCAGGGCTTGCACCATCCTGCCGAAGGTCTTGCTGCTCGGCTCGAAGACGAACATCCCGGCATTGAAGTAAGGCTTCGGGGGCTCGCCGAGGGCGAAGTTCCAGGGGACTCGGCCGGGGCACTGTTGGCAGTAGCCGAGCGTGAACTGGGGAGTGTGGCTCCAGTCGCAGAAGCAGTCCTTGACGGCGGTCAGGGATCCGGGGGGCGACAGATCGAAGAGCTCGTCGATGTTCTCAAACACCATCATGTCCGCGTCGAGATACAAGAGCTGATCGTAGTCCTCGAACTGGAGAAGAAAGCCCAAGTCACATTAGAGCCCGAGAAGAAAGAAGACGCAATCTCGACACAAATCCGATCGAAAGACCACCGCTTTGAGGAACCCAGTAGCGAGTCCTGGCGGAAAAGAGAGAGCTCTCACCTCCCACATCCGGAGCTTGGAGTAATTGATGGCATAGCGGGGCCACGCGAAGGCGCAAACTCCCGGGGGCGGAAGAACCGGCTGGATGGATCGCACATTGCAGCCGTGGGAGAGGAGGAGATCGGTGTGGCGGCGCGGAACATCCGGAAGAACACTGACGATGAGCTTGTATCTCGAGTCGACGAGGCGGAGGCTCTTGGAGAGGCCGATCACCCCTTTGATGTAATCACCATCGCCGGCGAGGAAGGTGACGAAGGCCCTCCGCTTCTCTTCTCCTTGTTGAGGCATCACAAGGGAGGAGTATCTTCCATGGATCTTCTTCTTGCGTTTAAGTATTTCTGAATCGGGACGAACAGGTGGCAAATTCTGGGGAATCTGGTATTTATCTACGTTTTTTTTATTACAAGTCCTTTAACACCTACTTATTTGATTGACGGAAATTCGCATAACTAGTGTCAACGGTGCATGCAGAAAATTCTCGTTTCCTTATTTGCAATTTTTTTTTCTTCTTGCATTAGCTACCAGTCCTTAGCTCCTTGTAATTGTCAATTGTAAAATCATAGAGCCATGGAACTACCCTCAGCATAGAATCTCTAAATGGTTTATTGTTCTTCCATGGTCCCAGGACCATAAATCATTTATTTCCTTCTTCTGCTAAATTTTCCAGTGTTTGCAAAGAAAGTATCATAGCATTTTGACATATATCTATAGCCAATGCATACCAAAAAGGAAAGCAAGACATTGCGTTGCTCAGAATGAGGATCCTTACGCGTCATTGAGCCGTCCTCATTGCAATTGTTATCCACTTCGGCCGCATCATCTTTCCGGCTCGTCGCCCCCCTCTGTACAACGCAAGTTCACAGAAAAAAACTGGCGGCTGGGTCAGTAGCAGGTTGAGAAGATGACTACTTTCCGATGGTGGCGAAGATGAAGAACACCATCGGCAAGCGATCTCGGACATACTGGCGGAAGTGCACTCACTCGAGCATTGGCTTCAGTTGGCCGTGTGAGATCTCATGCATTCAACGGTACCGCTTTTGAGAGAATGGCTTGCAGAGTAGACTGGTATCCTTCCTCTATCACTTATATTATCCTAAACCCTAAAACCAGTGCTCACTTTTGGCACTATAACTCTCATGGAAGCTATTGACGGTGGTGTCTTGGAGATGGGTGGCATTCTCAAAGTTCATTTCACTTCGATGGCTCTGCTCAAGGAGACTTGCATGTTCGCTCGGTTACAAGTTCTGCCAGCCTCAACGCAGTCACTTCTGAGAGTGCTATAGCCTTAATGAATCCAGAGGTTTTCATGCGGCCCAAGGTTGTGAACGCGTCCGGCCAAGGCGACCGAGTACCTGATGCAGTCGCTGTTCTTCCGTGGCATCATGTTTGTGATGGAGAAGGGCCTTCACCGGTTTTGTAGAGGTGGAGGAAAGGGACAAGAATGGAACGAGGGAGGGAGAGGATGGACGGTTTTTATGGAAACTTCTGAGTCTCCCAAGCAGGGAATGGGCTCCTGGAACCAGTTTCGGGGAGACAAGGAATGCTGTGAGAAACCACTTGGAATTATGTGCCTACTACACGAAGTTTCACCAGTGAAATGAGCTACTTAGACATGAAACGTAATTCCTCTCCAGCTTCCGAAGTGTGGACTGTTGAGAAGAGTTTTGCCGGCATCACTTGCTGGTACGTGAATTTTCTGGATGAGGAAGCTTGGGTCATTCACAAGTTAAAGGAAATGGGTCACTACAGGAAAGAGTGTGCCACCCAAGTTCTTGTTGTGACAGATTCACCTTCTGATCTATTGCGGTAGTCATTGCTTATCATCTGCTGAACATTGGAGCGGGATGTTAAAACGGGTAGAGTTGTTGTAATGCACATCACAGGTAGGCTCATGCATCAACATCTTTCTTTATAGAAACGAGCTCTTATTATAATTGCATTGATTTTAAATATTGCATATGTTTCTAGTTTTAAATAACAATGTTGAAGTCCTTTTATTCTGTTGAAATTGAATGCCGCCGCCTAAAAACATGTATAATTATTCTTAAGACATACCGACTCTTGCGAATTAAGTTCGGCCGATAAGACTCCTCAGGGTCTGGATGGTTGCCGGAGAGATCTGGAATGCCCTCGCCAAGACACGATCATCAATCGGAGGAGTCGACGCAAACACCGCCTTTGCCACCTGACTGGCCCCGGGGTTCTGGCTGTTGAATCCCGCCACGGCGAAAGCCGGGGTGTCAGCAATGTTGAGCTGGAAGTGGATCAAACCCCTGGGAAACACGAAGAGCTCTCCTTCCTCCACAGTCTCCAGAAAGAGCTTATTGTCCCCGGTCGTGACGAATCCCACCAGGAGCCTCCCGTGGACCAAGAAGAGGAGCTCGGTGCCCCGGGGATGGATGTGAGGGGGATTCGTGCCCCCTGGAGCGAAATCCACGCGAGCGAATGACACTCCCTGGGTGTTGAGGCCCTGGAAGCGAAGAACGTTGGCGGCGGTGACGATGGATCCCAGGGGATTGCTGGTGTTGCCCGGGTTCTTGATGAGCGCCGACTTGAAATCCGCAGCAACCGGGACGGCTTTGCAGGGGAAGCCATTGACCCGGATGGTGCTGTTGGTATCGGCGACGCAGAGGTCTTGGAGTGGATCTGGATCGGAGGCGCTTGCGGTGAATGCCAAGGCGAGGATGGTAACCATGAGAGCTGAGATCTTCATTGTCTACGGGATGATTAGAGCTAGATCACAAGGGATTTGGATGGATCTATGGGGACTGGAGAGATCTTGAAAGGGTTCTCTTGTGATGGAGTTTATATAGCACAGCAAGGTTTTCTGGAGCTTTGACGAGATCAATCAATGGCAACTCTCCACAAAGAGAAATGGGCGAGTAGTACAAGAATTTTGCTCGTACAAGAATGCTGCAGTGACTGATCTCGCAAAGCTTTTCTTACAAGGAGCATGCATTTCAAAGCAATGCTGGCAGTGGGCCTTGTGTCGAAATCCCAATGTCAGCTCTTTCAGTTTATTTTCTAACAGACATCGTGCATAGCAGCAAAAAATAATTCGATTTTGTTGGAGCTTCCGCGAGACTCGCAAAATAACGAGAAAAAAACCTTTGGAAGATCAGAGGGGCTGCGAATATTCTCTTCTCAAACCCGGATTTAGGATTTAGGGTTTAGGGTAGGCTTAAGACATAACAAAACCCTAGAGGCATATTCGTTCTCGTGACACACCGGCAAAGCGCATTGGCTCGCGAAATCCAATGCGCCAAGCTCTCCTTTCCCAGGCGGCCATGGATGCTCGATTTTTATGCTGCCCAGTTGCTCTTCTTCCTCGTTGCCATCCCAAGCTAGCTCCAGCAGCAAGATCCAACCATTTTGTCCAAGCGATCACAGGCAGAAAGGTCTCCAACCTTGCCTCTCATAAAATGGTCTCGCGATCATCCACTTCAAGCACCGCTGCTGCTGTAGAAGAAATGACCAAGGAAGAGGTAAAGCTAATTGAAATTGTTCACCTTGGTTTGATTTTTCTGCTTTCTCTTCAAGGAGAAAGAGGAGCGTGATTTCGCAGGAACTCCATATGTTCCTATATATGTCATGCTTCCCGTAAGTATGAAAGGACAAGCAATGTTCTTACCTTGACGAGCTTCATTTTCTTAGCTGGGTCTGATAAGCGAGAGCAACGAACTTGTCAATCCAGAAGGTATACGTAGAGACTTACAAGCTCTGAAATCCGTGAATGTCGATGGAGTTATGGTGGACTGTTGGTGGGGACTCGTCGAAGACACTCCACAAAAATACAACTGGAGTGCTTACAGAGAACTCTTTACGATTGTCAAGGAATCCGACTTAAAGCTCCAGGTACTGAGAAAACATGAAACACCGTAAGGACACATTATATATGATGAAAGCTTACTTGTGTTTCACCAGGTTGTGATGTCGTTCCATCAATGTGGAGGAAACGTCGGTGACGACGTGAATATACCAATTCCAAAGTGGGTGCTGGAGATTGGGAAGGAGAACCCGGATATCTTCTTCACGGACAAGCATGGACACCGGAATCCTGAGTGTCTTACCTGGGGAGTGGACAAGGAACGCGTTCTCAAGAGCCGGACCGGACTCGAGGTCCATCTTTACCAACGTGCCTCGTTTTTGGTCGAGCGAGAGAAGCTGATGAACTCTTTTCCAGCCGTGTAGGTGTACTTTGACTACATGAGAAGCTTTCGCCAAGAGTTTGACGATCTCTTCCAGTCTGGAGTGATTGCTGAGATCGAAGTTGGACTCGGTGCCTGTGGAGAGCTTCGGTATCCTTCGTATGTTCCGAGAAGCGGTTGGGAGTATCCTGGCATTGGAGAATTCCAGGCAAGTCAATTATCTCAGTGAACTCATCTAAGCTTCTGAAAGGAAAAAAAAAAATCACAGTGCTATGACAAGTACCTGATAAAGAGCTTGAAGCAAGCAGCCGAGGCAAGAGGCCATACCGAGTGGGGATGCTGCCCCGATAATGCTGGAGAGTATAACTCCAAGCCACAGGAGACGGATTTCTTTCGCGATGGTGGCGACTATGATAGTTACTATGGCCGGTTCTTCCTTAAGTGGTACTCCAAGGTGCTGATAGAGCATGGAGACCGCGTTCTTATGCTGGCAAAGCTGGCTTTCGAAGGCTTTCACATAGCATCCAAAGTAAGCGAAATTTAAAAAATAATCTGTGACGAGTAACTTACCGAGGCAACTTACTGAACAGGTTTCTGGAATCCACTGGTGGTACAAGACCGCTAGCCATGCTGCAGAGCTCGCCGCCGGCTTTTACAACCCGTGCAATCGCGATGGCTACGTTGAAATCGCCGAGATGTTTGCGAAGCACGATGCTTCTCTTAACTTCACCTGCGTGGAGCTTCGAACTTTGGCTCAAGAGGAAGACTTTCCGGAAGCTCTAGCAGATCCCGAGGGTCTGGTATGGCAGGTAAGTTCGTTGTTTACTTGTCTCGTTTGCGTGGTTCTTTTGATTGTTTCACGTTTTTGTTCTCATTGCTTTTTGATTGCTCTGAAGGTGTTGAACGCTGCTTGGGACGCCGGTATATATGTTGCAAGCGAGAATGCGTTGCCGTGCTACGACCGAGATGGTTATAATAAGATTCTGGAGAACGCAAAGCCTTCCAAAAATCCAGATGGTCGACACATCTCGGCCTTCACGTACTTGAGGCTCAGTCCCGTGCTTATGGAGGAGCACAACTTGCATGAGTTTGCGAGGTTCGTCAAGAGGTTACACGGTACGCAAGTCTTTTATGAAGTTGTTGCGATAATATCTGAATTCTCATTGTTGAACAGGGGAAGGCGTCTAAGAACTCTGAAACAAGCGAAGTAGAAACCTCAAGTTATATTTCTCGGTTAAATAAAAAGAGGAACAAGCCTGTCAGACTTCCTGTTTGATAGAGTTGCTCAAGAACCTCTTGAACCAACGGGCTGACCTCTTGGGATAGCGCTTGAGTGTTTCATAGTCGACGTAGTACAGACCAAACCGCTTGGTGTACCCCATTGCCCACTCAAAGTTGTCTACTAGAGACCATGCAAAGTAGCCCCGAATGTCCATGCCTTCTCTGGAGTTTGACGACAGTAAGAACGCATGCGATTGCAAACCAAGACAAACCTGGTTGCTTGCAGTACAGCAGTCAGATAATCTTGGTAAAAATGGATTCGTTTCAAATCATCTAGCTGCTCGTCAAGGGTCAAAGTCGAATTGTTTTCTTCATCCATGCCTGTAAAACCGAACTTCGTTTCATCAGCTGAGATCCAAATAACTAGTGTACCATTCTCAGTGACGTAAATTGGGGGTCGATTGTATCTCTCTGAAACCCACTTCAAAACTCGGTGCAGCCCCCAAGGGACAATATAGAGCCAAGGAGAGGCCGCCTGGAAAAGGTATGAAACGTGAAGTCAAACAAGACACAGAATCAATAAAGAAAATAACAACCTTATCTCCAATGACAGCTCCATTGCGTACAGCTGCAGGAAGAATTAAGCCAGAACAATAAGAAAAACAACAAAAAAGTGACTTTGTACCTACCTGATGTCAAAATTCTCTGGTCCTGATGGTAATTGTCTGAAGGCTTTGCGTACAGTGCAGGCGTCACGAACCTGCTGCTATAATGGTTGATACCAACAAACTCTACGGATCCTCGAACAGACTTCTGCTCCTCTGGAGTGAACTTTGGAAGCCTGTCACCGACATACTCACGCATTGTGGCCGGGTAATCTCCAAAGAAGAAAGGATCAAGAAACCTGCACAGAAATGTGTTCCTAAATGCATGAACTGTTGGAGAAGATAATTACCAGCCTAGTTGAAATTCCAGCCGTCTTTGTGATGCCACTTTGTCATCTACTGAATCAGTCATTGGTTCCGCCCATTCAGCGTCCACTGTAATCCCCACGACACCACCTTGAAGAGCCTGCATAACAAAAGTAACGTCCGGATGAGACCGGTAGAAACAAACCTTGAACTTTTCTCTGTAGATTTTAACTGCGGCCGCATGAGAAAGTATCACATTGTGGCCTGCGAGGTATGGTTCAGTGGCGGAGTCACCAGCTTTGCAGTATCTTCTATCCGAACACCTTCCAGGAGCATGGATTCCCAAGCCATATCCCAGCACAGAGAACTGAAGAGGCTCGTTGAAGGTTATCCAGTGCTTCACGCGGTCTCCGAATGCCGCGAAGCATGTCTCAGCATAAGCCGCAAAGTGTTTCCTGCATTCATCCCGCCGTCACAAATCCGTAAAAGAACAAAAAGCTGCTTGCTTTGTTTTTCCTCACACGATTTCTTGGCTCGTCCATCCCCCAAAAGAATCATGTAATTTTTGAGGCAAATCCCAATGGTACAGAGTCACGTACGGTTTTATCCCTGTAAAGGACAGAAGAGCTCATCACAGGATTTCTGTTGGTTAACTTGCCTTTCTCCAAAAGGTAGTCAATCAATTTGTTATAGTACGTCACACCTTCTTTGTTTACACCCTTCTCCAAACCATCTGTAAGGACCCCAAGAACAGGAAGAGAGATGAAGGTCTATGCAAGAGTGATCAAGTACCTGGATATATTCGTGCCCAGGCAACCGAAAACCTGTAAGCATCCACTCCCATTTCAGCCATATTATCGACGTCTTCCTGTATGAAAGACATGACTTGGTGAAAGAAACGTTTTAGATTTTTACCTTGTATCGATGATATTGATCGACAGCAAGATCTCCATTGCTTGCATCAAGAATTCGGCCTAAGATCGACGAAACAATGCCACGATCAAAGAAGCTAAGAAAATAAAATTTAAAGAACCTGGAGTTTTACAAAATGTATCCCAGATACTGAGACCACGACCGCCTTCGTCGAATGCTCCTTCGACCTGTGCAAGATCGATCCATCAGTCGACAGATTGACGAGCATGCATTGGAGATCTATCGCGCTTAGAAGCGAAAATGCGAGGAAGAAAGACGAAGATCATCGAGAAAAGAGGAAGATCACATCGAAATATCAAGAAAGAAACCCTGGATCACGGATTTCTCGATGGATTCGCACCTGGTAGGACGCCGTGGCGGTCCCAAACACGAATCTGTGGGGAAAATCGCGGCGCTGGATGGGAAGCCTGGCAGCGCCAGCTGAATTCGTCGCGAAATCTTGCTCCGGCGGCGACGGCATCACGGCGTAGGCGGCGATCTGGAAGGCGACGAGCGCGGTTAGAGGCAGCACAACGGCCAGCAAAATAACCGCCCTGAAAGTGGGAACCCTGGATGCAATGGAAGAAGGGACCAGCTTTAACAAGCTCCGGGCTTGATGCGTAGACACCACCATAGCTTTCAAACCTCGCATTTAAATGGAATTTTTTTTCATCCGTGCTATAGTTTGGGCCTACGTGGCAGATTTGGTGCCATTTCTCAAAGATAAATTCTTCTAAGCTTTGGAATATAGCGTGATTTCTGTAGAATTGTCCACATGTCCAGAATCTTTCCTTTATATAGGCCATGCCATGTCCCATGAATGGCTACGTATACATTCAACCGATCAAATAAATTGATATGGTGATACACTGGAATAAACTCTCACATTTTAAGCCAGGATGAATGGGTCCATCGATGGCCATTGCAGAATGAGGAAGAACAATTATTCCCTGGAATCTCTATCGCTAGTTCATCGTGGTGTTTGTTACTTTGTCACGATCCAACTAAAGAGCCAAAATGTTTAGATGCTGTCCGGCTTATCGCCTTGAAAATCTCCTGGATTTCTCAATGAAGATGTTTTTCTAGGTAGAGGACGCGTTAAAAGAAAGGAAAAGTCTTTGGGATTTATCAGCTTAGATTTCCAACTGTTTAAAGTTGAACTTGAAGAGATTCTTCTTCTTGTCTTCTTGTCACATTTTCGCTGAGCTCTCGCTGCTCTCAGCTCGCTCGTCGCCACTCGCGTAATCCAGGACGATCAAACTCTCAACTTGGGGATTGCTACCAAGACTGCCCTCCAGGATCTCCGGGTTCTCAAGCTCGTCAACACTTCCCACCAGTGACAAAATTCCAAAGTTGAAACCTTTAGCTCGCCCTGGAGAGAAGTTAACACCTGCGCTTGCTGGAGTTTTCCCTGCTAGCCGATCCACAAGCTTCCCCCTGTTCTTCTCCGGATCATCCTTAAGTTTGCAAGCCACCACTCTCTTTGCTCCAAATCCAGTCTCTAGAGGAGCAGCGACCCGAGCTTCCCAGTCCATGGCCAGGATGTCCTCCGCGATCGGCTTCACAAACTTCTCCACCACGCTAACGTGAGAAGGATGAGCCGAGTAAGCGGACAAGCCTGCCTTGTCCGAGTACCTGCTGTGGAGGACGTGGGTGAATCCTCCACTGAGTTTGTGGTGCGACGGCCAGATTCGCAAAGCTGGCCCGGCTTTGAGATGGAGGACTCCCTCCAGTGACTTGAGAGCGTTGAGTTCTCTCACCATAGCCACTTTCTTCTCTTCGGGAGTCTCTTCCTTCACTTTGAAGAAGACGACGTGCTCCACAATGCTCATTGTTCCAGCCACTGTGGTCGACATTCTTTTCGAGAACCTGGAAACTCTCGTTATCAGTCGAGTCATGAGTGAGAATTCACTGACCTTGCAAGGGCGATCTTCGCTCCTAGGGCTTTTCCCAAAGTACCTATCAAATAAAAAACAAGTTTTTAACTTCGGAGAGGAGCTACAGCTTGCGTCTCTTTTTCAGCCGGTCGAAGAACTCGTAGACGTCCGCACTCGTCACAGTCTTTCCCGTGTCGCGGAAATCCCCCTGCCAAGAATGCAAAAATTAATCACAGAAGAAACGAAGCATAAAAACACTTACAAGGAAGCTGCTCAGCTCAGATGTCATGTCGTTGAGACCATGAAGGAACTCCACCTTCGCGACGTGGTCCAAGTTATTTAGAAGCTTCATGCTGGCACCTTCGGCTTGTTCCATCCGTGTCTTTCGCCTCTCCTTTGCCAATGCTTCGTAGGACTGAAGGGTGTCCAGCTTGTCCAGAAGAAAGCTCAATCCTCTGGTCTTGTACAGCTCCACGCAGGAATCACACTGGCAGAGACTGGTCCTCCAGCTTCTCTCCAAAAACAGAGCCTTTCCGAAGCAGTTTCCAGTCTCCGCGTTCACGTTGGCTGGCTTGAGCTTGCAAATGGAATTGCTGGATTGAGAGCAGCCAGCCACATCCGAAACTCCATTGCTCACGGAACCTTCTTCTTTCTTTCCGGAAGTTAAAGCATCGGATTTCTCGGCCTTGCTTCCCATTGTTTGTTCGACTGCAACGTTGGCAGGAGCCTCCGTGCTTGTTTCAGACTGCTCAACTGGATGGGTTTCGTCTGGTATACCAGGCGGAATAAGAAGCTCCTGGTACCGAAAGAGAAAACTACACCGTCCAACACAATTTTGGCAGATCAGTTCGTCAAACAAGGGCTCATTATCCTCGTCCCTTGGCACCTAATGAAATGGACCAGAAAGCTTAGACTTCAAAAGGAAACACAAAGCTGACCTTCTCCGAGGATAGCAGACCAAGGTGAGCTTCATGAAACCAGTCCTCGCAAATGCAGCACTGCAGCATTTCACCGAGGTGTTCGTCCTCGGGGTTTGGATGCTGGCGGTGGCAAATGCAGTAAAGCCCCACAAAGTTCTGGTTGTAAGCATTCTCTTTGTTCTCGGCGTCTTTCTCCTTCCAAAGCTTGCAGTCTTTCCCACCGAACTTGGAGTTGCCACAGTCGCATCGAAAGTTCCTTTTTGTCCAAAGCTCCACAATCTAAGTACCAGAAGAAAGCGAACAGAAAAACAAAAATGGAGATCAGCAAGAGAAAGCGCATAAATCCTTCATTTTCACCTCATGTCCATCGTGACAAGCCAAAGAACAAGCCGTGCAAATCCCGGCATTCCCCTGGGGCGCGCAACTCAAGCACGAGAACACGGCCTGCCGAGGCATGTATCCCTCGTTGTACGTGCATTCCTTGCCCTCATCGCCGCCAAAAACAAGATCGGCGCTCTGGAATGAGCTATTCCTTCAGTCCTCAAACCCCAATCTAACAGCCATACCTCTTCCTCCGCTTCCTGGTTCTCCAGAAACTCCTCGATCGTCATGACCTCGCTTTCCTCCTCCATCCCGCTGCCGCCGCCACTAGCCTAGATCCAAGGCGCGCTCTCGCTCCCGCGCTTTCTCACTAAAAAATCTAGGGAAAGAAATCTTAGTTCCCACCGCCAGATTCGAACCCTGTTCATATTTACAATTATCGTCCGTACATACCCGTACCAGAAATAGAATATCGCTTTCCGTTTGTTATATCCGTACAGCTTCGTACGGAGAATTCCTTCCTATCTTCTTTTCCTGAGTTTGAGAGCCAGTTCCTTGCAAAACTTCCGAGTCCGCAGCGTGAGACCGAGCGCTACGAGCACGCCAAAAACACAAGTAGCGGTGGAGATGATGAAGGAGCGCCTGTAGCAGCGAGCTCCATAGCAGAGGAGGCCATGGTGGTCTCCTCCAGAGTTTTGCTGCTTGAGAGCCTCCTTGTCGTACAGCTCCCCCGCAATCTTCACCGAGAACACGTAGCTCCCGAGAGGGCTGGCCATGTTGCAAACGTTGTAGAGAGTCCCGTAGTACTTGAGCCCGAAAAACTCCGAGGTGAGGATGTACATGAGCACAAGCTGGGCTCCGTAGCCGAAGCCAATCAGGATCGAGGACATGAACAGCGCCGACTTGAAGTTGAGAGCCAGGAAGAGCTGGCCGAGCGCTGAGAGGCCGAGAGTCAGAGCGAAGAAGAACGGACGAGGTACCTGGAACTTTTGGAGGAAAATGTCCGAGACGAGGCCGATGGTCACACGGCCGAGGAAGTTCCAGATGCTTAGGAGCTGGACGAAAGTCCCGACTTGTTCGTGGGAGTAACGAAGAGAGTCACCAATCTGTCCGAGGTTGTCATAGACTGCTAAGCCCGTTCCAAAGCCACAGGTCGTGCAGACGAAGATGAGAAGCATGTCGATGCTGAAAATCCCCTCGGGTATGGTGTAGTCTTCACCCCTGGGAGGCCTGGTCAAGATGGCATGAACAATTCTCCGCAAACTCCAATTCTTCCTCTTGTCGACTAGATTTTCCACTTCTGAGGGACCTTCTTCCAGTCCTTTTGCAGGAACTTCTTCCAGTTCTTTGCCCTGTCGTTGCTCTTGCTGTTGTTCATCTGTTCGGACGTAATCTGGATGCTGTTCTTGAGCGACTGTACCTCCTTTCCACCCTTGGAGCTCCTGCTTGAGCACCACTCCCAGTGGCAAAAGAATGATGACCAGCATAACTACGGCCAGCAGCTGGATCACCCAGCGAGGAATGACCACCCCGTCCAGGTTCTTGACGATGATGATCACCATAAGGTACATCGCCAGCGACACGGAAATGACGAAGAACACGTACGCGATTCTCTTCTCGACCCGTGCCTGGTCTTCGCCGCTGGGTGTCGTTCTCCTCACGAAGAACATAAAGAGGAGGCAGACGCTGGGAGGAAGCCATGTAAGCAGGAGGACGAAGTTTGCTGGATCCTTTGTCCCGTAGATGGCTTCGTATGCCATGGTGAGGATCGCTCCACTCAGTCCCACGAACCCTTTGAGCAGCCCGATGAGAAAGCCTCTGTTGTTTGGGAAGTTCTTGACGCAGGTGACCACCACTCCGGTGTTGGTGAACGACTGAGAGTTTGTCCCGAGGAAGATGTAGAGGCACATTTGCCAGATCTGTGGAGCCGATATCCTTCGAGTAAGAGCTAGCCAGATCATGAGGAAGCCGAGAGTGTTGAGCACAGCACCCATTCCCAGTACGACCCACGGCCCCGTAACATCATATATCAGTCCGGACACGAGACCAACCTTGGCACCGAGATCTTTGAAGAGAGCAATCGTGCTGATGGTTTTCTGGCTGTAACCGAGTGTAGTCTTCATTTTCTGGGAATAGAGCCCAAAGCTGTAAGTTGCTCCAGCGGTAGCCATGATGAAGAAAGTTGCTACCACGGCCATCCATTTGTTCCTGGCGATGTTCCTGAGTAGCTTCAAACCACGAAACGGTTCCATTCGGCCCCTGGTAAGGTTTGGAGGAGATTGAGCTCATGTATTTCAAGCCGGGCATTGAGACGTCTGCAATTCATCCAGCTTAGTCGTGTTCGTTTGGACAAAAAAAAAAGGACGAGAGGGAACTACCTGGCATGTTCGTAGCATTTTCCATTCTGAAATTCATTTGACTTCATATCCTGCAACGTAAAATCCAGTTTCGCAATCGAGGAACAGAGAACAGGATGATCCTAGCTTGGAAGCTTATCGACAAGCGTTACAATATTTTTCCTCGTGAGTACAGAAAAAAAAAAACACAAAAACGACCAAAGTGAAAAAAGAAAAGAAAGAAAAACTCTACCTGTCTAAATCAGCTGAAAATTTTTGATTGATCTTCTCTCGTCGCTATGTCGTAGCTGTCATAGCACGGAAAGACTTTGGAAAACTTTGGTTGCGTGGAGTCTCTCTCATTGACCCCTGGCACTAGTGTGTCATCAGTTAGATATGAAAGAATGCCACACTATGCAAGAAACAACGAAAGAGGAATCAGAAACTCAGGCTCAACACGTGGCTACAGGCTAAAATCCTTGGCACAATCCTCAAAAGACCATACCAAAAAGTTTCCAACCTTGTTCCAGGAATGCCAATCAGCAGTACCTGTATGCTTCATCACTTTCATCCTTGTTCTAAAACTTGAGACCCCAAAGTCCAAAGGAGAGAAAGAAGCTTACCTTTGAGATGGAGAAAAACCACATTGGAGTCAGGATGGTCCCGAGCTCTGATAATTGTTGATCGTGTCCTCGAGTTTTTGGAGCTCATCCAGAACGCAGTCGATCTTCTTTAGACTGATTTCTCCACCCATCCGAGGAATGTAGTCACAGTTCTCATAAGGGCGGTACTCGCACATACTTTTGATCTCTTCGTGCAGGACCGTTTGAATGTCCTGGACAAAAGAGGGGAAAAAAATGAAACCAGGCATAGAACACCACTCCGAGTACCTTCATAGATTTCATAAACTCGTGGCATTGTGTGGTCACAAACTCCATTCTTGGCCCTCCCGCATTGGCGAGCTCCTCCATCACCGTTCCAGCAAACTCCACGGCCTGGACGATTTTCTAACGAAAGAAACAAGATCATTCTCACGGATTTGTTGAGCCTTACCCGCTCGACATGAGCGAGACGAAGAAGCGCCGGCGATTGTGGCTGCGTGCTCGTTGTCATCGCTCCCACCCGAAAAAAAACCCTAAAACTTTAACCCTAGTCATCGCCCTTCGTGTTCTTGGCTCATTCTCTCTCGATTCGCGCACGTAGATCGCTTTGACGATCACCGCAGAATAACCGCTTCTCCTTCTCTGTTCCTTGCCTCTACTCGAGGATTTCCAGGAAAATTCTGGATCACAGTGATGAGGCGATCGATCATTCAGTTGAAGATCATCATCAAATCTAGACAGAATCAAAGAAGAAATTATGTGATTCGAGGCGGCATTCTCCATCCAAAGCTGAATCGCTCGCGGCTGTGCTCCTCCCGGCCAGATGGTCGTCGTCGCTGCTCGTCCGGGGCCCCAGACACGATCCCCCTCTGGCGCGCCTCCAGAGTCGCCTCGCTCTCGCTCACGCCAAGCTCGTCTTGCAGCCTGAGCACCTTCTTGTACAAGCAAGTCGAGCAGCGCTGGCCCGGAGCGCAAATCCTCCACGATTTCGCGCAGCTCCGGAATGCAATCGTCATACCTCGAGCACTTCGAGTCTTTGAATGGGCACTCGTGAGCTCTCGCTGCCATGGCTTCACGGATGCTGACTTGGCGGTGGCAAGCGTTATTGTTCCTCAGTATATTCCGTTTCAAAAAGATCCTTTCAAGCGATTAGAATATTCTAACTCTTTATGTCATTAGAATATTCGGATCGTTTTTATGCCATTGGAATATTCTCCGTGCATTGACCCCCGCGCGAATGGAGTGGAACACTGGGTGAAAGTACAGGACCTAGGTCAAGCAGTGGGAGAGCTGTGCGTAAGCTAGGGCTAGCTAGGAAATCGCGGATGCGCGATGGAAGGGATGCGCAAGAGGGTCATGGCGCTGGCCGTGGCGGCGCGAGATCTCAGCAGCGGCAGCACTGCCGTGCGGCAGCCGTCGCCCGGCAAGCGCCCCAATCCAGCGCAGCGGGCATTCGCGCAGCTCGCGGATTGCCTCGAGGGCCTGGCGCTGTTCCTGTCGCGGCTTGCCGACAGTGGCGAAATCCAGGCACAGCAGCTAGAGGAGGAGCTGAGCAGTGAGGAGAATCTCCTCCAGGGTTACAAGGGCCGATCATCGCTCTATCTCCTCATGTGTAGCCCCAAGATCATGGCGGAGCTTCAAGAATCGGGGAAGAGGCTGCGGCGGGGAATCGAGGCACTGGGCGGGACGGCGAAGGTGGATAGCTCGCTGTTGGAGCGGCTTAGCGAGGGATTTCGCCCCACCGGCGACGACGAAGCGCTCATCGATTCGCTCGACGAGGGCATGCTCGACACAATCGTGATCGATACGGCGCTGTGCCGGAGGCTGGCGCGGCAGATCGCCGAGGGCGTGGGGATGGAGATGACTAGCCAGGGATTCGTCGACGAGGTGGAGAAGCTGTGGTGCGAGCGATCGGCCGCGGAGGCGCGCGGCGGGAAGGTCCACGCTCTCTATCTGGAGCAGTTCTTGCTGGTTCTCGACCGGGCTCTTCGATCTTCTAGGGGGGATGCCATCGAGGGCGACGAGGATTGCGAGCGAGAACAGGCCAAGCGGATGAAGCAGCTCATGGCGTCGCTCTCGATCAGCGGCAGGGACGCGCCAATGCTGCCCTTGCAGCCATTCATCTGCCCGATCACTCGCGATGTGATGCGCGACCCCGTCCAGATCGCCTCGGGGCAGACGTACGAGCGCGAGGCGATCGAGCGGTGGTTTGCCGAGGGGAACACGCGATGCCCGGTGATGGGCGAGGAGCTCCCCACCACGCAGATGAAATCCAACTTCGCGCTAAAGCAGTCCATTGCCGAGTGGAGGGAGAGGAACTTCGAGGCCCGGCTCCACTGTGCCGCGCGGTGCCTTCTCGGAGAGCCGCGCTGTCCCGACACAGACGCGCGGACCATGCGGGACGTCCGCGCGGTGTGTGAGGAGGAGCCGCTCAACAAATACAAAGTTGGCACCATTGGGCTGATTGGACCGATGGTGAAGCTTCTGCATGACGCGCGGGATGCCGTGACTCTACGCAAGGAGGCCCTGGCGGCGCTCGCGGTGCTTGCTCGGGACAACGTGGAAAACCAGGTAAGATAGCTTTCAACTTTCACGTTCCTTGCTTGCGAGAAAAATCTACCTTTTGAGACAGCTTGTGATTTTTCACTCTTGCTTTTGCTTTTCTCATCGCGTTGCTTGTGCTTGTGAAGGCTTTTTTTTAATGAGATTTGCATATAATCACCGTTTTGCAAACTTCCACTTTCCTTGCTTGCGACATGATCATGCAGCTTGTGATCTTTCACTCTTGCTTTTTCTTTTCACTTCTTTGCTTGTGCTTTCAAGGATTTTCTCTTGAGCGGCTTTGCATATTTTGATCGACAGTTTTGCCTGGTTCTTCCTTGTTCTAAGTAGTCTGCCAATTATAAGCTACTGATCATTTTGCTTCTTTTAGGAATCAATGGTGAAGGCCGGTATAGTTGAGCAGCTGGTTTTTAGCCTCACTCGGCAAAAGGAAGACTTGGGAGAAGCTGTGTTGGTGATGAAGATCTTGTCGGAGAATCCCAGCACCGCGGAGCTGATCAGCCACGCACAAGGTGCGGTGGTGTTTCTGGTAACTTTACTCGGCTGCGAGGACGAGGACGTGAACTCGAACGTGACGGCCATCCTGGAGAATGTCCCAAGCAGCGATGAAAATGTTGTGATAATGGCCGAGGCCAATCTTATGCGGCCTTTGGCAAACAGGCTCGTTGAAGGTAATTCACTTCGTTTTGATGTTCTTTCACATCTTTGATGAAAATGCTCTTGCAGGATCCATGGAATCGAGAATTCTCATGGCAAACGCGCTCGCTGCCATGCACTTGCCAGACTCGAGCAAAACGTCACTTGCAACGGAGGACGTGCTGGTGTCGCTGCTGAAAATGATCGAAAGCTTCCGGCGAGAAGAAAACGAAGCAGCTCTAGGTGCTCTCCAAAACCTCACATCCGTGCCTGGCATCGCCGAGACAGTCCTCACTTTGCACGGCTTCAGGCTGATGGAACACAAACTCACCTCTGTCAAGTCCGTGGAGGAGATAAAAGTTGGCGCTGCCCGGATACTGGCCGATCTCTCTAAGATCGCTGGTGATGCCTGGAGCGACGAAGACGAAGCCACAATGAACCAGCTCGAGATCTACATCTACGAGTTCTTGCAATTCATGGGCTCGCCCACGGCTGCTGGCGTCCAAAGTCACGTCTTGAGCACTCTCCTCGGCTTGGCCAACGGGAAGAACATCGGAGGCTTTACGAGAGCAAAGCTCTGCGAGCACAAGGCGCTGCAAACACTTCTTCCGCTCCTCAAGAACCCGGCTACGTCGACTCCGAGCAGCGCGGCTTCGAAAACTCCAGCTATGGTGGTGGAAGTAAGGCGGCACGCAATGGAGCTGTTTTGCCTGCTGAGCAAGGAATCCAGACAGGAAGCGTCCGTGGCGATGCGAGAGGAGCCCGGGATCATAGCCGAGCTCGTGAAGAACCTGTCCGAGGACCCGGAGAGAACGTCCATACTGGGGATCATCGCGAGCATGAAGGGGGATGGAGTCGTGAGGAGCGCTCTGGATCATCACCACCAAGATGGAGACAAGGGGCTACTTCACGTAGTGGCAGCGCTGGTGATGGACGCCTCCCAGGACGCTGCGACGATCGAGGCGGCGGTGGGCATCGTTCTAAAGTTCGCGAAGCTTGGGGTGGAGACGCAGACGAAGCTGGCCGAGGCGGGGATGATCGAGCGGCTGGTGCAGCTGCTGGAGCCCGGGAGGAGCATGCTCACGCGGCGGCGTGCCGCGCGGTGCCTGGCAGAGTTCTCGTCGAGCAGCTGGAGCTTGAGCGAGAGCCGCAGCAAGCAAAAGCGGCGAAAACAGGACGAGTCATGCAGGAGCGTCGTGTACCTGTGCCTGCCGTGGCTGGCGCCGCGCGGACCGAGCCGGTGCTGCCGGGTCCACGGCGGCGAGTGTACCGCGCGGCACACGTTCTGCCTCGTGGAAGCCGACGCGGTGGTGCCGCTGGTGGCGCTGCTCAAGGACGCGGCCAAGGCGGACGCCGCCGATACCGCCGGCGGCGCCGCTGCGGCACTGGCGGCACTGGCGACGCTGACGGGCTTCCTGGACGAGGATACCGCCGACGGCACCTCGGAGGCTTATCCGGCTGGTACAGTCGAGGGCTGCCACGCCATCGACAAAGCCAAGGGGCTGAGCGCCGTGATAGCGGCGGTGAGTAGCGGCGGGCGTGACGCCCAGCGGTACGCGCTGGCCATCGTGGAGCGGCTGTTCAGTCACCCCGACTACTGCGCGCAGTATGGCCCATCCGCTCAAATGCACGTCATCTACGCTGCTCAAACGGCTGATCCAAAGACGCGGAGAGCCGCCGGGCTGATCTTGCGGCGGCTGGAGCTCATGCATAGCCAGTCCAATTACTTCGGAGCATCGCACGGTAAGATCAAACTTCTCTTCTTCTCGACCTCTAACGATCGGTCTTGGGTCTAATTTACCGCTATAGGGCTTTAGTGCGCCGGGATGGGAGAGCTCTTGCGCGCTCTGCCGGTAAGCTTTACTTCTCTCCTGGATGAGCTCACGGATCTTGCTCTGCAGCTCCACCACGGTTTTGGATCGACAATTGCGCAGCCCAGGATCGTGGGCGCTCCGGAAAGAGGTAGAGTTCTACTCCAAGGTAGTTCGTCGAGAAGAAGACGACGACTAGTGACCATCAAAGCCAGCGGCAGCGATCAAGGTCAAGACCATCTCCAGGGATCGTTACCTCCAGAGCTCCGCGAGAGGTGGGAGGCCTCTCGCGGCAAGCTCATGGAGCTGGGCCTCTCGATCGAAGACGCGGATAGAGTGATCGGGAAGTCGTCGGGGCACCTCAAATCGCCATACTGGGGGGAGGGGAAGGAGAAATCCGTCCCGGCTGTGGAGGAGGTGGCGGGGAAAGTGGAGTATCTCAAGAGCCTGGGGCTGTCGGACGCGGAGGTCTCGGGTTTGATGAAGAAGTTCCCCGAGATCCTGGGATGCAAGCTCGAGGAGG